ATCTGCGTCTCTTTCTGAGAGCAGTTTTCAGTCAGAACAGCAAAGAAAGAATCCAACCGCGAATGAAATACCAGACATTGCGTCTACGAATGAAAACAAAAACGGTAACTGTAATTCAAAATAATAGCGTTCAAACAACTTTTGGCTTATTGCCAACTGCGTATGTAAATGTAATTGATTCGATGGGTCAAAAACGTAATATTAGAATGCTTTGTGATAGTGGTTCCGAATCAACATTATTATCTGAATCTTGTATTAATTTATTGGGATTTAAAAGAAAAATGCGCGTTTTCCTGTCAAGGGTTTAGCTGAGTCAGAAGTCGCAGTTACAAAAGGTTGCGTTGAAATTGAGTTGATGTCAATCCATGATACATCAGTGAGAATGCCAATTAAGGCATTTGTATTAGATAAACTAACTGCTGCGCTTCCAAGCCAAAAAATAAATGAGAAAGACTTTTCGCATTTGAAAAATGTAAAGTTAGCTGATCCATATTTTCACATTCCGGATAAGATAGATATTATTCTAGGATCTGACTACTTGTTTTCTATTTTACTTCCTGGACAAATAACTTGTTCTCAAAGTGATTTAATTGCTCAAAACTCAATTTTGGTTTCCTCATATCCGGAAAACTACCGGAATCTCAAACGAAATCAAATTCACTTTCAAACATGCATATTTATGAAATAAATATTGACAGCGAATTGAAAAGGTTTTGGGAGTTAGAAGAAGTGCCAAATTCAACTGACACTGTATTCTCACCTGAAGAACAATTTGTTGAAACATGCATTTTCAGGAAAATTACTCAATTAATTCAGATGGTCGTTTTGTGGTGAAGTTGCCATTTTTAAAATCTAAATCTGAATTAGGTAATTCAAAACCAGCTGCACTTTCTCGATTATATGCTATGGAACGTAAATTTAAGGAAAACTCGGAATTTGAAAAACCAATACAAGGATTTTATGCATGAATATGAAAATTTAGGTCATATGGAATTGGTCACACAAAACTGTTTAAATAGATTTCAGAATGAGCAATATTTCCTTCCCCATCATGCAGTGATCAAGCCGTCTAGTACAACTACTAAATTAAGAGTCGTTTTCGACGCTTCATGTAAAACTTCCAACGGTAAATCATTGAATTCTATCTTGGGTGTTGGTCCTAAATTGCAACGAGACATTTTCGAAATTTTACTTAATTTTCGATTTCCGGAAATAGTCTTTTCAGCAGACATAGAGAAAATGTACCGTCAAGTTTTAGTGTCCGATGAGGATCGGAACTACCAACAAATTCTTTGGAGGTTTAATCCTAACGAAGAAATACGCACATACAAGTTTAAACACCGTAACATATGGTTTAGCTCCAGCTTCTTTCCTAGCCACTAGGTGCATTAAGCAAATTGCACTAGATTATTCACAAAATAGTGCTGTTTTCTCATACTTTACTACACGATGTATACATGGATGATTTGCTATCGGGTTCAAGTACCGATAGTGATGCAATATCACTTTGTAAGGAAATTACCAATATTTTACAAACACACGGTTTCCACCTACGAAAGTGGAATTCTAATTCAAATGCATTTCTTGCAGAATTTCAAGAACATTGTTCAACGGACACTAATTTAGAAATAATTCCTAATGATAAGGAAAGCACGAAAGTCTTAGGATTATTTTGGAACTCTTCAACAGACACATTCATTTTCAAACCCGCACTTGCACTCACCTCACCGCTGACAAAAAGACACATTTTGTCCCAATCGGCACGCATTTTCGATCCATTAGGATTAATTTCACCATGTACTGTTGTATTGAAAATTTTTTATCAGAAGCTCTGGCTTACAAAAGGGGACTGGGATTCTCCTATTCCACAAAGTCTTGCTGAAGATTTGTTTAAATTTCAGAAATCTTTCAATGCAGTTGAACATTTTACCGTTCCTAGAGGTGTCACGCTTATTTCCTCTGACACATTTGAATTGCACGGCTTTTGCGACGCTTCAACACTTGCTTACGCTGCTGCAATATATTGCAAACAAATACACGGAAATGAAATAAAGGTTTCTCTCTTAGTTTCTAAAACTAAAGTCGCACCTATCAAACAAGTATCTGTTCCTAAATTGGAACTATGCAGTGCTCATTTGCTTTCAAAGTTATATCGTGCAGTCATGAACACTCTCAAAAAATATAAGTTTGATGTTTACGCTTGGACTGACTCCAAAGTCGTACTTTCCTGGCTTCTCGGCACATCCCCGTAAATGGAAGACTTTTGTTGCAAACCGGACGTCTCAAATAATCGAAGTACTTCCCAACAAAATACTGGAGGCATGTCCCTTCCAAAGAGAACCCAGCAGATATCGCTTCGCGTGGTATTGATCCCAAATGTCTTCCTAATTGCAACTTGTGGTGGAATGGCCCAAGTTGGCTTTTTTTGGATTCGTCTCACTGGCCGAAAGAGGAATCCGCTTCCAAAGAAATCAAGGATCTAATTAAAGCTGAACAAAGATCTGATCCTATATTTTCATTTCATAGTGCTACATCAAATGAATTATATAGTGATTTATTTGAAAAATATTCATCATTTTCTAAGATTATACGCATTTTAGCATATTGTTTAAGATTCATCAATAAGTGCAAAACCAATAACAAATGTCAAACACTTATAACTGATTCCTTTTCTCCACTCACTTACACGGAAACTAAAAATGCAGAAATAATCATAATTCGATGGGTTCAGAAAGATTATTTTAATGAAGACCTAAAATGCATTAAAAATCAAAGATCGTTGCCTAAGAAAAGTCAGCTACACTCCCTCCATCCGTTTATAGATGAAAACAGTCTTTTACGGGTGGGAGGGCGTTTACAAAATTCAGAATTGTCTTTTAATCAAAAGCACCCAGTGATTCTACCTGCTAAACACAAGATAAGTGAGCTCATCGTAAAAGAAAAGCATGTGACTTATTTACATGCTGGTGCTTCATTACTGTCCCACATTATCAAACAATCATATTGGATCATAGGTGGAAAAAAGCTCATTAATAAATGTGTTCACAAATGCATCAAATGCTTCAAATTTAAAGCATCCACCGCATCTCAGCTTATGGGTAATCTACCTAAGCATCGTGTAACACTCGAGAGAGGCCTTTCTTCAACTGCGGAGTGGACTATGCCGGTCCTATTTCAATCAAATTCAACAAGGGTCGTGGAGCAAAATCAACCAAGGGTTACATTGCTCTATTTATTTGTCTCGCTACTAAGGCACTACACATCGAGGCAGTGAGCAATTTAACCGCTGATGCATTTTTAGCTGCTTTGCTTCGCTTCAGTGCTAGACGAGGAGCTCCAAGTCACATTTACAGCGACAATGCAACAAACTTCGTTGGGGCTAATCGAAAACTCAGCAAAATACAACGATTGTGGGCTTCACTTCCTAAGAACGAAGTCGTTGCTCATCATTTAACTCAAGCATCAATAGAATGGCACTTTATACCTCCAGCATCTCCTCATTTCGGAGGAATTTGGGAGGCCGCAATTAAATCAACCAAATATCACTGTAAAAGAGTAATCGGTGAAACTCTACTTACTTTCGAAGAATTGACAACTCTATTGGCTCAGATAGAAGCCATTTTAAATTCTCGTCCGTTATGTAGTGTAAACAATACTGACATTGATTGCATTAATATTCTCACTCCTTCACATTTTCTTACAGGAGACGTGATCCTATCCCCTCCTGAACTACCTCTTACTAGTCCTGCCAATATACGGAATAGGTGGGATCTCCTTCAAAAGATGCGGCAAGGACTTCTGCAAATCATGGACCAAAGCATATCTATCTTCTCTTCAAACCAGAAAGAAATGGAAGGACACTCAGCCGAATATGAAAATTGGAGACATCGTCCTGTTACTAGATGATGGTCATCTTCCAGGTTCTTGGCCACTAGGACAAGTGGTCGTCGAACTTCATCATGGTGCTGACGGACTAGTTCGTGTGGCCACGGTTAAAACTAAAAAACTCTATATTTTTAAAAGAAACATTCATAAATTAGCACCTTTGCCCATATATCAGGACTAATGCTTGATAGAGTGGGAGTATGTTCCGGTGCACCGGAACAGAACAACTCAACCTGACTCTTTCGCTTTTGGAACTATGCCAAAGAACATTTTTAATTCAGTTGAATAGTCAGACTCAGACGAACGCATTCGCAAGGCAGCTGCTATGCTGTCTATTTTTCACTGTTTTTTGTTCTGTTCTCGTACTTATAAGTGTTATAAGTTTCGTGTTTAAAACGAGGACGTGTTTTGAGTTCCTTCACATTTACATCGCAACAACTCCTCTACAATTTTATTTAAGTTACAGTATCAAAAAAAGTGCACATTACTAGGCATGATATGCAATTTTAATTGAAAATAGACTACCAATGGCGATGTAATGTGAAAAATTATATAAGTGATTTACATTTTTTATGTGTTACATCCATAACTTGTATTTGTTCTAAAAACTTAATTAAGAACAATCTGTTCCTTTAAATTTCTGCCAGAATGACTGCTGCAGGATCAATAGGATTTTATAATCAGATACCATGTTTTACATTTAAGGCTAACAAGATGATACAATGTCTGAGGTGCATTTTTTCTGAAATCTTACATAATTTTAAATGCCGGCTTTTCATATTCAAGTTGATAAGAAATAAGATGATTGTTTTACAATTTTACACTGGAAATTTCTTCCACTCATTTGGCTTTTCTACCTGAATTGTATTTTTTTTTTTTTTTATGATCAATAATTCAGAATTTTTCTATATCCAGCATTCAACAATTCCCAGCTTTCCAAACAGTCGAGCCTTTACTACACATGCATAGAAACTAACATTATTCTTCAAATGATTTAAAAAATAGAATACAATGCTATAATAAATATTTAAGGGGCATCATATAAATCTTGCATAAATATTAAATGCAACATAGAAATTATAAAACAAATATTTAAGCATAAAATTTTCCATTACCAGAAAAATCTTTACACATTTTCTGCTGCATGGCTTTAGAAAAGCCTAAACCATGTAAAATGTAAGCAGCTTTAGCTTGTGCTTTCTCAGCTCCTATTTCATCCAGCCTGTCATAAATATCCATTAATTGCTCCTGGGATTCTGAAAGAATGGAAAGAATTACATCTTCAAGTATTGCACATTACATTATCACATATTTATCAATAATGTTTAATAATCCCACAAAAAGTATATCCTACAACTGAGATCTAAACTACTTTCAGCAACCACAAAAATGGAAGAGAAGGAATTTCTGCCATAATTTAAAACAAATTTTACTTTAAAAAAAGTATGCATTTTAATGTCTGCTTCTTAAAGAAAGTGATATCAGTCCCTCTCCTTAAAGAAGCAAAAAAAATAATGCCTACTGAACTTTCAATATGCCATGAAATTCTCTTGGGTGTTCTTTATGCCAGTTTTTTATGATTAGAAGATAATATGTTCTTTCACCCAGTTTCTAACTATAATTCAGCTTTGGGACCTTTTCCCTTAGCGACAACATAGTGCTAAAACTTTTATATGTAAGAAATATGTTCTATAATTTAGTTATTTCAATAAACAGTACTGTTCTGTTATTGGGACCAGAGTCGTTGCCAAATATTCTGCTAAGCTTGTCAAGAGATTGATTTATATGAAGTCGCCAAATGTTTACTGTTAAAATTGTTACAAAGTTTACATTTTTAAAAAGTAAAATTTTAAAAAGTTCTAATTTCTTTGGCAAGTTGCTTAATTTATATTAAAAATTTATACTTCTATGAATACCTGTTACTTATTTTTTCCCATGGATTTTTCTTCAACTAAACTGTATCGTAAATATTTTGCGGATTACTTTTGTGCTTCGAATTTTTTGGCGATATCTGAAAAATAGGGACCCAATAAACAATAATGATGTATGTGATTTACTGCTTTCAGTCAGTCAGTTATTTCTTAGATAGTGCCATTAAAATGTTATTTTTAAATATGAAAATAAACACATATAATTATGAATACATAAATAAAAAAATTCCATTCACTAACTTAATATATTAAACTTTTAATTAAATCAAATTTAAATCCCATTCAAATTTATGGGGAAAAAAATATGGGAGTGGCCCTTAAAGGCCCTTTTTGTAAGTTGTTCAGCCATATAAATGAAAAGTATCATGCAGCTTGAATAACAAATTGTCATCATGTTTAACGGATCTCCACTCAGTTTCTGTGAGATAATGTGGAAGCATTACCAACGCGCATAATTTGCCAACTTTGAAATATGAAAAACAGCAGGTCTCAATGGCAAAAACCAAGGATTTCTGAGAGATTTTCACTGCACAGCAACATCATTCACTTTATAATGCATGATTCAGGTTATTCAAATACTTATAACATAATTGATGTAAAATATATTAATATGTAATTAAAAACTAATATGTAATTAATAACTTATTAATATGTAACTAAAACAGTTAATGTAATTAGATATTCTAAATTTATGTTAATTGATTAATATCATTTTGTAATTTTTTAACACTTTTAAAGTGAGTAAATCCTGAGTAGGAAAAGAAAGCTTTAATTTATCAAAGTACATTTAAACAAAACAGAAATAAAATTAATAATTAACATACATATTGTGTGAATAAACTGAGTAATGTACCATATATGGTTAGAGTTGAATTTAACTTTCTGAAGCTGGCGGTACAGCTGTTGTACCAGGAAAATGACTTAGAAAATGATTAACACCGGCTGTGGTACAGCTGTTGTACCAGCCATCCCCTCCCTATTTTAGAGAATTGCCTATCTGTAGATCTCTATGTGGTCCATTGTTGCTGCTCAGAATAGCCACTGGCTACACATCTCTTCTTCTCAGTTTGGCTACATTTTGGAAAAAGCGTAGGTTTCGTCTCGTGCCAATATACTTGAAAATCAAATAGAAGCCATCTCTTTCTCAATCTGTCTCATAATTTTAATGCTATTTTTTTTAGTACTGACTTTTGCTATGATTAAAACGTCAGCGATTTTGCACGCTCTTTTAGCTTACCATATTTAATGTTCTTTAATCATAACAAATAAGAATAGATTAATATTTTAGATTTAATGCCCTTCTAGAAAATAGGTAAAACCGTTTTTATCGTTTACTCGTTTACTTCCTTTTCATACTTATGAATAATAAGATTTTATTTTGACATTTTTTTTTTTTTTTTTTTTTTTGTGGAGTGCATAAAACCCTTAAGAACTGTCAACTCTTTCAAAGTGCTTCTATTATGCAGGCAATTTTGTCTGATTTATCAGGAGATAAATAAGAGACAATTGTATGCATAATAGTTTTTCTGATTTTCATTCATTCAGTGATTGCTTTCAATGATTTTCATTGATTGTAAATTAAATAAAATCAATTTATCTTTACACCCTCTTTTAGGATGAGATCTGCCAAAAAATATTTAAATATCAGTAAAGCTCACGTTACTTCTAAACTGAATCAAAACATCAGTTACATTTTCTAAAATTTGGCCAGTTTTATTTGCTGAAATTCTTATACTCTTCAAGAGATAGAGAGAATTCAGACAAGTTGATAAAAAAATATTTTAAAAAAGTTGTTATTTTGTCTGTAATAAGGTGTATGTCAACTTACTACTAAATGTATGAAAATTAGGATTGGATTACGGAAAAGCACGCGAACGCTATCTGCTTAAGGGAATGGATGCTTTCGTGTAAACCTTTTTAAGAGAAAATTGCTCGCATTTACATTCCTGGTGGAAAACTCCACATGTAATCAACCCGTTCTTCGGTATTGATTGGATTAATTTGTTCGCTTACTGAATTACATCAAAGCACCCAACGATTACCTGTATAAGGGGAGTTATGTCTTCGCGGAGGACTTTCTAAGAGAAGCTGGCTTGCATTTACGTTACACAAAAACCATGACTCCAACTATTTATCCGGGATTCAAATCCAAGCGAGCTATAAGTGTTCAGCCACCTTTACCGCTTTACTGAAGAGCAGGTAAAAATATTGATAAAGGAAAAGTATTGAATTAACCGGTTTAATTTACTAACCTATATTTCTCAATCGACAGTACATAAATTACGCATATGAGGGGGATTATTTGTGAATAAATAAACTGTATTGCACTTTTATCCACTATGTCATATTACAATGGAATTATTGCATTTCAAAGTTATTTCTCATGAATTAATTTTGCTCTTCATGATTTTTGATATTTTCAAAGAGAAAATTCCACACTTTAAATAAAAATATACACGAGAAGATACTTTATGCACAATTTGGCGTAAACGGTTTTCTTAATTTTGCTTTGAAAATATTGCAGGGTAATCGTTTTCATTACTGGAAGAAATATAAAAAACAAATTTACTACATGGTATCAACACCCAATATTTCCTTATTCTTTTGAAAACGTGAAAGATTACTCTTTCTAAAATAAATTGGAAAAATATATTATGTGCAAATAGAATATTCGTTGAAAATGAAATAGACTTCAACTTTTGGATATAACGATAGTTTTAGACGAAATTTCTACCTATGGAAAGAAATTGACGTATAATTAATTCTTCATGAACATTTAAAACTGTTCTCAAAATTCTTTTGATGATTGCATGTATAGTCACATTTACTATCTTTGGATATGGTAAAGTAGTTGGCGACATTTGGTAAAGCGAAAGTCTAGTAGCTTACAATTACTGTAATCAGAGGTCCATGACATTTTGTGCTTCGGTTTTTTTTAAAAAAAGCAACGTGTACATGGATACGGATGTGCATTCTAAAACGTGGCAAGCAGTTTGCGATTCTGCACTTTCTCCCAATTTCGCACCTACTCTTCGTCATGATTAAGCACTTTTGTTCCATAAAAGTTCTCGCATAAGCGTAATTCGGCTAGCAGATTGTTGGAAAAAAATGTTGAGTTTAAAAAAAAAAAAGGTGAATCTTTACATTATGGTAACTTGGCGATTTTCTGGCGAAAATTTGGCGACCAACCCTGCTACAGCAACCTGCTAGTTTTGTTTTGGACGCCATTTTGTTTTCACAAAGTAAAGGCTTTTTTTTTTTTTTACTCGCTCAACATTTTTTCCAACAATCTGCTAGCCGAATTACGCTTATACTAGAACTTTTAAGGAAAAAAAATGCTCAATTACGACGAAGATTAGGTGCGAAATTGAGAGTGCCTGCTTGCCGCGTTTTTAATAACTGCAAATACACGGTATCCATGTACACATCGACCTATTTTCTCTTAAAAAAACATCCCAGAATTGCACAAAAATGGCATTGCGCACACTCTTGAGTTTATCCATGTACACATCAACCTATTTTCACTTAAAAAGTCAAAGAAAATTGACAAAAATCCAATTCTTCTTACTCTTGTAAAAAGCGCCAAACAAATAAGTGGGCGATTCTGCACTTTAGCAGCGAAATTGTTTCTAAGTGCTTATTAGCTAAAATCACGATCAGAATTTTCCGGAAAACGTCACATTACATGTCTCAATCTCTCATTTCTCGGAGACAAAATAATCTGTGATTCGAACTGTGTACTTCTCAGGTTATCGCTAAAGTCCTAGCTAGTAACCTTTATCGCCTTACCAAAATGTCGCCAAACTACCTGTTACCATATTCTAAAGATTAGCCAAAAAAAACACGTAACTTTATTTCATGAAAACAAAATGGTGTCCAAACAAAAACTAGCAGGTTGCTGTAGCAGGGTTGGTCACCAAAAAATCGCCAAGTTACCATAACCCAAAGATTAACCCAGATTTTTTCTTTGCTAACATACACAAAAGCCCATTTTACAAAGAAAAATTCTCATTAAACATATACCTCCTTTGCCTGATAGTCCAATGTAATATTTGTTAAAGTTAAATGACGAAACTCACCCAATGTATCTCTGATTATCTTTTTTATATTACAATAACAAAATTATCGAAAAAAGCAGATTTAAAGCTTTATTATTGCTGTAAGTTCATCTCAAAATCTAATTGTATTGAATCTCATTCTAATCATCTAATAGTAATAAATAATATTAATGAATTTATTATTATCATTTCATTAAATTAGTCATTACCATTATTTTTTAATGAAAATATGTTATTAAAAATTGCATTCCAACCTGCAGACTTACAAAGCTAGTTTGTATTTATTATATTTTGAAAAATTTTTTTCTCATTTTCTAATTTCTAATTTTGAAAATATGCAAATATAAATGAAGTGTGAAAACAAAGTTATAAAATTCACAAATTATTCTCGAGATTGATCAGAAATAGTAAATGAAATATAAACATTGCACACATTCTTGTGAAATAAATAGTGCACTGGATATCCATCCAGTGCTATTTATTTAGAACTGTATTTAAATGAAAGCAAAATAATCATTAAAAAATTCCCAAATCTAGCAACCCATCTACTATGAGACAGTATCCAACCAAACAGGTAAATTTAACTGCATCCATGGAGGGGTCTAATGACTTTTCTCATTAGGAAAATGTCAAAGAGGGGGGGAAACTGTTTCGGATTGCGCTGATCTGAAGGCTATATTATTATGAGAATTTCGGCACGGTTTTAGAAGGTTAAGGTACCCCTTGTATTATCGCGAAGTTGTTTCATTTATCGCCAAGTTGTCTCATTTATGACAACCTGAGTAGTTGAATGCTATGGAAACCCTATTATGACGTAATTGGTTGTGGTGAATTGAAGTGCATGTCAGATTTGGGGTAAGGGCTTGTGTACAATGGATAAGCATGTTGTTATTTTGTGGTTTACATGGTAAATTGGCTGAATGTGGTAAGATTAATTTGAAGTTTCTGTAGATTTGGAACGAAAGGAAAAAAACCTTTAAATGACTGGTGTGTAAATGAAGGTTTACTTAGTAGCCATTATTAAGTGTACTGTTTGGAGGAAGGAAATGCGTATGGTCGAACATTGGATATTTTCGAACGGAGGATATTTTTTACTCTTAGTTTTATGAATTTATGTGGAGACACCAGTACACAGATTCTAGTTCAGATAATTTTAGGAAGTTGTTAGGATGGTGTTAAGGAATTGTGTTTGACTTAAGACGCATAAATTCGTAAATAAGGAAAGTGGATATTTCCTTCGTGTAGTGCTAAGTTGAATTTCCTTTTTTTTGTTATTTCATTGTTTGATTTAAAATGTCAGACCATATTTTTTTTGTTGCCTGTTTCAGTTTGATGTGTACATGGACAAAGACAAGGGAGTGCATAAAGCCCAATTTGTGCAACTCTCTGATGTTTTTCCAAGTGAAAATGGGTAGATGTGTACATGGATAAAGTCAAGAGAGTGTGCACAATGCCATTTTTGTGCAATTTTGGGATTTTTTTTTAAGTGAAAATAGGTCGATGTGTACATGGATACAGAGTTTGTGCAATTCTTTATCTTGTTGTTTTGGTTTTGTCTACAAAGCCAAAGTAACAAGTCAAACAATCGCACAAACTCGGTATCCATGTACCGCCAAAAATCGCCACGTTTCGCCAAGGGTTACCCTAAAATATACTTTTACCCCATATATTGATGTAAAATAAAATTAAATACTAATATTAGCTGATTAAATATTAGTAGTATCTTTATATAAAGTCCTTTATACGAAACTCTACAACAGATTAAGATAAAGAAGCCGAATACAATTTAATAAGAAAAATAAGGCAGAAATTTCTAGGGATGTGGAGAATGAAAATTTTGCAATTTATGCCTTATTAAATCACTATTTTCCTTTTATTGCTGAAAATCTTATATTAAAGCTAATAATTAAAAACTAAAGATTTGGCAGCTATGAGTACAGTACTCTAGTTTTCAGTAGCTTCACTATTCAATAATAATAATCAAATAAAATAAAAAATTCAGTATCTTTCATGAACTGAACATGTGATAAATTGGCAGGAAAAAGAAATTAAAACAATCAATTTTAGTTGTGCAATCTAAAAAATAAGTAATTAAACAGGATAGACTGCACATTACATTATTATTACCCAAAGAACTAAAATAGAATGAAAAACATCAATTTTTCTTTTATTTACAATACTTTCACTGATACACGAGATAAAAACAACACATTTAATTTTAAAATGGACAATACACAACAATGATGGTTTGGATTTATGAGCTTTATTTTAGATGGCACATAAATAAGCATCAAACAAAGTTAATTCAGCATACGTACCTTTCGATAGTTTGCCGCTAACTGTTCTATAATGGGAAAGATCACAGCTTAGTTCATGGATGATTCTGATATGCACATACTTAATAAACCAATTTATCTCACAAATACTCAGCAGGCATTGGATCAAAATTTGTAGTCTTACCAATCTACCGTTCCTTCACTCAAGCACTCAATCTTCAATTAAACAGCACGATGACTCGCTGATACAAATACAGATTGTTTCCAAAGAATCACTACAGTGATGCAGTACAAAACTTTCCAGGACACTACACATTATAGATGAAATATTAGCATTACTATGCAAAGTTAATACTAATGCAGTATGTCCAAGTCACCACGCACTATCTTACCATCATGATATTCTCTCTACCTCAATGCACTGTTACAAATATTGCATTTATCTCATTAGCAGAATACACATAATCCTTATACAAGATCAGCAAACATAACCATTCTTCACAGTGACTAGTTCTTTCTAAAAAAACTACACAATTACCATACAAAGGTTAATGATGATAATCTGCAACAATATTCTGCACAAAACTTCAGACTTCTAACTAATTTGGGAAGTCTCTCAAGTTTCTAATTATTATCTAAGAACATAAATGAACAGGTCTTTGAGATATCTGACACAGAACATTTTGCATCTTAAAATCATTTCATAAAACGTCTCAACTCTCTGCATGGCAAAGCTTTTTGAATCTGTTCATGAAGACTTTTATTTAAACAACATATATTAGCAAAATTGGTATAATTACTTACCTTAATCTCTTTTTTGATAAATTACCATTCATTAAGATAATATTTACATCATTAAAGAAAGTAAAATATTTTAAATCGTAATATATACTGCATGACAAAAATCTCATAATCAGATAAATGTGGTCATGTTGTTCAGAGGGTTAATTCAGCTAAATGAAGCATCTTACGAATTTATTTTTATAAATGTTTATTCCAAACTCATCATAGGTATTTACAGCAATGATGTGCTGTAAACGTGTATCTAATGATACATGTTACACCTATATACATAAATAAAACTAGGAAAGTGGGGAGAAAGCAACACATAATCATGTAAAATTTAAAATCAAATTTCTAATTTTTATTAAGTTTCTTAATTTTTATTTCTATCACACTTTTATGCAAAAACTATTGTACATCTACTACTACTACAGAGAAAAAGAGGTCATTCTGAGTGGCTCGCATTAATTTCATTGGTTTAAGGGTGGCAGTCAAAATTATTAGTACTTTCTGATTGTCTTCAACCCCGCTGAAAAATCGTAAAAAATCACCCAAAAAGTACTTGTAACTTGAGATAACCCATGTATATGTGTACCATTTTTGTACCAAAAGCTTTCCTCTTTTCTTGACATTTTCACCAGTACGACTGTAGATAATTACTCCTATAAAAATTTCAATGTTTCAGCATTGCAGCTTTTCGGTTTGGTTTATTTAGTTACGACAAAACATGAAAGGCCTATCTACCTAAGGGAAAGGGTGAATTCATGGAAGACTTTCTAATAGCATGGTGGTGGACCACATACCGAAATTTTCACCAATGACAGCAAAAATCTCAAATCTAACTTTTTGCATGCATAGAATGTAATATGACTCACTCACAAGCATCATATCATGCAGTTCTTTTTCCCCCTATTTATTTTAGAGTTTTCTACTTATATCAAGGTTATGCCCAAATGCAAGTTTGTACACTCTCAGGATTTTTTTAAAGCAAAAACAGATCATTGTGCACGAGGAGAGCAACAATGCAAAAAACCAGCGTGTCTTATATCAAAGTATGCATGTCTTAGAGCGGAACAGAAGAATGTAAAAAATACACAGCACTAAATGCATCATTTGAAATACACATAAAAATACCCAAAAAATGTTTCTCTCCACAGTTGCAAAGAAATTCATGACTTTTTGCTGGAAGTTTAAATAAGTAAGAAAATATTAAGTTATTTGCAGTATGAGCATATTTTCAAGCAATCAGTCAAAGAGTCAAATAGTAGTATTTTATATACAAATATATTACTTTCCTAACACAGATTCTGGGAACAACTCTTCAAAATAGGTGACACAGCTACATAAATGTTATATATTTATTACACCTACCTTCATCATCAAAATGAGCCAATTCTTCAGCAAGCCTCTCCAGCCTTGTTCTTTCAACATCTACATCCATGACAGCCTGAAGTGCAGATTTTTCACTAGCTTCCATTTCTCGAGTCAGATGGTAGATATCAATGTGATCTTGAATAGGAACCTCTCGCCTACCAAGTGCAGCAAGAAGGGTGGACTTTCCTGTAACAATCGAGCATTAATATCATAAAAAATAATTTCAAATTAATAAAATAATATTAAAATTAATAAAAAATTAAATAATGCTTTTTAAGTCATTTTAATCACATATCACTTTAATCAGACACATGTTAATAGTTATCTCGATCAAAATTTACAAAAATAACTTTTTCCTCCTTCTGACTTAAAATAACATTTCTGACACAATATATAAAAACTACTATACTTAATGTTTTATGTAATGTTTATGTAAACATAATAAGTAATGGCTACTACATTTATTCAGAATATTTTCTATTTTCATTACCATAACTAAAAGTACTGATAAGAGCACAGTTACAAAATCAAATCATTATCTAGTAACAGATATAATTATAGTAATTTAAAATTAGATAAAAATCCATTCAAAACTTAATATCAGATTTTACAAGAAATAAACTGTACTATTTAAGAGAATCTTATTTTTTCTTCCAAAATCTAAAAACAACTAAAGTTCATCTCCTCCCCTTCATATGATAAAGTAACTAATCAGTTTTCATCACAAAAGCTAATCAGTTTTTTATCTAAAGTGAACTTTTAAATAATTACGACTTTAAAAATAAACTCTATAAACTCTAATTTACAAAAGAAACAGTGCATATAGCAAAACAAAAATTTCTCTTCAAAAATTTCAATATTAGTAACTAAATAAAACCAAAATTTGAAATTTTCCACAGATGTAATATTGAATCAATAAGAAATTTTAATTCTGCATATAAATCAACTAATAAATTTACAGTAAAAACAGAGCAATACATACTTTAGTAGCTGTTTTACATATGAATAATAAATTTCAAATTACAAACACTTCTCAGTGGAGAAAAAAATTAGTACTTTGGTATTATTTAATAAAAGTGGAATATCAATTTAATTAAAAAAATGGTTTAATTTTATTTAAGCTATTAACCCTTTGCATTTAAGAGGTGATTCTCACTCACCATGCGATTTGATGCCGCAACTCGAGAGGTGACTCTCGCTCACCACTTGGTTTGATGCAGAAACTGGATGCGCAGCAATAACTGTTTACATTTAGTTTCTTCAAAGTGGGTTCCTATGTACTTTCTGTGTAATCTTATGAAGTGTAAAATGGTATCCCTTTAAATGGAGATAAGATTTTCATGTCTGAAATTAGTCCGCATGAACCGGACTGCATTTTCGGCATTAGTTCGAACCTGACAGTAGTGGCAGAGACTACTATAATTTTTTATTATTAAAAACATGGAACATAATACTGAAATAAGTTCAAGTGAAGATGATGCACTTCACACTGATCTCGACTTACAGCTCCGATTCCACAGATATCCAATTGAATGGAAAGCTACATAGGAAGGACTGCAAAGTCTGTTCTCGGAGAAATGAACCCGGAAAAAGGCATCATATGTCATATTTTTTGTAATACTTGCCCCAACAAGCCTGGCATGCATCTTGCGAATTGTTGCATGAAATATAATACACAGAAAAATTACAGACACTAATAATTAAAAAATTATGTTTATAAACGAGTAAAAATATAAAAACTTTATACATTAATTTGTTTGTGTAATGATTTTAAGTTACTGGTAAGAAATGCGTCAAAAAGGCTGTGAAACGTCTCGAGTTGATGATGAGCCACGCGGAAAAGGGCCTAAGTGCAAAGGGTAAATATTAGTTTAGTTTGGTTTTATGGCACAAATCAGGAAGACAATTATTCTGTGCCAAACAATGCTAATTATGAGACAGCGGCATGTTAAGTATACAAAACTACACAGATGAGTAAAATAGGACTACATTGATAAAAATACGTTAAAATGGGTGCACATAAAACTAACTAACCTCCTGTTTGAAAAATTGTTAATATCATTTTTTCAAAGATTAAATTCTTTTAAAACTTACAATCTAAACTTACAAGAGTCTAAATCTTACATAGTCTAAACAAAACAAAAATGAAGTTTCTTAAGAAAAAAAAATCTGTGTTTAAATTTGCAAAATTACATTGGTAAAGCTACAATTTACGACTTCTTGTAATTATGTTACATGCTAACAAGATTAAGGTACTTATCTAATACAAATAAAACTTTATTTTAATACAATTAATACAGACTGTGAACAACCTAGCTTTCTTATTTTCTACTATGTACATATAAGTTAAAAATTAAAACTTACCACAGCCATTTAAACCTATTAATCCATATCTTCTACCACAATTTAACTCCAATTTAGTGTCAGCTAAAATTTCTACTCCATGGAAATTTATAGAAAAGTTTTCAATTTTTATATCTCTGGACCTGGGATGAACGGCTAATACTCCCGTACATGCTCGAGCTTCTGCATTTAATTTCATATCATTTTCTAGTTTCTTTACTAATTCCTCCTCAGCTGTGAAAAAAGTGTATAGATGTACTTATAAAATAGTTATTTACTTTTTTAACAATGATATTTTAATAATTACACAAAAACTATCATTTTGAAATTAAAAGAAAATGTATTTAACAAAAAGGCATCTTTCAATAAATTCACAGTGCAGCTATTAAAATGCCTTTTAAATACAGTACAAAGTCTGAGATCCAAACGTCCAATATCCAGAATGATCTAAATCCGTACTTCAAAGCCACCCCCAACTTTTTTTTAATTAATTTATTTTTTGTGTGTGCTTTACGCATGCACATTTGATTGCACATTGTTTCAGTCCACGATAGAAGCAAGATAAAATTTAGCGGAACAACTTGTCTTCAGTCGAATTTTTTACTTCAGTAAGGCAGTGCTATATATCAAGCAAGATAATGTTGCCCCGCTAATGATCTCAAATTTGTAGCCACAATGCTACCCAGGTTTGATGCTTTCAAACATCTACTTGTACAGGGTTCATAGCCACGTTTTAGTTAAAAAAACAAGCACCTATAAGCACTTTTCAAGCACATTTTAAGGAAAAAATAAGCATCTGTCTAATTACATTATACACAACTGCATAACCTTAAAAGGAAAATTAGACTTGTAATTTAAAATATGAGCAATGCAATATTTATTAAGAGAAGCATTACCTCAACAATGGAAAACAATTAACTTTTTTTTTAATTTTAAATACAGTTCAATTTACAGAATTAGTTTACAATGAGAGAAAAAAAAAAACTATGCAGAACTAAACTATATTACAAGATTTAATGATGATATTTCAGTTCAAATATAGAAAATAAATAATAATAAGCTATACTATTGTATTCGTTTGGCACCTAATAATAATAAATACAATTTTATTTTTCCCACTCATATTAATATTTAAATAATTTAACTTAAATCAAAATTCTGAACATTTTCTAAATTTTCATTGCATAAACAGTTTTTCCCTTAACATATATCCCAAGCAAAGTAATTTAAGTAAAAAAGAGGCACATTTCTGAAATCAGAAGACGGGAAATTGCTTCACACAGTCATCCTTTAACAGTAAAAGCTTAACTAACCCGCATACTCGAAATTCCCGAATATTCCGGACAGTAACTGGGAAAAAGAGGAGCGGAGGGAGGGGGGATAGACTGTAGACGTTCTTTAGATTTTCCCTTCCCGCTAAATAAATGCTTTTGACATTTCGATATGTGCATCATATAAAAACAAACTGACGGAACACTGAAGAAATATTCTGCTTTAGCAAGCACAGTAAAACTCTTTTAAGTGTTCATAAACAAATCTGACAGACGAACATCAAAATTAATTATCTCTGCAAAATATCGCAAACGTATTGTGCAATACGTGTGCCGGTAATTCTTCCCTACATGATATTACGCAATCGGATTCAACAGCTGCCGGTATTCGGAGAATAAAGAACTAAATAAATGAAAAGAAAAGAGACTTACTAATCTGGGGTGGTGTTTCTGATTCTAATTTTCAACAGACTGTTATTAAATTTCCGAATAGAATCAATTCTTCGCTTGGGTTGGGTAGACTGCAAAAAATTTTAGTCCTATTCAATCCAGATCGGACAGTGACAAAAAAAAGTCCGCTGCTTCAATATTAGAGATTTTGCGGAGAAAAGGGAGAAACTCCCAACCAATTTTGTATAATGTATTGGCCAAAAGAAAATGAAATTATTTTGACTATTCGATTACTTTCCTTTATTTAAGCCATTCCGAATATTATTCCTTAGAAAGCTAATCTGTGTAAAAACACAACCAATTTTTGGAAGTTTATCTATACTTCAGCAGTTACTGCAACTATTACTATTATAAATATTCATACATAGACTCATAATATAAGCTAACGATCATAATATAAACACGAATATGAACTGACCAGCGGAACGAGAATGCAAATTATTAAACTCTTGATAGAAATTCAAATGTGTGAGTATTTGGGTGGGAGGAAAAGAATACCAAATGTACCAGAATTTTCTATCATTTTTCGCAATTCTTTGGACCAATAGAACGACATGCACCTGTCTGTACTCTCGTGCGCATCATAGGTTACGTTAATGCAGAGGAAGGGGGGGGGGGGAAAAGCAATTTCTGGAGAATATGATTCACCATCTGACGTTACATTTTATAAGGAAGAAATGTTGTTTATTTAGTTTCGGCTTTGGTACGGGGAAAAAATGTGCGTTCATTGAAAAACAAAGGAATAAAAAAAAGCACTAAAAGCAAAAAATAAGCACTAAAAACAAAAAACATAAGGGCTTTAAAGAAAAAGTAAGCACCTATAAGAGCCTTTATATTTTATTTTCAAATATAAGGACTTATAAGCACTTGTAAGGATCGCTACGAACCCTGTTGTAAAGATACTTAAAAAATACATATTACCATAACAACCATAGGTCTCTACAAGAGTCCACGAGAACATCAAGATCTGAGTGGAATACCTCAAGTCATACAGTTATGAATTTTGCATATATGAAAATTTTAGCAAAATTAATTGTAAAAGTATAGTATCTCATATATAACATGAAATGCCTCAAAAACATTAGGCTTCGGCGGAGATAAGGTTACATGGACAAGTCCATTTAACATCAAGATAAATCACCACCTTATCAAATTTGTGAAATAGCGCCAAACTGATGAAAGTTTTGCAAACTAATTTTTGTTGCCAAATTCGGTAAGAAATGGACAAATGGCTGCTTACTTTATTAAACATTTCCTTCAATGTAAGTTGCTTCGTTTCATGTGATAATACTTTCTCTTTAATTCTATTAAACGGACATAATTTTTTGTTCCGCTGTATAAGTCCTATAATTGCTGTGTTGAGAATACCGACTAATTTGTCAATCGAAATGTTTTCGTTTTCAATAACCTCTGGGTCACTTTCTTCACTATCGGAAGCGAAGCGAATTATAATGATTTAAATCATATCAAAGACAGAATGAAATACTACACTTAGTATGGAATTATAAACCAAATAAAATAAAAACATCTGCCCTGAAGATAAGGATAAGTGCTGACAGATCGGAAATTCTATTTGACATAATCTTTCTAATCTATCAATAATCTAATAATGACGTTTCTGCCCCCCCCTCTGCCGCAGAGCAGCATGAAATTGATAAACGATTTCGGATTTCAAAACATACTTTCGCGTTGTAGTAAATAATATCGGAATTCTATTTGACTAATCGAAAGTCAAGCTTACTTTAAAAAATTGATTAACAGTCTGCAAAAATAAGCGGATCATTCAAAGATTAAGGAAACAACACAATCTGCAACATTAACTGAATTAGATAACTTTAGCTTAGGCGTATAAACTCGTTACAATTTAAACGCGCATGCGCACAAACGTATTCGCAGCGTAAGGGTCTTACGCGCTCACGTCAAACGCCTGTGCGCATGCGTGAACGCGACGCATGCGCAGAAAGTTTGTAGCTTTGAGGTCCGGATTATGGGTGTCCGAATTAACGACTTTTGACTGTAATATTCTTGGTAGTTTAAAGTGGTAACTACTGATTGTGCTCTGTCATACTGAGATGTACAAATACTTTCATGAAAATTTCCAGAACTGCAAAGTGTTTCTTTTGGTAATATAAATTTTACCAAGATATCAGTTACATGTGCATTCAATCCATTACAAACCCATATGCACGTAACAATACTGAAAACAGTAGTCATTAACATAAATTATCAAATGAATTAGTGTAACTAAATGGCAAATCCAATATATTTTACAAAATGTTTTTCAATATGTAAATTCAAGTAATGGCATACAGTAATGGTCATGGCATAAAAATATTGCATGATGATATGAAATACATAAATTAAGAATAATTTTAAACTTTTCTTATAACTTTCCAATCATAATACCACTAACATTTGATTATGAAGATTTATTATACATTATGCCCTTGTAGTGATCTATTATACATTATGCACTTTAGCACTCAAACAAACCTCTTCCTTTATAAATAGCATTTAATTTTTTTATTTGAAATCAGTGCAATTTATAGATGAATTTCACATATAATTTTTAAGATTATGCTGGCATGTTTCTTTATATGTGTAATGTAATTGTTGAAGTTTTCTATTTAAAAAAAAGGAGTTATATTTTGTACATAACATCTAAAACAGTCACATTTATTCTTTAATTACATTAATCCTTCAATTAACCCCTTAAATGCCGCGGGCATATATATACGCCTTGGTCAGCCGATGCATAAACTGCCCCGGGCGTATATATATGCCCTTCCATACTACTATCATTTGCTTTGTGCTGCTATCCGTAAAATTATTCGCAAAGTTTTGGAATGCAATACCACAATGACCTTGACAAAGTATGCGAAGGAGGATACTATTTCAGAGAAGTGTGGGGAGAAATTGGAGAGAGGGGTGTGTCTAAAGCGGTGAAAGTAATGACTGCGTGGTATTGGCTGGTGTTGTTTGAGTTAAACGCATTTTTTTTATTCTGCGTCATCCGTTTTCGTTTACTTTTTGTAGTAGGTTGCAGGAATAAAGAAAGATCTAACAGATGTTTCAAACACATTTATCTTTTCTGAATTATTTTTTTAAACTGCTCGTGCTTCATAGTGTTACTGAAACTAACCGTTTTGTGGATGAGTATATGAACCAACACTTTGCAAACGAAAAATCGAGAACAAAATCATGGCATTCAACCAGTTCAGAAGAAATATATGTTTTTTTTAGGCATACTGATTTCACAAGGTATAACACTGAAACCTGATATTACACTTTACTGGTCTAAAAATGAATTGAGCGAAACTCCATTTTAGAGATCTTTTTTATTAGAAAAACATCATTTTTATTATACTTACATCTTTTTATTATACTTTTACTCAAAACATTACATTTTGTGCATTCATTTTTTTCTTTTATTCTTTATTTTGTGAAAGTAAACAGGTTTTAGAAAGCAAAACTTGCACTTATTTCCCCCCTAATACTTCGCATAACTATGCGAGCCTGTGTGAAAAACTGTGGCACTGGAAATGTACGTTTCCCGCTGCAATTTAGTGGTTAATATATTGTAATAAATTAATCCTTTTTTTACACTGTTTGAAAGAGAAACAAAATGTCATTTAATAACTTGCATTTTGATAAATAAGATTTTGATAGGTTTAACTTTTGGACTCCAATATCAAATTGCATCCATTAAGTATATGCAAATTTTGCTTTTTATTAAGCTATATTTCACATAATAACCACACAAATATGAAATTCATAAACTCTCATCAGCTTTAATTATAATGTTTAAAAGAATTTCCAAAAAGCTACATTAAGGTGCATAAGCATATACTTTAAAAAAAAATAGAATAAAAAGATGTTTAATTCTTTAGGAAATAAAATAATGAGCCAATGCATGATGCCACTAAAACCTAATGATATCAATAATGATTACAGCAGACATTAGAAAACCATGTCCTGAGTTTTAGACAGGTGTACTAATATTACAAAGCTCTGAATGAAAAAAATTAATTTGGTCTAATAATAATATTTACCAGCAGAAATATGAACACCATTTGTTATACTCTCATTTTCAGCAGCTGTCTCAACACCATTAACAATCTCACTGGGATTATCTTCTGATTTCTGTCCAGGTTTCTTCTGTGTTCTTGCTTTTGCTGCCTCTTTCTTTTTAGCGTCACGTCTTTTCTTAGCATCAGATGGCATGTTTAAATAGATGAATATTTAACTGCATTAAAAAGAAGAAAATATTAGAAAAATAACTTACCAACCTTAATGTACTGTTTTATATTATATTTACTAAATAAAGAAGACAAACTTTAGCTTGAATGATCAAATTATTTTTTCAAAACATTTACTTAATAAGTCAAAAGGTGTCAGATACTTTAAGTAGATGTTTTTTAAACTCATGGCTGCCATAACATGAATTTCAGTAAGATTTTATGAATAACATAAATTAAGGTTGTCTACAAAAATATTATATTAGCATTTCACAACCACCTACGAATCTTTGTTGCAACCCTACATTACCCTGAAAATTTAAAATAACAGATAATTACACATACAATTTATGATATTTATTCTAAAAAGATATTGCAATTGCAAAGATATTAAGATACATTAAAAGCTATAAAACATTTTGTACAACACAAAAAAATATTTATGTCTTTTTAATATAAAAATTTTCCAGCTACTTTAGATAATTTGGTACAACTCTAATATACGCCCTAATTTCACCAAATGTGGCGATATGTGTTCTGCGCTGGTTTTGGGGGCGATTGCGTGTTCTATGGCAACCCTGTTGACGTTCAAAAATCTTTCACTGGAGCTCGTTGGTTCGCCTCTGTGTCTGAGAAGATGGGAGGGAAAGATGAAATGGTAGTTGTTGAATTGAAGTTCGGCAAAAGGAAATATCATTGTGGCTATCATGTTGAGGGGTAGTGAGTTTTTGGAAGTGTGGAAAGAGGGTCTGGGAGATTATTTTTAATGCAGTGCATGATAGAAGTAGGGATTGTGATTTTATTATTTGTGAACCATAGTATAAATTTTCTGGATAGTGTGTCTGGCTGTCGTGTAAATACGATAGTGATACGTGGCGGCATGTTAAAGGCGGTATGAATTTATATTTCTGCTATTCGAAAACGCATTAATTCATGGGTAAGTGCATTTATTTTATCTTGTTCTTATTTTGTAGAATGTTATGTTCATTGGTTCTTTAGTATGAATTTCTGTCGTTATGTTTTTTTTAAATTGTTTGAAATTTATTTTAGTTTACTTTGTTGTTTAGTGTTTAGACTGTACAATTCGTAAATGTTTTTTAAAGTTGAAACAGAACGCTGTGTACATGGTATTATTTGAAATTTATTGTTGTTATGTTATTTATTAAAGCGAGGAGTGCGTAGATCGTAGATTCCTTCCTTGCCTAAATTGTGCAATTCGTAGATTTTTTTTAAGTTATAAGGGATGCTGTGTACATGGTTATCTTTGAAATTATTGTTGTATGTTAATTTATTAAAGCGAGGTGTGCGTAGTTTGTTTGAGATCATTGTTGCCTACATTGAGCAATTCGTAGATTTTTTTTTTAAGTTAAAACATGTCGCTGTGTACATAAATTCTTGTCAAATATTTTTGGTTAGAAACTTTACGTTTTTGCTATCTATTTTTCCCCCCCCCTGGATTTTTAGCTAAATTGTGTGTTCAAAACGTAGTTTTTGCATGTGCGAAAACCGCGTTTTTGGAGACATTTTAGGCTAAAAGTTCAAAATGTAGACAAAAAATTTAGATAGTAATATGGCAGCGTGAAGTTTCTCGCCAAAAATATTTGGCGAGAAATTTGGCGACTTGAGGGCGTATATCAGAGTAGTTCCGATAATTTATATTAATTTCTTTCTCTTTAACATCTTTTCTAAGTTTATCTGCTTCAATAAATAAATCAATGTTCCTACTATTCTCTGCTTCATCTCCTAATTTGTTATATACAACAATATACCTTTAAAGAAAATTTTCTTTCCATATGCATAATCAGTTTCTTCTTTTAACATTTCCTCTTCATTTTAGAATTTTCAGATTTAATTAAAAGATTTTTGTCATTCTAAAAACCTACATGTATTTAGAATGCACAGAAGAAAATGTTGATTTCATATCTTTCATAACATGAGTGCTGAGAATAAGAAGTGATATAGTCAGGGCCACTGCCAGAATTTGGTGAAACACAAAACAACAAAATTTAGAGATGGCAAATTTTTTAGAATTTAAGACGGGCACTGGGTGGTAGAATTTAGGAACGACAAAAATTTTTAATTTAGTGAGGTACCAGGCTATAAAACTTAGAATCACAGAAATTACAACAGACAGCAAAATGCCAAGTGCCAGGCTTTGTGTACGATGTCCTGAAACAATCTTTTAAATTATCAGTTTTCAATTTCTTTATTATTAGAAAAATTCCTGTTGTCCGTGTGACAAGATTAGTTCTGCCCTTTTCTATGCTTGTGTTTAGTAAAAAAAAAAGAGAAAATAAAGGTAAAATAAGCATATCAAGATCGACTTCTAGAATCAAATGTGCAAAATTCATATAATTCTGTTTTCACTGTTCTTCCAAAAAATCATTAACTTCCTATGAAGCTTGCTCATTATGCATTAATACCATAAACACATTTTTCAGGAATCTTTTGGAATCATGTGTCTATAAATTTTGCCTTCAAATTCTTCTAAGCCAGCAGTTCTTAACCATTTTTACGTCATGCATCCCTTTTACTACTGTTAGAAGACCATCAACCACTGCTTTTAACAATCTTGAAAAATACATTTACATTTGTTTCAATGCATTACATTTATTTCAATATTTTTACCATACTTTTATAAATTAAACAACAAAAAGATATAGAAAATATTAATAAACACCACATTTTAAATAAAAGTAGTTTTTTACATTCATAAACTAAAGCTACATACCAGGGTTGGAACTTTAATATTGGCAACACAGCTGAAAAAACGCTACGCAACAAAACCAAAGAATATCGCGTATACCACACATGAACTACATACCTACCTTACCTCTCAGCAAAAAGACTCGTCCTGACTACGTCACACGCATGCGGAGTGACGCGAAGAACGGATCCTTGTATTAGCTCGGGGTCTAAAGTAAGTGTTGTCAGGATGTTTTCAAAACAAGAACAACGATGTTGGATAAAAATTGAATGTGCCAGAGGTCGTACAGCACCACAGTGTCATCAAGGGCTTAGAGAGGCTTGCGGGGAATCTGCATTGCCTTACAGAACCGTAGCAAGATGGGTGAAAGCATTCAATGAAGGACGCCAAAAAGTGGCAGACATGTCGTGCGTGGCAGACAAAACAGGTCGTGCGAGTGTCAGCGATGCAGACGTGCAAGCAGTTGCCGCACTAATGGACAGTGTTCACCGCCAAACAATTCGTCAGCTGGCCGGACAAACAGGATTAGCACATACGACTGTGCTGCCCATTCTGAAGGAACGCCTGTCCATGAGAAAAATTGCTTCATGATGGGTTCCACATCAATTGACGGAAATGCAGAAATGGCTGCGATAAAATGCTGCCCGAACCCACCTGGAGCGCTACGAGCGCGAAGGAGATGCTTTTTTACTCTGTATCATTATGCTGGATGAGACTTGGGCCCAATCGTACCAGCCAGAACTTAAACGCCAATCAAACGAATGACGTCATCACAGGTCACCACGACGTTCAAAATTTCATCAGAACCCCAGCAATGTGAAAGTTATGGTGATTCTCGTGTACAACTGTGATGGTGTCATCCTAACGCATACCGTTCCCCCCACAGCAGATCATTACTGCTCATTTTTGAAGCACAATCTTTGACCAGCTTTGAGAAAAAAATGGAGACACTTTCTGCAGAACACTCCTCTCATTTTGCATGACAATGCTCGGTCGCATGCAACGCAAGCTGTGACTGATTTGTTCAAGCGATGGGGCTGGGAAGTGCTGACTTCCACATCGTTGGAAACGGGTTGTACACAATGCTGGCGACTATATTGAAGGACTGTAAAACATGGTGACATGAATCACTTTTGTATTCCTTGTAAATAAATAGTTGCCACTGTTAAAGTTTCAACCCTCGTATTTAACAGTGCGGCAGACCCCACAAAGATAAGAAATTCATGTGTGTTGTCCCCAACAGATTGCAGTGTTCGAGGTGTGAGACAACAGGCTCGGACATTGCAGAAGCAATAATTTGTTCACTTATAGCTCCACTTGACATTACAAGAATCATAATTTTATGTCAAAGGATTTTAGCGATCTGCACTGTGTCTATCACCAAAGCCATCATATTTAGGGATGCTGATGGACAAAACTGATCAAAACTGATGTGGAAAATCCACCTCCTTCATGTCTCCAGTTTAATGCAGCCATAAATATATAAGTTTATAAAATTTCCAATGAGTTACAGTTTTATGAAAAGTTTACTGATTCTTCTTTGATGAAAAAATTTTAAAAGAAACAAATATACAAAACACTGCATTCAAACAAACATTGCAGGAAAATTCAGAACTACTCTTATATGCGCCCTCAGGTCGCCAAATTTCTCACCAAACATTTTCGGCAAGAAACTCCACGCTGCCATATTACTATTTAAATTTTTTGTCTAAATTTTGAACTCTAAGCCAAAATTGTCTCCAAAAACGTGGTTTTCGCACATGCAAAAACCATGTTTTGAACACACAATTTAAGCTAAAAATCCGAAACAAAAACAAAAATGTAAAGTTTCTAACCAAAAATATTTGACAAGAACCCATGTACACAGCGATATGTTTTAACTTAAAAAAACATCTACGAATTGCACAATTTAGGCAACGAACAAATTTACGAACTACACACATCTCGCTTTAATAAATTAACATAATAATAAATTTCAAAGAATACCATGTACACAGCATCCTGTTTAAACTTAAAAAAAAAAAAAAAATCTACGAATTGCACAAGCTAGGCAACGAACAAATCTATGAACTATGCACACTTCGCTTTAATAAATTACCGTAACAACAATAAATTTCAAAGAATACCATGTACACAGTGTTCTGTTTCAACTTTAAAAAACATCTATGAAAAACACAATCTAGGCACTATGCACTAATCAACAAAATAAACTAAAATAAATTTCAAACAATTCAAATAAACAACAATAATGACAGAAATTCATACTAAAAAAAAAACAATGAACATAACTTCTACAAAATAAGAAAAAGAAAAAATAAAATGCACTTACCATGAATGTGCTTTTTCGAACAGCGAAATACCAATTTCATACCGCCTTTAACATGCCGCCACGTAATCACTATCCTATTTATAGATGACAGCCAGACATACTATCCAGAAAATTCATACTATGGTTCACAAATAAATCTTCAAAACCCTCTTGTTCTTATTTTGTAAATCCTTGTAAGATTTCCATCCATCCGAAAAAATAGTTGTACCAGGCTCAATCCACTCTTTAATACACTGCATCAGCTTTTCCCTACTTCTGTCATGCACAGCCACTAAAAATAATCTCCCAGACCCTCTTTCCACACCTCCAAATACCCACTGCCCCTCAACAGGATGACCACGATAATATTTCCTTTTGCCGAGCTTCGATTCATCAACTTCCACCACTTTATCTCTCCCCCCTATATTCTCAGACACAGAGCATTACACAGAGCAGACTCATTAACAACTCCAACATCGTACCTTTTAATACTAAATTTCCTTCGCGCACAATCTAAAATATGTGACTGAAATCTTCCCACCACATCTCTTATGCAACATGCACGATTTCAAAACACACATGACACAAACCAACAAGCAATTAAACTATTCCAGTAAAAGATTTTTCAACGTCAACAGGATTATCATACAACACACAATTGCGCCGAGACCGACGCAGAACACATATCCCCACATTTGGTGATATTAAGCACATATAAGACTAGAGCCGAAAATTCTTAAGAAGTAAATTTTGGGAAGAAACGACTCTGGAAGGGATGCATATATTTTTTGCCTTTACTTATACTCCAGGGAAGTATAAAGACTAGAATTGAACAGTACTGGAGCAAGAGCCATTCCACATACACACCTTTTTTTTCTCAAATAATGTATCATCCTCAATTTCTTCTTTTACAACGGTCCTTACATTTTTCAGATAATTCAGTATTTGATGCACAAAATCACGAATGCCCAAAATTAGTGAAATTATGGCCAGTTTTGAAACATCTGAATGAGAAGTTTCGTTCGAAAGTGACACCACAAAAAAATGTAACGACAGATGAAAGCTTTTCAGAAGATAAAGGTGAAAGCAATTTATTCCTCTAAAATGAGCAAGATTTGGAATAAAATATTTCATGCTGTGTAAGTCGATTTCTGGTTATGTGTGTTCTATAATAATATACACAGGTAGATACGATTCTGAACCCAAAGTTTTCTAATCTATGTATTTCCTCACAAGCTGTTATAACAATGATGTATCCTTTACTGCATAAAGGAGATCGTCTTACGACGGATAATTACTTTGTAAATATAACGCTGATTTTTGTTGTTTGACTCCTGAATTAGGATAATTACTATTCTTCACCGGAATTAGCTGACAAAGTATTCATGTCAAACGGATACATATGGCACTTTAGGAGAGGGAAAACGTAGAGAGGGAAAAAGTCCCAAAGGAAATGCAAAAGAAAAAACTAAAATCATAATCAGGAGAAATTATTCTAATAACATAATCAGAAGAAATTATTGCATTTCATAGAGGAAAAGTTACTGTGATGAAATGGATGAACAAAAAAATGTTTCATTACTGTCTGCAATTCACAATACTGAAAAGGTACAAATCCAAGTCCCCTCTGAAACGAAACAGTAAACCAGAAATTATTATGGATTACAATTATGCAGTGGGGGAAGCAGACCACATGGGCCAAAATTTCAAAACTTCATTAGAATTGATATGCGCCATATAAGTGGGCGATTCTACATCAGCTTGAAAATAACAAGTCAAAGAATTGCATAAACTCTGTATCCATGTATACATTGACCCATTTTCACCTAAAAAACATCAGAGAATTGCGCAAACTTTGACATTATGCACTACCTTGACTTGGTCCATGTACACATCAATACATGCTATGTAAGTGGCCAATGAATTTTTGTGTTTAAATTTGGGCATCAAAAGGATCACTTAGCAAACTAGTGCTGTTTCAGAGTACGTCATTTGTATCAATCTCCTTTCATCCTTGGAGATCCTACAGTGTATTTCTTCTAATAACATAATCATCGAGATTCGAAAACAACTTAAAAACCTAAAAGATAATTGCCCCTTGTTTTTTGGCGATTCTTTTTTGACGTCAAGATTGGCACCGTTTAATCCAAGTATCCGGTGCACAAGGGATTTGGCTACTTTTGGCGACTTTATGATGAGCAGTAAACGGGACATATCGACACCTCCTAGAACTCCAGGGGGTGCTGGACATATACAGTGAGTAGTTAAACAGGTCATTTTGGTGTTGGCGATAATTTTCAAAATCGCGCCAAGGCTGCACCGTATACTATGATTTTACGGAAGGCACAATATCGAGATGGCTGCAACACAAAACCAAAATAAAAAGTCAAAGAATTGCACAAACTCTGTGTCCATGTACACATCGATCTATTTTCACTTGAAAAAAATCACAGAATTGCACAAACTAGACACTGTGCACTGCCTTAACTTTGTCCATGTACACATCAATCTATTTTCATTTAAAAAAAAAAATCAGGAAGCTAAAACAAAGTTATAACTATCACGGTAACCGGAAGTTTCATCGCCAAAATCTGTCGCTAATCGAAGGGACACCCAATTCTACAATGCAGTCAAAATTTCAGTTGCTTCTACATCTATTCGTTGATAAATACATACACATTTGCTTGTGGATAACTATAAATTAAAACTGAATGTAGTCTTTTTTTGACTTCATCCGTAAAGTAGTAGATAACTACGATATATAATAATGAAGTTTGGCAAGTTTTTTCCATGGTGGAAATAAACTACGAGAAAAAAAAACCGGTCGGGAAAAGAATTGTAGAAATTCAGCATCCCGTATGAAAGCACCATGGCCTAATTCTTCCAGTTTTGCCCCTATTAAAAACTACATCGAAGTGAAAATGCATCATTATAAATTTATTATGTTAAAGAAAAAGAAAGAAAACAAAAGAAATCGGTTTATATAGACATATATATATATAAATACACAAATGATATATATATATCATATATATATACACACAAATTAAGCACGCTAATTTTCTCAGTAAAACACACCAGTATTAATTTGTTTTCTAGGGGGTATAAAACTGACACACAGTAGATACCACATTAAACTCAACTGATTTTAAAATGAATAAAATTATTAAAAAACATTCACTTTCTCTCCATGCCAGTCCACAATAATACAATTATAATTCTATGATTCATAGAAATAAATATTAATATTACAGAATACTCGTTAAGTAAAAATTATTTACCAAATGTACAGGATGATTCGACAACACGCTGCTTTCTACAGTTACAAAGAAGGGAAAGGACATCAACACCGAATGCAGTTATTAATGATGCCACTCAGAAGTTCTTTGACTGAATGGTGTTACCTCCAAGTACAAGGCGGAACTATTTGCTAATTCGCTCAAGACTGTTTCCTTATTTTCACAGACAGATCGTATTTTATTCTCGAGTGTCAAGATGTAGAAAAAGAATACCACCAGACGGAAATAGAATATGAGTAACAGAAATAATTGTAAATCTTAAGTAAATAGTAGGCGACGTTTTTTATTAAATGCCAATATTTTTTTTAAATATATCGACATCTATTTTTTACACCGTTTGAACAAAGATGGTGAAGGGAGGAAGCCACAATTGACGTCTATATTCAACTACAGCCCAGATGTCTGCCTTCGGAAATAAATATTTAAGTTGATTTTTTTGGACTAAAGAGACTCAAACGAAATATTCAAACCATGGAAGTCCTTTGATGATCCTGTGATTCCTTAACTTGCTGTCCTAAAATACATTTAATAAATCCAATGAATTGATTGAATCTTAAAGTACTCAGGAAGCTGCTGAAAAAAAGTACTGAAGTATGTTTTGTCAAAACGTCGAAATATGTAATATTTTTGTTCGCTGGATACAGCGTCGGCGCCCGAGATGATTCAACCATACGGTCAAAATGAGCTGCAGAATTTATGGGAAGAAAAATTTTTAGAATTTAAAAGAGAACCTACTAATAACCACGGATGGCAACATATTTAGAATTTATGGGAATCATTGGTCAATACAATTTAGGACAGCAAAAATTTTAGAACTTAGGAAGACGCTAGGCAGCAAAATTTAGAAAATATATGTACTGCGGCAATATGCGAAGCTCTTGTCCTGTCTGGATGTAGAACAGAGCAGTCTCGGTGCCCCATTTACACTAGATTCACGGAAACGATCATTTGACCGCAAACGAAATTAAAGTGTCCGTATTTTTTAAATTTTCTTGATTAAAATTTGAATTGAAATTTTTAATCAATTATTTCGATTTTATTTATTTTTTTATCTCTAAATATATTCGAAGACGGCAAAATAGTTTATTTAGCCTGTTTTAAATTATTTTTTAAGTAATGTTCATAGAGCAGCCTTGACGGCTACATTTTTCTCCTTTAAGAATGTAGGCAACATTTTATTATGCCAACGGAAGTAAGCATTATGTAACTAAAGCTGCTTCCATCCCAGAAGTATAGTGTACTAGATCTTCTAGTACACTATACCAGAAGACTACCACGTCGCAATGCCTCTGACTGTAACCAAATTTCAATTATATTTATTAATTTTTAAATAAATAAATTGTCTCAAATAAAGGAATCTTCAACAACAATTGTTCAAATAAATAAAACTTTGACAGCAACACAAATGCACATTTCTTAAATGTATAGCTTGCTTTGTAACTCTCAGTAATAATTAATTTATACTTAATGCCATTTTTAGTAAGCACTAGAACCTAAGTTCAATTAGTCCTAAGAGAAATAAATTTCTTAGAGATAATTAATTTTTTCCCCCCAATGACAGATTGTGAACAATTATAAATGTAACCCAATCCATTAATCTATACAAGGCAGGATGCGGTGATCTCTTTATTTTGGAGGCATCTAACAGGTGGACCATCATCGCCTTTCCTATGAAGGGACAGACAGTTACAACCATGCCTTCTCCGGGATTCGAACCCAGGCCCTTCGATATCGCAGTCCCTGACCACTATACCAACAACCAGTCGGTGTTGACTATACCGACTGGGCGGCAGAGATAATTAATTTTGCAGATTGGTTACCACAGCGTTAAACAAACGTTCTTTATACAATAATAATTCATAAACAAAGTTTCGCTGCTGTTAATTTCATTATCAGAAAGTAAAGAAGGGCCTTTCTGGAAAGATATAATTTCTATTTTCTTTCTTTTTTCTTTTTCCTTCCGAGTAAGTCAAAAATGCTTGATGCACGGGCTTGACTTAATTGCTTGATGAGTCTTGTTGCCAACAATTTTATCTTTAGTTGAATCATTTACAATATAAATAATTATATTTAAGTATCATAGGATATTTTGGTAATATTTGGATAATTTTAACAGCATCTTTTCAACTGATTTCTTCTGCAGATTAAAAATTCGAAACACCTGATGAAGAAGATGTAAAATTCGTAATCGCGTTTTCGTGGGAATGATGTCAGTATTTCTGTCTTTTGAAATGTTGATGTTTATGTTAGTGATTGCCGTTGATTTTAAGTCTTAGCATAAACTTACTGGTGCTATATTTTTTTAAATATAGCGCTCAGATATTTATTTAATTTCGTTTTTAGTTTTCTACCAAATGTTTGGAAGTCTATTTGATGACGAAAGGCCGGTTGGTGCGATGACTAACGTGCACACATTGGCCATACCAAGACCCCCAAGCCGAAGATTGTCATGTGGATTGAGCGGTATAGAAAATCAAGGAGCTACTTGTTACCTGAACTCTCTTTTACAAACACTTCTTTACACCCCAGAGTTCAGAGGTATATTGCTAAAATGCATTATATGTTTGCACCTAAACTATATTGTATTGATGACACTTTCCACGAGTTGATAATTATTAAGAAAAATCGATTATGATTAATAAATAATTACCACTGACATTAACAAAATACAATACATGTCACTTCACGAAATTTTAAACGTGTTACTCTCTTATATGGGACTTCATGTTGTCCAGTATTCTTTTTCATATGCGTTTGTTAATTCATCTAATGCATGTGAAATCAAACTAATGCTTGTCAGACACCATCAGCTTGTTTTTCTTGAAAATTGATCTCGTTCTTGCTCTAGTGTAGAATTGGGTGCCCCTTCGATTAGCGGTAACTTTTTTTTAAATTTTGGCGATGAAACCTCATTTCTGGTTACGATGATAGTTTTAACTTTGTTTTAGCTTCCTGATTTTTTTAAATGAAGATAGATTGATGTGTACGGTGGCGTAGCTAGGGTGTGGCAAGGGGGGACATCTGTCCCCGGGCGCAGCATCCAAGGGGCACCAAATTGATGCTACGAAATTTTTTAATGAAAATATTTTCCATTTTTGGCACACAGAAAGGGGCGCAAATTTTTAAGTTGTCCCCGGGCGCTGGAAATTCTAGCTACGTGCACTGGATGTGTACATGGACAAATTTAAGGCAGTGCGCAATGCCTAGTTTGTGTAATTCTGGGATTTTTTTTTAAGTGAAAACAGATCGATGTGTACATTGACACAGAGTTTGTGTCCAAGAAGAACTAGAGCCAAGGATTCCATTCAATGAGGGTTGGGGCATTTGAGGGTCTGCTTAAGGGAGAGCGAAAGTGTTCAACAAGTCCGTTATTGGCAGAATGATATGGAGACAAGCGGATGCGCTTTGTTCCAGGTAAGCGATGTCAGCGAAAGAAGAAGCCTTGACTTGAACTGAATAAGATGTTTTGTATCACCCTCCATTTTCACTAGATATTGCCATCTTTGATTTTCATATCCTCAGGTCAGAATTCTCTGAATGGCTTAGAGTTCACTTTAGGGACTGTCAATCACTTCTTTGTTAGTAAACCTAATGACTTAATTCTAAAAAACCTAATTCTAAAACCTAAACCTAATTCTAAAAAAGGAATCATCCAGCTTCCTGAAAGATGGCAAGTAATAGAATAAAACGGTGTTTTTGTGATAAAATTTTCAAGGAAAATTTCTTATGTTTTTGTACTGCTTAATTTTGTATTTATTATAAAAAACTTCAGAATTTTTTGGATGATCTAGTAGTATCTTAATATTAATACTGGCTTTAAAAAATATTCATATGAGGTATTAAAGAATCAGATTTTAAATGCTTAATACTTAACATGGATTTATTCTTACAGAGGGCCTGTTTGGCTTATCGGATGCTGAGCTTGGTTCTCTGGAAAATAGAGAAAGGGGTGGAAAAGTTAGAATAATTCCTCTTCAGCTTCAGAGGCTATTTGCTAGATTGCTCTTGGTCGATCAGCAAGCTGCATCTACCACTGAGCTCACTGATAGCTTTGGATGGAGCAACAATGAGGTATTTTTTTATTTCTGAAGCCTTTGTGATATTTTGATTTATAATGTTAATCTGTAATGATTTATTATTTTTAATGTGTCTTGTTAATCTAATCTTAGTGACATGAATGACTACCTTTACGATATTTACTGTCACTTAGTAGATATTACATTGCTATTTAACCCGCGAGCACACGCGGCGGGTATGTCATACCCATGTGCATTTTTCTTTTTGTATATTTCTCACCCATTATTTCATAAAAGGACAAAACTTGGTGTAGCTGAGTTCAAAGTCATATACTTAAATGGGGGAAATTCCTGAGGTGGCAAGTGCAACGGTTTTTTAGGAACAGCATTGTTCAGGCATGTCATACCTGCGCGTGTACTCGCGTTTCTCAGTGAATCACTTCGCACTTCTCGTTTTCAAGCTATATAGGTTTCTCTTGAGTTGTAAGCATGGCGCCGTATATTCCTTACAATGAAGAGATGAAAAGATTGAGAAATCTCTTTGAAACAGTTTCTTCTGATGAGGATTCATTTAGTGAAGAAGAGGAAGATGTTGATGACGAAGAATATAATAGTAATCATGATTCACCTATAGAGAGTAGTGATTCAGATACAGAAACAGAAAATGAAACTGTAGAATGTATCAATGAGTTTTTATGTTGGAAAAAATTGAGTAAAATGGAACAAAAATAAATTCCGGACTAATGTTTGAATTGGTGCCAAAAATATTATAACTAAATTCCCTGGAAATACAAAGTATTCTAAAGACTTCTCAACACCTTTAGATTCCTTGTCATTGCTTATCGATGAAGATATGTTAAAACATGTAGTTGACAATACAAAATATTATATTGATTCAACACAAGAAAATTTCACTCGTGAACGGGATGAGTACTTTTCTCAAAGCCTTAGGGATGCAGCTAATAGAAAATGTTTAAAATGAACGATGGCGAGCATCTGTGGTTCCTGATTCTGGACAAACATTAACCACCGATGAACATGTTAATAATGAACTGTCCCCCCAAAAACCTAAAATGACTTACAAGAGGTGTACAGAATGCCCCAAGAAAAAAGATAGAAAGACTAGATTCATTTGTGAAATTTGTAGCAAAAGTATATGTATGGAACATATGACCTCATTTTGTAAACAATGTTAAAAAATTGTAAGAAAATAATTTTTCCTCTCCTTATTGTTTCCTATTTTGTCTAAAATGAAGTATTAACTTGGTTTTACATTTAATTTCTTTTAAAAAACGATTAATTTTTTTTGACAAATTTTTAATTACAATTTTTTTATTCGGGTATGACATACCCGGCGCATGTTCTCGTGTTCATCGGATCGGTGCGCGTGCTCGCGGGTTAAAACTGTTTTCCTCTTTTCTTGAATGATCTAAATATCAGGGTACTAAAGTGAATTTTAAGCATAAGTGTAGTTGATTTGAAATAAGCAATCCTGGCAGTTTCAGAAGAGTTAACTCTTCACTTGTTATTGAACGAAATTTAAGCACTTTATTCTATCATGATAACCTAAGCTTGAATGCCTCAAATATATTTTTTTAAATCTTATTTAAATATAAAAGAAAACTTGTCCTGTTTTAGATAGAAAAAGTTTTAAGTGTCCTAAAATACCTGCTTCTTTCATTTTTATGTAACAAGAGAAGCAAATCAATTTTGTGCCTTGTTTGTGAACTTAAAAGTAAATGCTCATCTTTTTTTTATGTGTGAACATATTCTGTGTAAAACTTTAATTATTTTGTATGCATTCAGATTAAAAAATGAAGAGCACTATCTTTATTTAATTATTGCATACTAAAATTATTTCTTTTAAAAAAATGAGATTCCATGAATTTTCATTTTTATTATCATGTATTAAATAAAATACATAAATAGCATGCATGCACAGAGCATTTTTTTTTTGTATTAGATCTTTGCAATATCATATATAATCCTAATTTATATATCTATATTTAATAAAAAAACTTCAGGTTAATGACTCTTTATTATCATTAAAGAGGAGCCATAAAAAGTCGGCTGATCTTTAGAATATGGTAACTGATAGTTTGGCGACATTTTGGAGGCGATAAAGGTTACTACCTGGGACTTTGGTAATAATGTGAGCAGTACTCAGTTCCGATTACGCATTATTTTGTGTGAGGGAAATGAGAGATCATGGGATATGTCAGGCGATATTAATGGAAGAATTACGGTTCTTTAATCGGAAAAGGGGGAAATCGGGAAAAAATCTGGAAATTTTGTATTTGGCTTTATTCTGTGTTGTGTGAAACAGTGTTCGTAAATTTTTGGATCACATGGCCCTAACTAAAGTGAATTTGAAATGGGTATTTAGTGGGATTGAAAGGGGTAGTAATAAGTGTTTCTTTAAGCTTGTGCGAGATAGAAGTAAAGATGTTTTATTAAGTTATTTATTTTACCTGGTACTTTGCTGTGAACTATGAGTATCATTTTAAAGATCCTGAAACAGAAATAAGAAAAGTTTATCGGACACGTAATCAAGATTCTGAAGAAGATTAGGTAAGTTAGTATTTTTAATTATTTGAGGATATTATTTTTATGCATTGTTCAAAATGTAAGGTGGAAGTAAAGTAATTTGGTATTATTGGGAAAATTGTTATTAGCAATGATTTAGTTTAAAGTAATTAGGATTGTAAGCTAATTTTTATTAATTTAATGTATGTGCTTATTTATATTTTAAGTAGTGTTTTTGAATTTAATTATATTTTAATTAAATGATAGTTATTTTGTGAATTTTATGTTTGTAGGAATTTGGTATATGTTTTAGTTGAAGTAAACGTGCATGGAAATAATTTAAATATTTGACACTAAGTATTTGTAATGTTTGCAGTATGAATTCGTTGGTGACGTTTATAATATAATAGTTAATTTAGAGGTAAAAGTTTTTTGATATTTTATTTATTTTATACGTGAAAATGTTCATATTTGGAAAAGTTATATACTTTTTCGTTATTAGGTAATTTCATATATGTTCTTTTTAACGGGTTTTAAAGATTCAGAAAATTGTCATGCATTTTCGTGAAATTTTTCTAATTTATGAAGAAAAAAGGAGTGTACATGGATATGGTGAAGAGTGTGCGCAATGTCATTTTTGTGCAATTCTGAGTTTTTTTTTTTTAAGTAAAAATAAGTCGACGTGTACATGGTTTAGTGATATTTTAATTAAATGATAGTTATTTTGTGAATTTTATGTTTGTAAGAATTTGGTATATGTTTTAGTTGAAGTAAACGTGCATGGAAATAATTTTAAATATTTGACAAAGTATTTGTAACCATTTATAATGTTTGCGGTATGAATTCGTTGATGACATTTATAATATAACAGATAATTTAGAGGTAAAAGTTTTTGGATATTTTATTTATTTTATATGTGGAAATGTTCATATTTGGAAAGGGTATATACTTTTTCACGATCAGGTAATTTCATATATATTCTTTTTACCGGGTTTAAAGATTCAGAAAATTGTCATGTATTTTCGTGAAATTTTTCTAATTTATGAGAAAAAAGCAGTGTACATGGATATAGTGAAGAGTGTGCGCAATGCCATTTTTGTGTAATTCTGGGATGTTTTTTTAAGTAAAAATAAGTCGACGTGTAAATGGTTTATGTGTATGTGTTATTTTGAAAAACGCGTAAGGAGTATGGTATTGTGCACTTTTTCCCAATTTTGCAGTGAATATTTGTCATGATTAAGCAATTTTGTTAGATAAAATTTCTAGCATAAGTGTAATTCGGCTAGTAGATTGTTGGAAGAAGTGTTCAGTAGATAAAAAGAAAAGAAACATGTCTTTACTTCGTGAAGACAAAATGGCGGCGGGAAAAAAAAAAATAGAGGGTTGCTGTAGGAGAGTTGGTCGCCAAAAAATCGCCAAGTTACCATAATGTAAAGATCAACCAAAAAGTCATATATTTAGAAATATTCCAGCTGTGAATTTATATGTGCTAAAAAGATGAATGACATTTAATTTAGCTGTTCTAAATTTTCCTTTTTCTGTATATATTTTTTCAAATGGAAGTCCACCCTCCTTTTTTTTTTTTAATTTTGAAGGAAAAAAGGGAATTTTTCTTTTTTGAAGTATTTTATTGTAGATAGAAATAAAAAAAATACATTTAATTCATTAATTGTAAGAAGGTAGAGTTTGAAAATTATTTGGCTAATCTTTGGAATATGGTAACTGGTAGTTTGGCGACATTTTGGTAAGACGATAAAAGTTACTAGCTAGGACTTTAGCAGTGTACATAGATAAAGTCAAGAGTGTGCGCAATGCCATTTTTGTGCAATTCTGGGATGTTTTTTAAAGTGAAAATATGTCGACGTGTACATGGATGATACCGTGTATGTGCAATTCTTAAAAACACGGCAAGCAGTGGGCGATTCTGCACTTTCTCCCAATTTCGCACCTAATCTTCATCATGATTAAGCACTTTTGTTCCATAAAAGTTTTAGCATAAGCGTAATTCAGCTAGCAGATTGTTCATGAAAACAAAATGGCGTCCAAAAAAACTAGCAGGTTGCTCTAACAGGGTTGGTCGTCAAATTTTCGCCAAAAAATCGCCAAGCTACCATAATCCAAAGATTAACCATTTATTTAAATATGTATTTTTGTGAGGACTTAATTTAATCTGAAACATTTCATTTATAGGAACTTCAGCAACATGATGTACAAGAGCTTAATCGAATTCTATTTAGTGCTATTGATTCATCCCTCATTGGAACTACGGGTAAAGATCTGATTTCTAAATTATACCATGGATCAACAATAAGTGAGGTAATATTTTATTTATTGATTAAAACCCTTGATTGTACTAATTGCTTAGCATAAATGTTTGAATGCAAAATTGAAAAGTATTTTTAGTTTACAGAATGCAAAATATGGTATTGTGCTTAACTCAGCAGTTGATATTTTTACAATAAAGTTAGAAGCACATGTCATTCATTATTCATTCTTTTTTAGTTAGTAGAATTTTCACTTCAAGCAGCATTAATAAACTGTATAACATGCATTCCTTGTTATAACTTAAGGAGACAACTAGGAGCCAACTGTTAAGGCAATGAGGTATGACGAACACCAATTTGTTTACAAAACTACCCACACAAAATAAAAATGAGAGATTACTCTCACAAAGACCTCCTCTTTAACTCTTTAGAACTCTAATAAACATTGAGTTTGGTTACATGACCTGCAGAAAAGAAAAAAAAAAAAAAAAAAAAAAAGAATATTTATATTTGGGTGAGTTATGCATCACATGACCTAGAACAAACGCTCTGTTTGAATAGTGATGCTCATCACCTACTACATTCTTCCCATTGAGCCGTATCTTGTCCTGAATTTACAGCTTGCTGTTTGTGGCTGTTTTGTGGTAAGGACAGCATGTCCATAAAGTTCAAGGGCTTTTCTTGATCAACCTCTTCCTCGAATTGGGAGTAGAGGAATAGTGTCTTGTCCTTCATATGGCTGCAAGGCAGATACATGATAGTCACTTATGAAAGAAAACAGATCATCACTAGCAGAGGTTAATGCAAATTATTCCACTCACTTGATGGCACAATCTTCTACGATGAAGACCCAACTTTTCATTCCTGTTCTGTAAAGGTCCAAACAGAAAAAGATTCAAATCGTCGATTTGGTAAATATTCAAACAATTTATTATAGATCGGTGTTTGCAATATACCAGGTTCTAATAATTACAGTCATGGCAGTTCTTGATATAGTTATCAATATCTTGATATAGTTGGCAATCCATGCCTGTACGGTTGTACCATCTTGCAGTTCTGTTATATGTTCCTTTGTTTCCATAACATCAAGCTGAAGAAGCATCAGGATGTTCTTTAGACTCTTTCTCGTGCATAAAATAGAACTACTAACTTGGCTGTTGCAACACTTTGGTTCATGAGATAATCTCATCTTTATCACGACTTTCCAAACATTTAATAATTTTCCTAATATTTTCATTTTTTATTTTCTCTAGTCAAATTTCGTTTGGTCTTCGTGCAGTTATATTGATAGTGACAATGCAAATTTCACACTCTCCCACTTTATGCTGACAGAACAATCAGGACAGCATATCCACAACAGCATTAGCTTTGGAGCAGTCACAGAAAATATTATCTATTTTAACACAGCCATAGCATTTACAATCAGCTTGTTCACAATCTCTAAATATATGGCCATGTTTTCCACATATGTAACACATTTTCACATGTTCTTTGTAATCTTAAGCAATATGACCAGTTCGTATGCAGTTACAGAATTTATTCACGATATTCCATACTACTTCCTCCTTTGATGGAGGCATATGATGTGATGGGACTGTGACAATGTTACCTGTGTTAATGTAACATCGGATTTGGGGAATTTTTCTTCCCCTGGTTGAAAGGTTACTGAATGTTGACTCAATAATTTTTTCAATTCTAATCTTTGTTTTATTGGAAAGTTGTTTTCCTTCACTTTCTCTCTGTCAAAACTTGTTAAATTCCATATTATTTTCTGGATGCTCAGGTGGTTTGAAAACATCATCACTGTAACTGAATCTGTTTAGGGTGGTCATGGTAGTACCACACATTATTTGGAAGGTCTAAAACAATTCCGGTGCTATATATATGAAATCAGTTCTTAAAAGCGTTCTGGTATAATGTAAGTAATTAATACAAGTAAAGTTTTTCGCAACGATTATAGTTCAGTCTTAGTTTCTGCTTCGGTTGTATAAACGTCTGTTTCCTTCTGGACACCGTCAGAGAGGATTAACATTCATACTGGTTTTCTCAAATTCTATTTCTTGTTCTCTCAAAAGACAATATGATGTTTCTCCCACCATAGAATGGCTGGCTCCAATGTCAGCACACACAGTTCCAGTAGGCCTGTTTATTCACTCTGAAGAGTCATCTGGGATTCCTTGACAGAGAATGTCTAAAGGTGTAAACTCTGAAATTAGCTTCTTTCTTAAGAGAGGAGTAGCAGATGGGCAGTTATTGAAGCCTGACTTCCCAGAGACATGGCAACTAACAGCTGGTCAATCTTCATTTTTTGCGTTATGTCTTGATGATGCATTTTTAGTATGTCGAGGGTTACCTCTATAATTTTTGGGACTTAGAGAGAATTGTTGAAACTTAGAGAGTACCTTATTAACATTTTTATTTCATACCTGTCTAACTTCTTCATACAGATTTAATTTGTTCGCAAACTGAAGTGGATTGTTACAATGATCCAAAAATTGTTCTTTATAATCTGCAGGGGCTTTCTTCTTAATTTGATCTGCCAGTATCAAATTCTTTAATTGCTCAAATGTCATGACTTCTGATTCTTAAAGCCACCCATTGAAATGATTTTGTGAGGCAAAATAAGTCTCGCAAGATAGTTTCTAGACTTTTCCTGTGTTGGGTAACAGTTGCCGAAATTTCTCAGCACTCAATTTGAAGCACTTTAAAAGAACTTGTTTAACTTTCTCATAAACCTGAGTATCATCCGAAGATTCCTTTTAAATTAATTTTGCAACATCGGTTAGCACAAGACTAGGAAGATAAGTTACCCATTTTGAAAGTGGTAAGGGTTAATTGCCTCTCAAAGAAGTTCAGAAATAAACTTATATTGGCTGTTTTAGGATCAAAATTGGGAACTAGCGTGCTCAGTTCTAACTTAAGCGTGTCTGCAGCTACAGAAGAAGACACCTTTGCACGCTCCACTTTACTAGGAATAATACTGGATTGCAGCTTTAATTTCTCCGTTTAAAACAACTACTTATTTTCTTTCTCTCTCTCAGTAGGTAGTTCTGTTTCTTTTCTATCATTTATGATCCAGTTCAAACATTCCTTTGTAAACTCCACATTATATGTGGGACTGGTGATTATAGTATCCCTTAATTAAGACACATTGTTGTTTAACAACATTAATTGTTGTTTGACTTCTGAATTAGTATAAATCCCTTATTCAACAAATTAATTAATTCTTGCCTTTTGCTAAATAAGCAATGCTTAAATGAAAGATGATAAATTTTATGCATCAAACATGCATATTCAAAAGTAAAACATGAAAAAAAATAACTTATTGTGCATCACTTCTATTGATTGCTTGAAATAATATATAAAATACAAATACTTTATCTGAGAATGAAACAGTGATAGAAAATTGTGGATCATTCTGTGTGGCATGAAGCATCCTGCGTATAAAATCTACCCGAATTGGGTATTTGGCATAGGCTTGGAGTTGCACCTTTTGCACGTGGAAGGAAGGTATGTTTTTTTGCATGCAGAATCATTCACACCATTTTGTGCCAAATTCTCAAACTTGCTGCATTAAATACGATTAAATGTGTGTACCAGTCGATGGGGAAATGGCAGGTCATTTCAATACTCGATTTCTATTTAAGATGTGTAGCACCTCATTTTTGCCCTGCATTACACCTTGTTATTTAGAAGAATCCAATCTCCTGCAGCCATCGATTGATTTTTGAAGGTGATATATTGCAAACACCTTCTCAGATATTGTACTTGGTACATCCTCTGTGCTAGGCATCCATTGCCACCTGCTTACGCTAAATCAAATGTATATCTGCATATTTCTCATTCGTGTAATCTGACATGTTGTTTCCGAATCAAGTTTAACATGCACAAATTCTTAAATGCCCAATAATGAATACTTGCTTGCTGGATTTATTTTTATTATATGCATTGGAAATCTTTATATATATAGGTAGCTAAAGTGTGTGTTGCGATAGTTTATTGTTGCCATTCAGAAAAATAAGCGCGGAAATTAATGTTTCCACAGTTTTTAATTAATATCTTGGCCGATTAAAGTCGTATGGAGATGAGAACAGTATCGATGGATTCAGAGAATTTTTTGGAATCCGAGGATATGCGTCTCGACTCTCAACTCGGCACCGTTCCGTAGATATTTGAGAAAAAAGAATTTTGCACGTAGCCATTTTGCATGTGTGTGTGTCTTTCGTTCGCATTGCACATAAGCTAATAGACCCACGGCTACGAAATTTGGTACATAGGTGCATCTAGACAAGAGCCAGTGCACCTCGAAGCGATTTTTTCGAAATTCGCATTAGATTTTTTTTTTTTTAAATTTTATGTTTTGATACGAAATTGCGTCATTTTGAGACATAATGGGCTATAGGAAAGCGAGATTTTACTCTACACATTCCATTTTCACATCTCCATGAAAAGTATTCACTTAGCTATTTTACGAACTTAAAATCAATTTCGTGTTTCAATAAATCGATTAAATACGAATTCATTTAATAAAGGGAGCTTAACACCTTCTCAATGGAATTTTTTCTAAAAAATTTTATTTTTAAAAATGTACAGTTTATTTTTCTTTGATTTTTTGGACACATTAAACTTTTATCCTTGCGATTGCTTTTATAAATTTTATATTTTTTTTATAATTATAATATTTTATATTTTTAACAAATTTTTTAAATGAAGCTTCCGAGCATACTTCTCACATCTTTAAAATGTGATTTTGGCAACAATTTTCCTGTCTTATTGTTGTTGATAGATTTTTGATGAAATCACATCATTTTGAATAGTTTAATTCTTTTAGAAATATGGGTTTGGCAACAATTTTTCATCGTATTTCTTATGTCACTGTTTTTAAGAGATTGGCTATATATATATATATATATATTTGATAAAGTTGTTCTGCAGAGTAAAATTCTGCACAGAATTTTATGTTTTTTGAGTTGCTTTATGTTATTTATTGCTCATTTCACTGTTTTTAAGATATTGAAACATTTTGAGTGATTTTTTTTAGGAAACAAAGTTCTTAACCTCCTTTATACCATTTGAGTTCTTAAGATTTTGCAAAGAAAGGAATTGCAAAGGGAAGTTGGTTAATTTATTTATTAGGATAATTAATATTTGTATTAAGGGATATTGCTTATTTCATTGTAATTTTGTTATATGTAATAACTTTTTTTTTATGAAGTTGTTGAGTAAAATTCTACGAAGTTTTTAAATTTAACGTTTGATGTTCCCTTCAGCCATTTTTCCTGTGCATTTAAAAGCCAGACAAAGGCTGGCAGCGAAGCTGCTAGTATTAAATATTATTTCCAACTTTGTGTTTCATATTTTCAGAAATGATTTGTGTATTCTGTAACATTTTTGTAAATTGTTTATTTATATGTATTTTAAAAATTAATTTAAATTTTAAAAATTAATTTAAAAAAATTAAAGTAAAATTGTTTATTTATATGTATTTTCTTTTTAGATTGTGTGTCAAATTTGTGGCAAAATCAGTGAAAAAGAAGTAAGTGTTGATATCAACGTATATAATATTTTATCTATAAAATTTCAGTTGATATTTGGATTATGGTAACTTGGCGAAAATTTGGCGACCAACTCTGCTACAGCAACCCTCTATTTTTTTTTTTCGCCGCCATTTTGTCTTCACGAAGTAAAGACATGTTTCTTTTCTTTTTATTTACTGAACACTTTTTCCAACAATCTACTAGCCGAATTACACTTATGCTAGAAATTTTATGTAACAAAACTGCTTAATCATGACAAATATTAACTGCAAAATTAGGAAAAATTGCACAATCGCAAACTCCTTGTGCATTTTTCAGAATAACACATACACATAAACCATTTACACGTCGACTTATTTTTACTTAAAAAAACATCCCAGAATTGCAAAAAAATGGCATTGCACACACTCTTAACTTTATCCATGTACACTGCTATTTTCTCATAAATTACAAAAATTTGCACGAAAATGCAAAAAAATTCTGTGAATCTTTAAACTCGGTAAAAAGCACATATATAAAATTACCTGATCGCGAAAAAGTATATACCCTTTCCAAAGATGAACATTTCCACGTATAAAATAAATAAAATATCCAAAAACTTTTACCTCTAAATTATCTGTTATATTATAAATGTCACCAATGAATTCATACCGCAAACATTATAAAATGGTTACAAATACTTAGTGTCAAATATTTAAAATTATTTCCATGCACGTTTACTTCAACTAAAACATATACCAAATTCTTACAAACATAAAATTCACAAAATAACTATCATTTAATTAAAATATCACTAAACCATGTACACGTCGACTTATTTTTACTTAAAAAAAAAAACTCAGAATTGCACAAAAATGACATTGCGCACACTCTTCACCATATCCATGTACACTCCTTTTTTCTCATAAATTAGAAAAATTTCACGAAAATGCATGACAATTTTCTGAATCTTTAAACCCGTTAAAAAGAACATATATGAAATTACCTAATAACGAAAAAGTATATAACTTTTCCAAATATGAACATTTTCACGTATAAAATAAATAAAATATCAAAAAACTTTTACCTCTAAATTAACTATTATATTATAAACGTCACCAACGAATTCATACTGCAAACATTACAAATACTTAGTGTCAAATATTTAAATTATTTCCATGCACGTTTACTTTCACTTAAACGTATACCAAATTCCTACAAACATATAATTCACAAAATAACTATCATTTAATTAAAATATAATTAAATTCAAAAACACTACTTAAAATATAAATAAGCACATACATTAAATTAATAAAAATTAGCTTACAATCCTAATTACTTTAAACTAAATCATTGCTAATAACACTTTTCCAATAATACCATATTACTTTATTTACTACTTACATTTAGAACAATGCATAAAAATAATATCCTCAAATAATTAAAAATACTAACTTACCTAAACTTCTTCAGAATCTTGACTACGTAGCCGATAAACTTTTCTTATTTCCTCCGCTAAATAAAAAGCAAGCGTATGTGCGCCTGTTTCAGGATCTTTAAAATCATACTTATAGTTCACAACAAGGTACCAGGTAAAATAAATAACTTAATAAAACATCTTTACTTCTATCTCGCACAACCTTGAAAAAACACTTATTACTACCCCTTTCAATCCCACTAAATACCCATTTCGAATTTACTTTAGTTAGGGCCATGGGATCCAAAAATTAACCAACACTGTTTCACACAACACAGAATAAAGCTAAATACAAAATTTCCAGATTTCCCCCCTTTCCGATTAAAGAACTGTAATTCGTCCATTAATGTCACATGACATATCTCATGATCTCTCATTTCCCTCACACTAAATAATGCGTAATCGGAACTGAGGACTTCTCAGATTATTACCAAAGTCCTAGGTAGTAACCTTTATCGCCTCCAAAATGTCGCCAAACTACCAGTTACCATATTCCAAAGATCTGCCAAAATTTCTTTATCATCCTTTAAATTTTCATGTGTAGATTTCATAAAATTATTTTGTTCAATTTCAAATATATATATGTATTACTCTCAGCTAATAGGCTATGTGAAATTCTCTTGAATCATCTTATTTAAAAAATCTTATTAAATTACAGATAAGGAAATAAATTTGTATTTATTGCACTTTAATTATTGTAAATGCTTTTCTGATTTGTCACACTTTTTAAGCACTATATGAAAACTTAAGTGGTCATCATTACCTAGCATTTGATGCAATCCTATACGTTTTTTCTCATGTAATGCACAAAATAAAGTGTCAGTTTTAATTTTTAATGTTAGCTTATAATGATTATTATTCTTTTATCTGCACATCTTTTGTGCTTGTAAATAGCTAGACATTTTAACTTTTAAATATAATGAGAATTTTTAATAATATACATTTTATGCTTTTTTAATAAAATACACTTTTATGCTTAATGTGCACTTTTAAAAACTTTTTTCTGTTTTAATTCTTTTAGGAAGACTTTTTAGATTTAAATGTAATTGTAGCTAATTACAATAATCTACAAGACAGTCTTAATGCAACGTTCCTACAACAAGAAATCATGAAGGGTAAAAATCAGTATCGCTGTAGTACCTGTTGTAATTTAGTCGATGCAAAGAAGGTAATAATTTAGTTTTATAAAGAAATATTTGTATTTTTATGTTCATTTGCAATACACTGTAATTTCATCTGAAAAACTACACTTAATATAATTTTGTTATTTCAGCCAGTGGTATCTTTTGGTATCTTCCTATTAAAGGTTATATTTATATTTTTGAAATTCAAGTTTTTTTCATGTTTGCTGAGTTTATGTTTTAAGAATGTTAGCAATTTTTGATTCAGTAAGGAGTGAGGAAGCTGCTATGTAATTCTTCCAAGAAAGAATCATTTTACATCATGTTTGAGTATGTGCATATTTTCATGAAATAATAAGGAATAAGGAAGTATGATTAAAGTGACTGTGCTTAGGAGTGGCTGCCATTTGGAAATGGTTTGCGTCACATGCTGAAATTTATAAATAAACCCTAATATCCTTTAAATAATGATTGCAAGCCATAATAATAAGGAATGCCAGAAAATTTGGTCATATATACTAGTACAACCACCTTAGTAAAAGTCACAAGATTTTCTTAATATGCCAAACTTTGGCAACCATGTGCGTAAGAATTCTTCAACCGAGTATGCACATAAAGCTTTTTCAGTTTTACCAAGCAATGTCACTGTTTTAATTTATATTTAGTTGTATTCCAAATTCCAACAGTTATTATAGACAAATCATGATGTTCATCTTATTTTTAAAATGCATGCTTGTAGCATTTTTCTACAATAAAAGTAACTGCAGTAACATTTCTGCAGGAATACAGTATTTTGAACATTTCTAAAGAAACTCACACCAATGGCCAAGTGATTGAGGCTGCTGAATATTGCTATTTTTGACGGGGGTTTGAATTCAAGCAAGCTGGCTGCTTAGTTAGGTTTTTTGGTTTTCATCATACTATGTAACATAAATACAATTTCCCTCAGAAAGCATTTCATGAAGGCATCCTTTCCCTTAGGCAGGTACCCCTCATGTGTTTTATGTATTTTAACAACCTGCTTGTTTTCAGAGCAGAATTTTCATCAGAATTAAAAAAAAAAAAAAAAAAAAAATTATGAAAAGGTTTGTTGATTGATTTTTGGGATAAATACGTAATTAAAACATAAGATATGTATATGAGTCATAAAAATTTTTTTACAAATGTAAGTTGTCATTCCTTTTCCTCCTGTAAAAAATCTGCACATTGTGCCGAGGGGGTTGCATTAATGTGCTAAATATCAAAAATTTTTCGTGTGAGTATTCTAGAACAGTATTTTAAGCATTTTCCCATTAAAGCCATAGCACACATTTTTGGTTTATTTCCTTCTACATGAAATGGAGGGATTGGAAACAGCAACAAGGAATATTCTGTAATGACAAAATCGTCCAGAAACTGATTGTAGGAAAACATGGCCTACGTAATGTTTTAAGTAAATTTTCATTCTGTTGCTACAATTTTGTTGCACTTATAAATTTTTAATATTAGAGATAATATGAAATTGGAGCATACTTCTCTTATGTAATTATTCGAGTTAATCATTGTGTTGTGATTCTGAAGAGCAATCTTTACTTTGCAAAACTCAATAGACATTCGCTGCTGACATCATAAGTAAAAAAATTGTGCGACGGTAATAAATAAAATGTGTGATCCAAAAAACTACTTTTATATTTGAACTTTTTTTATTCTTGACAAATGCTGCGTAGCTATTTCAACTTCAAGTCTAAAAAATATGTATTGTGTTTTTGGAGGGGGGGTGAAGAACAAGATAGTTGCTTTATTATCTCTTGGTAATGGAAACCATCGCAGTAGGAAGGGGACTAGTGGAAAATGCACCTGTGTGATTGTTGTTTAGGAACACAGTTATCACCAAGAAAGAAGCTGAACAAAATTCATGAGACCTGCTACCAACTAAATGCACCAAAACAAAATAAAAAGGGTAGTGTGTTTTGGCTGTTACAGAAAAGGGCCATATTTGAAACTTTTTGTTGAAGTTGTCTGCTTTTTTTATTATATACAGTGAAAATTGTTTAACACAAAACTGAGGGGACTGAAATATTTTTTCATGTTAAAGGATATTGAAATATATATATATATATATATATATATATTCAACAATATTTAAGTTTATTAGAGTACATACATATGTATATATGCATATATATTTTACATAGATATGTATATAGGCATGTATTTAATAAAAGTGAATAAAACAAAAACATCCACAAAAACATAATGAAATTTAATACAAAATTTTCAAGTTTTTTGAAAAACAAAACATTGAGTTTTTGGAAAATGAACTGCTATTTATCTTTGCATGGTCCTTTTTAGCATCAAATTGTACAATGTCGTCCATTTTGTTATTCATTTATCCATTGGAATGTGCATCTAAATAACTGCGCATACTTTTTATGATGTTTCTCATTTCAGATGACGTGAGAACAGGAACTGCGTTATTCATTTCATTTTCATCATCAGAATCTGCATCAATGAAATTTTTCAGCTTTGAACAAACTCCAAAATGTCTTTGTCTGCCATAATTGGGGCAGTACCAACGTTATCATTATCTACTGCAATGAATTCTTCGGATAATACAGTAGGACAGTCCAATAATACAGAAACTTTCTCAAACATTTTGGAGTCGCTGAATTCCATGCAGAGTGCAACATATTTTTACTGATTACATATATCACTGATTTTTACTCACACTGCGATATGCGTTACCGAATTCCAAAGCCAACTAATGAGAGATGAGATGTTTGTATTGGTGGAGAGTGAAAGTAGCTGAGATAAACAAAACTTGCTCATGTTCGAGAGTATTTCAAAGCCAAGTTTAGCCTCCTTTTTGAGAAATATTTGAAACCGCCTCTCTTTATTTCGCATCCCCTCTTAAATCTCGCCTGCAAGGACGGGTTTTCCGGGTTTGGGGTTTTCCGTACTTTGTTCATTCTCAGAAAGGAAATCTTTTCGTGTTAAGAGAAACAAATTGCATGAAAATACATAGCATAACATATTTCATCGTATATTATTTTATCTTTTTTGATTATGTCTATTAAAGTCATGTCTTGTAAACAATGAACCATGCTTTTGAAGTGTATAAGTAATTTCACTTAAATAATAACACTGAAATCATTAATTGTTAAAAAACTTCATACTTGAAGTTTTAATGTGATCAAATTTTGTTGCTTCATGATGTTCTGATGAAATGTGAATAATAGAATATTTCTGTCAATGTTCCTAAAAAGAAATCATTAAAATATATTTCAGGGTTCAAAAATTAAGTGTCTTCCTCCTATTCTGACTTTCTCACTTTTGCGCTTCAGCTACGATATAGCTAAAGGTGAACGTTATAAAGTAAGTGTGAGATAATTTTTTGGCTTTTTTAGTTGTATGTTATTATTATTATTTGTAAAAAATATTAATTTTGTCATAAGAATAAAGTATAATTTTCAGTTTTTTTTGGTTTTTATAAAGTTTTAAAAAGCACAAAATACAATAAAAAAAGTTATTTTTAGTATTTGCACATTTATTAAAAGCAGTGGCAAAAAAATTATGAAACTATATGGGTAATGAGGCTTAGAAAATCATCATTTTAAGTATATTGACCTTCCTTTTTGAAATTATGAAAGTTGTGTAGTACTTGACAAAGATGCTGCCGGTATTTAAGTGTTTTGGAGACATAGATTATATTGAAGAGTTTTCATTGTAACAAGGAAAATAAAATAAATTTAATTCCAAAATATTTTTTATCATAATCTTCTCAAATCTCAGTACTCTTAAGTATAACATTTCCTTCAACTTCTGAATTAATTTTATTAATTCCTTCTTGGAAGTAACTTTTCTCGGGCTTTCCAAAATATCCATTTATAGCCTGAATCGCGCTTCTTCATTTGCCAAAAATTTCTTCCCAGCTAGGAATGTTTTGAGCTTTGAGAAGAGACTGAAGTCTAAGGAAGCCCAATCTGGTGAGTATGGTAGATGTGGAAGGATTCAGAATTTAAAATTTGATTACTTTTTTTGGGGGGGATTAACCCCCTAAAAATATCACTTGAATATATAAGGCATTATCTTGATTAAATAGCATCCTTTTCTTGACTGTTTATGGGCATTTTTCCTGAATAATCACTTTTAGCTTGTCCATAGATTTCCAAAAACTGATGCTAGCATCTTTCTATCTTTTTATTTCTTATGACCTGAATTGTTTTTACCAATCCACCAATTTGATTGCAGTATAGTTTCTGGTAGTTGGTGATTATTCAAAGTACTGTTAAAAATTGTCTTTTGGGACTTGGTGAATTCTGCTTACAAACTTCTAACATTTGCTGAAATTTGGGTTGAAACGTGATTTTACTCAGGATCAAGCAGATGCTGAATGTATCTTCAGTGAACCTTTTATAAGCCTAGTTTTTGATGCAAAATATAATTACTCATTCATAAGAGATGACCATGACATGATGGAATTTTACACTCTTTTATTTGGTGATTTTTATTCACAATTTTTGGTGTGGTAGCTATTATTGAACATCCTGAATTTGCATTTAACAGTTGTGAGTGCAACCAAGCTTAAATTCCAGTGTCCAAGAACTCGTGACAGAAAATGAAAGTAATAAATTACCAGAAATAGTATTTAATTTGAATTCCGTTTTTATTACAAATTTTTCTACCTAGTAAAAAATTTGATAACTTTTACTTGGTGTTCTCACAGCAGATGGCTTACCTCCCATGAATCAGGATCAAAATTAAAGAAACTGATAGCATTACAATACTAAACCACATAAAAAGGAGCAGTACATAGGTAAATAAATACGAAGAAATTATCCATACTAACTTTTATTACATGACCAAATTATTATAATAAATTACATAAAATTACTAAAAGAATGCATTTATGAGAAAGAAAGACTGAAGAGAACCCTATCATATCTCTCAATGGTTGTCATTATACATTAAGCACATTGAAAAAGCAATTCAAGTGATACTATATATCATTTTAAACAGTCCTGTTTTTTATTTGTCAATATTTGCCATTTTACTACTATAATCAGATCCCTATTTTTTATTCGCACAAACACTGTTTTGATGAATCTCAGCATGGCCAAAAATTTGTCCTCGTTGTTGGCAGGCTGCCATTATATTAATAATATGATGTAGGAACACTGTATGTGCTATTCCTCTCCATACTGTTATTTGTTTAAGATTACTTCATAAATCCTTTGATGCTCGATAATTCTCCGTTGGAATTTGTAGAAAATGTTAAGTATCTTGGTGTCATTCTTGACCAAAAATTAACATGGAAAAAGCACATTGAATTCCTTTCTGCTAAATGTGAAAAAATTATTAATGGCTTTCACCGAATCGCCAAAAATACTTATGGAGTAAGCTACAATGTTAAGAAACTCATGTGTAAGCAGTGTATTGTACCTTTCATTTCGTACGGCTGTCGTGCTTGGGGACATGTTCTAACCAAGAAGGTTAACAAAAGAAATTTAAGAAAGATTCAACGGAGAATTCTTCTTCGTATTATTAGTGGTTATAGAACCTTAAGCTATGAGGCTACTTTTGTTCTTGCAGGAGTTCTGCCTATTGATTTTGAAATTGCATATAAGAATAATATTTTTGAGTCATTGGCAACTGATGCTTTGGAAGACTGTATTAATGGAACTGTCCCCTTCACTGATATTCCTCATCCCGCTACTTTAGAACCCATAAATTTCTGCGATTATAAAGAGACTGCTGAAATAAGTTTTCACGTGGTTTTCTTTACAGATGGCAGCAAGATGAACAACAAGGTTGGCCTTGCATTTGTTCTTTTTGAAGGCCATTCCGAGGTTGTTTTTTTTAGACACCTTATACGGAATGAATGCACAGTTTTTCAAGCAGAACTTCTGTGCATTTATCTTGCCGTCAAATGGATCCAAGATAATGGGACAACATCCTCAAAGTACCTTATTTGTTCTGATTCTCTTTCTTCTATTCAACTTTTGAACAGTATTACCAGCTGCGATAAAGTAGTTATCGAAACCCTAGTAACTGTTAGTTCACTTAGAATTAGAGGTATTGATATCTGCTTTGCTTATGTGCGTGCTCATCATGGTTTCTACGGAAATGAAAGAGCTGATTTCTTAGTAAAGATGCCTTAAATTTACCCATTGATATCAACATTAGCATTTCCAAAGAGTTATTGGAAGTCCTTTCATTATAAAAAGCTTTTAGCTGTGTGGAATGAGGAATACATTTCATCTTGTAATGCTGAAGTCACCAAAAAGTTCCTTCCTTCTATTTACCATAGACTGAATTCCGAGTCTTTCCTCTCATTAAATTTTAAAGTGTCTCAGTTTTTATCTGGTCACGGTAAATTTGCAAGTTACCTGTTTCGTTTTAATCTACGATCAAACAATTTATGTGAATGTTCAAAAAGAGTTCCTAAGAATGTGGCACATTTGATTTTCTCATGCCCTACATTTGATGGCCCTAGATTATGCTTACAGAACGATTTGAAAATGTTCAGAGTGATTTGGCCAGTGAACTTATCTGTTTTCGTGAAGTCCAGACTGCTGTTCTCTGCTTTTGTTCGCTTTATTTATGCATGTAACTTTTAATGTTTATTTATGCTTGTAACTTTTAATGTTTTAGTTAACTTACATCTGTAAGCCCCGTGTTGTGCACAAGGAGTCTGTATGTTCTCAAAGGAGGGGAAAAAAATTTCCAAATTTTCCAACGTTCCAAATTTTTTTTTGCTTAATTGCTTTTCAATATCAGACATTTTGACAGTTATATTTAAAATTTGCTTTTAAATATGCTGCCCAGACAGTATAGTGTATAGTTGTAAGGGGAGCCAACAGCAATACCAAAGGGCCCAGGTTCAAATCCCAGAGAAGGCATGGTTGAAACTGCCCATCCCTTCATAAGAGGCAAAGGCGGTGCTTCCATAATAAAGTGATCACCACTTCTGGCCTTAGTAGTAGTCGAACTGAAGTGGGCTGAGGGCCCGCCATTTCTGGGGGGAAATATTTTAAAAGAGAAACGACTGCCCTGTGGGCAAAGTGGCTAGCGCATCGCACAGCTACACCACAGGTCAGAGTTTGATCCCCGGGCTGGGCAAGGTTGACTTAACCTTTTGTCCCTTGAATGGGTCAATAAAATGAGTACAAATTTACTTGGGGACTAAACACCAGAGGTCCTGCGACAAGCTGACCACTTGCCCAAAGCATATACTGATGCACTCCGTGGCCTAAGGTCAAGAAAGCAGATTTCGGGGCACTGCATGCCATGGCCCACTAGGTTATCTGGAAATGATAATAACTTATAGCAGTTTCTGAAACTTTTTAGTCTGTGAATAAAGCATAATTTCAAGTTCAGTTTATAAAGATTTAAAGATACTTTATGTTAGTGGTCACTAGGAACATAGGTGTTGGTAAATTATGGCTAATTTACCTGTGAATGTCTGTTTTCATGCTGCATCCTTCCCACAATGTTTATCATATTCTTTTAATTACATACTCAATCTTGTTCTTTTAGCCTTTATATATAGCATCCTTCAACATACTGCTCATTTATTACTGTCGTAATGGATCTCTGGAATTCCTGAAATAATAAAACAGTAACTTTTTGCTTCTTGCGGAATAGCAATATTACATAAATTATATAACTAATAATTATTATTGACAAATGGTGATTCCCATTTGATTTCCATGCAGTGAAATTATGCATCATTAAAGGAAACTTGTTGTGGAAATGCAACATTTAAAAGTGATACAGCTGATAGAAATAAAGGTAGGAATTTAGTATGAAATAAGCCATGTTGCAATAACAGACAGTGATTTATTTAAAAGGAATTAACTTCCATCAGAGTTTGCCAAGAAGCAGTGGATATTGTTAATAAAACAATTATTGATTGGAATGGTTATTTTTAAAATGTGTGATGGGCAAAAATAAATAGAGAGTCAAATTTGCGAAAATTTGCATTTAGACAAAGGCTAACTTAATGCTAAGCAATTTCCATTAGCAACTAATGTGCAAATACTAATTTAAATTGTAAATAAGTAAAAAAAGTGTTTTAAAATTTCATGAAATATTTTTTTTAAATTTTTTCATTCATACATAAACAAAATATGTAGGATGTAACAGAACGATAGTCGCAACTTCAAGGAGTGATAGATGTGACAAAAGTAATAATTTTTATAATCCAATGGGAAATAAAATGTGAATGCAGAAATGCAGTAAGTATGAGGGATGTGGAAAGTAAAAAGTAGTTTTGATCACTGATAGTGACCAGTAATAATATTTGATATTTATAAGAATTGTTCATATGAACGACGAGCAACTGGAATATACACTTCTCAACAAGAAGTGATCTTGTTTATGAGATGCAGACCTAAAAGTCTTATCAACAGAATTAGCATCACTGCTAATGAAATATGCCGCATGCTGTACTTCATCATTGTGATACATGTATTGCAGTTTATGATAATTTATTTGAAAAATTCTTGTAAGTATCAGACATTATTTCATGTAAATATCTATGTTTAAATGTTCCCCGTGCTCTTTATATTTTCTGTGTTCCCATTTCTACATTCCACCACATTGAATCATGAAAGTTGTTACTTTTGCATGTTCTGTCACCTCTTAAAGTAGTGAGCAGCAATTCTATTATACCCTATATAGTACAGTCATATTTGACATACTTATGAATTATATTTTGTGTAAAATATATTATAATCTATAGTTAAATAATGAAAAGGAATATAGTATAAGTTGTCATGTACTGCAGTTTTATTTGTAACTGAAAATTACATTTTCAACTTATTCATTATACACTCATGTCCATAAATTAAGGATAATTCGGAGTCACGCGAAAATCGAACTCTAAAATAAATATATCGCCTGTAAAATCACTATACACATCTTCAAGAATAATATGCAAATTTCAAGAAGTAACCAGATGACACCGATGGTACGTCACAATGATGAGAGTGCAAGAGGAATATATGAGGAATACGGGCAAAGAAGTAAAATTATTCGCAGGCGCTTTATAAGCATTTCAGTGCAATATCCAAATAGTTATGACACAAAGGACGCATTTGGATGATTTTTTACATGGTAGAATTATCGGCCGTCTGGAATATGAGCATACCCAACTGGAAGTATCAGACGAACTTGCAATTGCCCAGAGTGTCATCTCCAGGCTTTGGCAACGATTCCAAGATGATGGTAATGTGAGTAGACGTTACAGCACAGGTTGCTCCAGAGTTACAATGCCGAATGAGGACCGGTATTTGGCAGTTACTGCCAAAAGAAACAGGTGGAGCACAGCCTCAGACCTGTCTCGTCAGCTCTCTTCAGCCACTGGTACGACAATTTCATGGCAGACCGTCTACAGCCGCTTAGGGCAGATTGGTCTTTATGCTCGTAGACCTGTCAGATGCGTTCCACTTACTGCAACTCACTGTCGCCTGCGGTTAGCCTGGACTAGAGAGCATGCATTGTGGACACCGCTACAGTGGGCTTGTGTGATGTTTTCCGACGAGTCTAGGTTTAGCTTGCAGTCTGATTCTCACCGGACTTTCATATGGAGAGCTCCAGGTACTTGTTACCACCAAGAAAACATCATTGAAAGACACCGTTATAGTGGTGCAGGAGTGCTTGTTTGGGATGGAATTATTCTGGGTTTCAGAACTGACCTGCATGTTCAAATTGGAACCATGACAAGCCAAATCTATCGGGATGTCATTCTGGAACAACATGTATGTTTGTTTCGGGATGCCATGGGAGCACAATTTGTGTTTATGGATGACAACGCCCGTCCTCACCGTGCAAACATCGTAAGCGAATGCCTTCAATCGGAGGATATCACCCGTATGGACTGGCCAGCATTCTCACCGGACTTGAATCCAGTAGAGCACGTGTGGGACATGCTTGGCCGACGAGTTGCAGACCGTCAACCTCCTCCTACATGTCTACCGGAACTTCGGAGAGCATTGCTTTTTGAGTGGTGTAATATCCCCCAAGATCAGATCAGTAATTTGATACTCAGCATGCCTAGGCGTTGTACGGACTGTATTGCATCGTCTGGAAGACGTGCAATGTATTAACAATCATACCAACCATGTAATATTGGTTTTTTGTAAATAGGTTTTTGTAATTTGCTCCAGGGAGAAAAAATTGCTAATTTTTTTAATAATATCAGACATATAGCATCTTTTTTTGCTCTTTACCTTTTGTTTAATAAATACGCTTTACAAATAAGTCAAATTTGTTTTGCTTCTAACTCTTCCTTTGCCTGATTTTGTATTATCCTTAATTTATGGACATGAGTGTATTTTTTACAATGATTCTTCTTATATATTGCAGGAAACTGGTAAATTTATTTTTCCATTCGAAATTAACATGGCTCCTTACTGTAATAAGGTTGGTCATTTTTCTTTTTATTATCTTATATTTTATATGTCATTTGACAAGAATGAAAATATTTTGTTCTAATATATAATAGTTTTACATTATTGAAATTTTGCTGATTTTTCAAGGTTTTACTTAATTTTTTAGATGATAAAGAGATTCTTTAAAATATACATTTAAAAGACTGATGGAAAACTTGCTTAAATTTAATGTGGAAAATTTTTATGATTTTTTATTAACTATTTGGAATTTAGCTTGACTTTTAGCCCAGAATTCCTTTTCATGTGATAAAATTACATATTTAATTTTTTTCCTAAATTCTTTAGTATATGCTTTTATATAATGAAAAGCAATGATGTTATCAATCTGAATACATACAAAAACATTTTTATATCAAAGGAAACAATTCCAATTTACATTTATTTTCTGTCTGAAATCCGTATGTTTTTTGTATTTGCAAGAAAGCTCAATTAATTGCACTTTGTAATTTAAGTGTACTAATAGATAAATATTAATTTTTTTGGCTTGACATTTATTTCAAATCCTTCTAATATATTTAAATAAGTACTAAATAAAACCGTGGTTGGTTTAACTGCAGAAAAAACTATTGATATACATATATATGTATTCGCAAGCAAAGCAATTCTTCTTATTGCAAAAACTCATAGCTGAGGATATTTATCTTTTGAAAAGTAAGAAAAAGGATTAATAAAATTTACATCTCTTAAATCTTTTAATATGATTTAAATCACAGTGTAAATTAATTAGCTCCATTTGTAGATTTTTTAGGGCCTTACTCGTGTTCAATTTTAATGCCAATGAAAATAATGTAGAATTTGTCATAAAATCATTAAAGTCTTAAACCTTTCTTTGGATTTTTTCATAAGGATTAATATCTGTATAATGCTAATTGACTTATGCAAGATGTGTTCATCAGCTGCATAAAATTGCTTCAAAATCTGCATGCTTCCTACAGGCCGAGAGTTTGACACCACTCTTATAGAACATTTATTATAATAATGTTTAATTTTGAGAAAATTAATTATTATTTTAAAGAATAAGTGATTTTTCCCCCTTTAGGAGATGAGCACAGAAGATTCCACATATGAACTTTTTTCAGTTGTAATCCATAGGTAATATAGCATTATGAATTTATATCGTTATTTATCATTTTATACTAATATTATATTTGTTTTCATTTTGTAGAAATATAATATGTATATTATTACAATAATATATGCATGTATAAATTTGTAAATATTGAAATTTTACTTGAATAAATTTCTTGGGTAATAATACTAAGCCTGGGTTTTAACCAGAAGCTAAATTGAAGAAGTAATTAAATCTAATCACAATGGTCTGTTTTTCATTATTTTTATCTTTTATTTAGCTATAATAGTATTGGGTACCTAGGTCTTATTTCATTGATTATGAAAGTTGGCAGAGATTCTGCCAAAAGTGCACCAATTATTCCTGTGGAATTCAGAAGAAATTGATGCTGCTTTATTTAATAAACAATCAGTATTCAACCCAGTATGGAATAAAAGCTTTCATCAGTTTAAATTATTTTGTTTTTCCTCTGATTTTACCAGAAGCTCTGTTTAAATACTATGTGTACAAACTTCCCACAGGTAATTGTTCCAGTTAGTGTTTTTTGTCAGCCATATACAGCTGACCATTTATTATAACATCCCAAATTATTTGATGTTTTAGCCCTCAGGGGCTCACTTTTGTGAGTACGGGTGTGGCAATCCCGAGGTACCCTAGCCCTTCAGGGGATCATCTTCTTGGTGAGACGGGTGTCACGATCCTGGAGCCCCAGTGATCTATCCTCTTTTCCGTCTCCTCTCCTCTTGGCTGGAACTTTTTCCCTTCCCTTCTCCCTTGTGGTTTCTCTCTACGGAGTTTGGGGCTCGTCACGAGAGGCTGGAACAGACCTTGTTTCTAGTTTTCGAGTGGCGAGAAAACTGCCCACGTGTTTGCCGTGCGTGGAGACCCGTGTCGCTGGAAAGGAGGGTCCTGGTAGTTGAGGGGCGAGGTACTGTCCCCAACACACTGCTTTGGCCTCTGCTTCAGCTAAACGGGAGGCACCTTAGTCGTCCTCACGGGTGTCAATCGGCTGGTCACTAGTCCTTGTGTCAGTGGCTTGGGGTCAAGCTCTCGGGAGGGAGTACCTGCTTTCGGGAAAGCCGACTGTGGGGCTTCAGTTTGCGTATAGGTCCGGCTAGCCCTAACACAGGAATCTGTGTTCCCTTGTTGGGCTCCGTGGTGGGCGGGGCCGTCGGACCCGAAAATTTTTTCTCTTTTAAACAAAGCTTCAATTTTTCATACTAAAAAAACCTGACCTCAAACTGAAATCTAAACCAAGATACTAGAAATAATTGAGAAACCTATCTAGCTAAGAAAACCCGTACTGATGCAAATGCAAAAGGAAACTACTGAAAATCCCGCTTCCTAGTTGTCTCTAGTCCTTCTGGCGAAACTGCAAAAGATGTCTCCTTTTCGTAATAAACAAATACATCCAGTCTTGTATTAGGTGAGCCAAAGAAAATATAAAGCGTCTCCGCTCCGGAGACCTGCTTATTGATACTGTCTCAGCCAACCCAGTCTGCTTCCCTTTACTTCAGAAACCAAACTTGGGAAATGTAGCTATAACTGTGTCAGCACATAAAACACTGAATTTTTTGTAGAGGTGTAATCTCGGAATTCGACCTTCTGTATGTTTCTGAAGAAGAGATCGCTTCCGAGTTATCCTGACCAAAATGTCTGTGTGGTGCTAGGCGGATCAAGATGCGTAAGGAAGGTAAGTTGATAGACACGAAACACGTGATCCTTACCTTCAACACGCCTGATCTGCCTAAGAATATTAAGGCCGGATATCTAAATTGTCCTGTAAGACCTTATATTCCAAACCCTATGCGATGCTTCCAATGCCAGCGTTTCGGCCATTCTAAGACGTCTTGTCGTGGCAGCCTCACATGCGCCCGATGCTCACAGATTGGCCACGATTTCTGAAAATTGTACCGCTGCGCCTTGTGTATAAATTGCAAGGGGGCACCATCCAGCATTTTCACGTTCCTGTGCCCAAAATGGAAATTGGAAAAAGGAAGTGCAGACCTAAAAGTTACCAGGAACATCTCATATGCCGAAGCCAGAAGACTAGTTCAAAGCACACAGCTAATCGAACAAATCATATGCCAGTGCCGTTAAAATCAACTCGTACAATTGCCACCCAAACATCAATAGGCACACAGACTCCACCAAATAAAAACCAACCAGCCTCCAACAAGAAAAAGAAAATGCAACCATATAGTACAAAATAAAGAAATAGCAATTCAAAGTAAACCCAAAACTGCCTCACAAATAAAATAAAAATAGAAGTCCCAGCAATAGCTTCTTGATGAAATGATTTCTGAATCTGCGGATTCAGACAGTATGGAAGTAGAAGAGGGTCTAGAAGTTCCCAGGCATCTACTTCCACGAAAAACAAAAAGGAAGCACAGGAAAAACAAAACACCATTCATAATGGCCACCCTCGTCTCATGGAACTGTCGCGGTTTCCACCGAAATTTGCTTCGACATCAAAGCTATAATAAATGCTTATCATCCTGTATGCTTCGCAATACAGGAAACAAATCTAAAACCAGAACAACATGCAAAACTTCGGAGGTTTTCTTTCGTCAGGAAAGATAACCATTGCAGGTGAGCGTGCCAGTGGAGGTGTAGGTCTCCTCACCTCACTGGATTATCCCTCAAATGTGCTTTCTTTGACGACATCCCTCCAAGTTGTCGCTACTCAAACAAATTTTGATATTGTTGTTTACAGTCGTTTCTCTGTATTTGCCTCCAAATGAGCATATTGATCAGCAAGATTTAAATGGTCTTTTAGAGCAGCTGCCTGAGCCTTTTCATCATAATAGGAGATTTTAACGGCCATAGTCCGCTCTGGGGTAGTAAAGATACAAATTGCCGAGGAAGACAAATTGAGCAGATGATCGAAGATCATAGCCTTTGTCTCCTAAATAATGGGCAAGGATACTTACTTCCATGAGCCTTCAAGGACATTCCACGCTCTCGACCTTGCCACCTGTTCACCATCTCTGTTGCCATTTTGCACTTTTAGTGTCGGAAATGACCTGTACAACAGCGATCATTATCCTATTTTTGTGTCTCTTGCACGAAGAGGAGCAAACCCCGTGTCGAGACTCCCTCGTTTTATACTGGACAGGGCAGACTGGGAACTCTTCTCTTCCATTGCAGAGCTCACAGATGAAATGGTAGAAGATGTGCATATCGATGACGCTGTTGAAGCTGTTACTAATACTATTATTCAGGCAGCTATGCTTTCGATTCCTAGAACATCAGGAAAACTACTAAAATATTCGAAACCGTGGTGGAATCGCGACTGTCATGAAGCACTGAAAAAACAGAAAAAAGCATGGGGTATTTTTCGTAGATATCCTACTCTGCGAAACCTCATAGCTTTTAAAAGAGCCAAAGCAAATGCACGGAAAGTAAGAAGGCAGAGCCAGAGGGATTCCTGGATTTCATATGTGTCCTCAATAACATCCTCTACGCCTAGTAAGCGGGTTTGGGAAAGAGTTCGAAAAGCATGCGGAATATATAAAGACCACTCACTTTCCTTTCTGGAAAAAGATGGCCGAGTGATTAGCTCCATAGAAGAAATTGCGAATACTATTGGTGAGACATTTGCTGCCGTTTCTTCCAGCCGAAATTACTCACCTGCATTTCTTTCTATCAAGCAACGCTCTGAAAAAAATCCCATCGCTTTCAACTCTTCCAAACTTTGAGCCGTACAATAGAGACTTTACTATGGTTGAATTAAAGAGAGCTTTGTTGCAGACACATAGGTCTTGTCCGGGTCTGGATGGCTGTGATGCGTGTATTATGAAATGCTAAAGCATCTGTCCTATAAGTCACTGAGTGCCCTTCTCACACTTTACAATAGAGTGTGGAAGGAGCGTACATTTCCCAGTGCATGGAGGAGAGCTATTGTCATTCCTATTGCGAAGCCAGGGAAAGACCCGAGGAATCCCTCGAACTATCGGCCAATTGCCCTTACCAGTTGTGTTTGCAAACTGTTTGAAAAGATGGTAAACAGCCGCCTAGTCTACTTCTTGGAAAAGAATAATATTATATCGCCTTATCAAAGTGGTTTTCGAAAGGGGAGAGCAACCGTAGATAATATGCTCCTCTTAGAGACATCTATTCGAAAAGCATTTGTAAGAAGAAGTCACCTTGTCTCAATATTCTTCGACATTGAGAAAGCTTATGATAAGGCATGGAGATACGGTATACTCCGGGATCTTCACGAGAGTGGCTTGCGCGGCAACCTACCAATTTTCATTCAGAATTTCTTGAACGCTAGAACTTTTCAAGTAAGGATTGGCTCTGTTTTTTCGGATGTTTTTGAACAGGAAGAGGGTGTGCCTCAAGGCTGTGTGCTTAGTGTAACCCTGTTTAGTTTAAAAATAAAAATTCTGTATTAAAAGAACTTCCTCCCACCATCTTGGGATCTCTATATGTTGATGATCTGCAGATTAGCTGTCGAGGGAGCAGACATGAGATATGTAGAGAGGCAACTGCAGATGGCTCTGAATAAGATCCAAGAATGGTCAGACAAACAGGGATTTACATTTTCGAAACAGAAAACTGTGTGCGTGCACTTTTGTAGGAAGCGAGGTCTCCATCCTGAACCTGAGTTATATTTGAATGGTACAATTATTCCAGTTGCGCGCCTGAAGTAAAATTTTTAGGAGTGACGTTCGACCGAAAATTGACTTTCCTTTCTCATGTTTTAAACCTGAGAAAGAAGTGTCTAAAAAAACACTAAATATTTTAAAAGTGTTGGCGAACACCTCCTGGGGTGCAGAGCGTTGCTCCATGCTTCGCATTTACAGAGCGCTTATCCGCTCTAAACTGGACTATGGCTCAGTTGTTTATGGATCCGCTCGGTCATCTGTTTTGTTAAAACTGGATCCTGTTCACCATCAAGGTCTGCGGATTTGTTCAGGAGCTTTCAGGACTTCTCCTGTGCAGAGCCTATATGTTGACTGTAACGAACCATCACTTTATCTGAGGCGTGAGCAATTGTCCCTTTTGCAATATTTTAATACTCTATCTCAACCTGAACATCCCAATAAGCTGTGCTTACTTGATAATGAGTGTAACACATTATTTGAAACACGTCCATCCTGTGTTCCTACTTTCCCTTTAAGAGTTCGCCCTGTCATTGAGGAACTCTCCCTCTCTGATATGCACCCCCAAGCAGTACAGAATTTTGAAATTCCACCTTGGGAAAATTCACGGATCCAGCTTCTTGATGTTTTTAAACATCACGTAAAGGCGAGCACTAACGAGATCGTTTACAGACAACTTTTCGCTGAGCACAGGCACAAATATAGCAGTTATTATCCGATATACACAGATGGATCAAAGTCAAATGATCATGTCGGGATGGCTTTTGTATTTGAAAATTACATAGAGGGCAGATGCCTGCACCATGCTTTCTCTGTCCTAACATCTGAACTAACTGCAATATATTATGCTCTTTTGTACATCTCAAAGCTCTGCCACAAAAAGTTCATAGTTAGTTTACACAGACTCGTATAGTGCTCTTAAATCCTTGGAAGCTTTTCCCAACGCTCAGAATCCTGTGGTAGTGGATGTTCTCAAAATTCATAGAAATTTAATGATACGAGGATATGAAATCCTGTACTGCTGGGTTCCCGGGCATACGGGAATAAAGGGAAACGAGCTTGCAGACATCGCGGCAAAATCTGCTGTTCGAACTGTCCAGTCGCCTTATCCCTTTTAGAGACATCTGCTGTGTCATCAAGGGAAAGATACGAAAAAAATGGCAGCAAATTTGGGATGTTCAGCATCACAACAAGTTGAGAAACATCAAACCTAGAATTGAGCATTGGGATTTTGCTGGAAATCGTAAAGAGGACGTTCTTTTGACTCGACTCAGAATTGGTCATACCAGAGTCACACATAGCTATCTTCTTAAAGCTGAAAATGAGCCTGTTTGTTTTAATTGTAATGTTTGTTTATCTGTTCGTCATATTTTAATTGAGTGTCAATGTTTTAATAGTCTTCGCCAGAAATATTTTTAATAGCTGTGACTTACCTCTCGACCGTTTAATCGGAAGAGAGGTCAATTCTAATTTATTTTATTATTTAAAAGAGATTGGCTTTTATTACCAAATGTAATTTGTTTTGAAGACTGTGTCTTGAATGTTAATATGTGCTTTTAACTTGTTTTTATATGACTTCATCCTCTGGATTTGGTACATTTATCTACTTGTTTTTATTTATTGAATTTTCATGTCATCAATTGTAATCATCTCATCTTTTGTTTGGCGCGTCATAATCATCTCTGGTTTTTGCGCCATAATCACTCACTCACTCACTCACTATTTGATGTTTTATAGCAGGCAGATCCCAAATTTTAACTTTTTTTCTTTCAAATGCAACACAAAATACAGCAGTAACAGTTAATTTATATCAGTGTTCATAAAAACAAAAGTTGGTTTATGAAGAATCAATTCAGGTTATATCAGACAAAAACACTGATGTTAGGACTGTGTTATTATGTCACACATATCCACGATTAATGCTATATTGTGCTGTTTGGTGACAGTTTCATGACTGACAGGAGGATAGCTTGTATTTCTATAAAAATATTCTATTCAATGCAGTGTTTTAAATAAATGTTTTCCTTTCTTTGCAGTGGTTGTAGCTACGGGGGCCATTATCATGCTTATATTAGGGATGTTGATTGTTTGGGAAAGTGGATGCCTCCAGTAATTATTAACTTTTTTGTGTTTATGATTTTCCAAGAAATGTGTATCTGATTTGTTAAATTATATTATATTGTGTCTAATTTAATAATGTAGTTCAATAATGTGTATGTGTGTGTATTGAGAATACGGCAAAGCACACTAGGGCTATCTGCCTAAGGGGAGGGATGCCTTTCGTGGAGGACTTTCTAAGGGAAACTGGCTCGTATACACGTTACACATGGGGAAAACCACGAAAACGCCCATGCAGCCAGCCCGTTCGCGGGATTCGAACCTCGGACCGAACTACCAGTGTTCAGCGACTTTACCGCTCGGCCGCTGGTGGGCGTAGTTCAATAAGTTATAGCACTTCAAACCATTAAATTAATCTCATCTGAATCTGTAACATCTTTAGTAAAAGCTGTCAATTATTTTATACAATTATAAAATGAGTTTTATAAATGAGTGAGAAAATTAGTCATTTTTAATTATCAGAATTAGCTATATATTGTTGACTCATATTTTTCTGTTCTGTTCTGTTGTTGATCTATATCTAAGCATAATGGAAAGAGAAATTGGATCTTTCATAATGCAAAATTTTTTATCTTTGGTAGTAATCTGTGTTTAAGCATAATGGATAGTTGGTATTTTTTGCTTAATATTAACATTGCTATCATTACATTTATTGTTCATTTTATAATGTTCTGATATTGCATTTCCAATCTTTTCAGTTCTTGCTGCATCACTGATTTCTACTTTTGAGTTCCTTCAGGGTGTTGAAAATTTGTTTCGGGCACATAGTTCATAATATTATTTGTGTTTTAGAATTCTTTTAAAGAGTGTATTGGGGGATCCTGAGTATCTTTTGCTTTATTGTTTTGTTGTTCCTGAGCAGTTATAACCATGAAGAATTTGTCAAGATTTGGTAGAATAAACAGCTTGGTTAATAATAATGGCACTCTTCAGTACCGTAAGACTGAAGTAGAGTAATTATTTTAATTAATTTGTACTTCATTTGCTTGGTTTTTACTAGATACTCACAAAATAAGAATAACTGGAACATATACACTGACTACCAATAAGTATTTGGACACTTGTGATAGAAAACAAAAACTAACTATATACAAAATCAATAGCTGGTAGAGCTTCCACAAGAGGTAATTACAGCGTGGACCCTCCGGGGCATACTTTCCACAAGTCTTTGTATGACAACTAGTGGTATTTTCTTCCACTCGTCATGGAGAAGACATAGAAGTTCATTCACTGATTTTGCACGGGTAGTGCATCCCTGAATTCGGCGATGCAACTCGTCTCAGAGGTTCTGGGCAGGCTGGTCGATGAACTCCATTGGCACCATACCAAGCCTTGGTTAAGGTCGAAACATGATAACTGGCATTGTCATCCTGAAAGTAACAGAGGTTCAACCCGTAAAACTGCCAAAACATAGGAAGCACATTGTCATCCAAAATAGTGCAGTAGGCATCGGAGTTGAGCTTACCATGAATGGGGACCAAGGATCCCAGCCCATACCAGGAGAAACACCCCCAGACCATAATTCCACCTCCGCCGAACTTGACTGTTGGCACAATGCATTCTGGCAGGAGATGTTCTCCAGGTAGACGCCAGAACCAAACCCTGCCATCCAAACGGTAAAGGGTGAACCTTGATTCGTCACTCCAAAGAACCCGTTTCCACTGATCTACGGTCCAATTTCGATGTGCTTTGCACCACATTAACCAAGCAGCGCGGTTGGACTTTGTGATCAAACGCTTATGGGCAGCAGCACGACCATGAAAACCAAGCAGATGTGCTTCCTTAAGGATGGTATTCATTGAAACAATACTCCCGGATGCCTGTTGATACTCCTCGCGGATAAGGGCCATCGGTTGGGTGCGGTTCTTCCGAATTTCTCTGGACAGCACTCGTCGGTCTCTATCTCCCAGTTTCGTTGGTCTGCTGACTCGGGGCACATTCCGACAATCACCGCTCACCTTCCACTTCTTAATGACATAGACCACTGTCGATTTTGGGTACTTCAGATTGCTAGATATATCCCTTAAGGATCCGCCACATTTGTGATACCCGATAATTATACCTTTATCGAAATCAGAGAGCTCCGAACTGCGAGGCATATCTTGCATGCGACTAAAGCCGATGCTGTTTCCTACACGATATATATCGGTGGAGTCCGTGATGTACCTTAGGACCACAGATATCGTCATTTGCATAGGTGTCCAAATACTTATTGGTAGTCAGTGTACAATACCTGTAGAAAGAAACTAGCTGTTCTTAGTCTTGGGGGGAAAAACAACATCTAAAATGATTCAAGTGGAGGCATTTTCTCTAATCTCCTAAGGTGTTAATTACACATTAAAGACACATCTGACACCCACTGTTGTTTCAAGGGAAGACAGTTTTAGATATTTTCCTGATATCTGGAAGTGGCTAAAGCATTTATATCCCAATATCTTAATGCAAATTAGAAATCTAGGTCATGATGGGCAATGCTTTGCTGATGTTTATGTCACCATTTTGCTTTGCCCTGCAGTCTTTGTACAGTTTATGTACTTCACCCAATATCGGTATTTATGAAGTTGTATTCATGATTAATTCTCAAGTGTATTCATCTGACATTTGTTAATTCATCCATTTTATGCACTTCTTAATGTCATATTTTCCTGTATTGCTGCAATAACAGTTTTTACTATGAAGCAGTCTTTTAATTCATAGCAAAATGCACCGAACACATACTATAGTAGTAGAATGTGGTCAACATTTTATTTTTTGCAAATGCAGAGAGTACATTTCAGTGACTTTGCTAGATTTGCTGTGGCCAATAAAAGCTGAGAAAGTAACTAATTAGAACATACCGTACACCATACAAATTATTCCAATCAACAGCTGTTCAATGATACATTTCCAGTGGCAATATACAAAATTCTGTAGATGGACTTAGCAGAAGTAAATAAGCAGAAAAGCTGTCTGAAGAGGAGTGCATGAACTTTCAAACCTATTTCTACTCTGTAAAATTTTCTTCATATGCCACATTTCTTTCTCTCTCTCTCTCTCTTTTTTTTTTCCTATTCCTCCTACAGCCCTGTTTTGATACTTCAATAATCTTTTAGTATCAGTGACATGTTTGGGTTGGAAGAATTTAATTACATATTATTTATCATTTGGCATTTGCCAAATAGTGTAATCCATGCTGATCCCCCCCCTCCCTGAAAAAAAGAGAGGAGTCAGCATTTCCACTAAAAGAAGTTTAAAATCTTGGAAATTACTGGTTTATAGCTGCTCATAATGTTGGTTACCATATTTGACACTTTAGCACGTAGTTAAAACTGGCATCCTATTAAATTAAAAATGCATTAGGTAATTAAGACACAATAACACGCCGAATAAATACTAATTCAGAAGTCAAACAACAAAAATCAGCGTTATATTTACAAAATTTTCACAGGACTAGTTTCGATGGTTTTACCGAACCACCATCTTCAGCTGCAAAACCGCAAATGACAAATGACAATCTTCAGCTGCAAAACCGCAACATAAAATGACATAAATGTTGCGGTTTTGCAGCTGAAGATTGTCATTTGTCATTTGCGGTTTTGCAGCTGAAGATGGTGGTTCGGTAAAACCATCGAAACTAGTCCTGTGAAAATTTTGTAAATATAACGCTGATTTTTGTTGTTTGACTTCTGAGTTAGTATGCATTAGGTAGTTTTATTAGATCCTTTATAATATAACGTTTAGTTCCTTTTCAGTGTTGGTGCATAATGAATAGATATAAAATTACTTAACATTTTCTCTGCATTATTTTTTTAGTATAAAATGAGATATGCTAAAAAAATTCTATTATGTATCATAAATTTAGTTTTAAGAACAATATAATTTTCATTTAAAGGTATAATTTATGTTAATTAACTCTTTTTCTCATTATATTGCTTTTATGTTTTATGTTTAACTTTTTTTAACCTGTTTTTATTCATTTAATCAATTACTTTTGCTAGGATGAAGAGCTCAACAATATTTCAAATGCATCAAGCAAAGAAAGTGTTGATGCATATGAAGATCCAATAACGTTAATTAAGGAAATATTATTAGAAAATGAAGATCGTTGTCTTCCTGTTGAATTTCTGTGTGGGGTGAGAATTAAATTCTATTGTCTTTGTATGAAATATTATTTATGACTTTTCTTTTTCAAAGAATTTAAATTTTGCATTTTGTAAGTTGTATGGCTGTAGTTAAATATTACTTTTTTCCATTCTATGTAAAGAAAATTTTGAAGACAAAATATTTGAATGATGCCTTTTTCTTTCTATGGTAACTCATTTTAAATGTTGTAGTTAGATTTCAAGCAATAATGGAGATTTGTATTATATAGTACACAAAATGAATCGAGAAATGAGAATAAAACACACACAACATTCAACCAATCTCATTATGTTTCACTTCTTATTATGCTTGTGCAATTATTGTTGTTTGGAAATAAAGCATTAAATTCTAATCTGTTTTGTTATAGGACAACATGCCTCAAACAATTTTTTGTATAAAGATAGATGCATGAAAGATAATATCGTCTCGTATATCTTTCTGTGGAAAACATGGGCCTTGTAGCGAAAAAGTTAAATTCTATTTATAAACACTTATCAGTTTACCAACTGACTTCAAATGATGGTTCATTACTTTTATATATAAATTCAAGGGCTCATACAGTTCACCTTTTAGTTTCTCAAAATTTGATACTGATATCGGGGGATACATATAGCCAAATAGTAATACTACTTCTGAAAAGCTGTTCATTTTAAAGAATCGTATAACTTCTGTTAAATAAAAAATGAAAGACAAAAATTGCATTTTCACAAATATTGTGGTGGTTTTCATAATGAATGCTTGTCAAAATAAACATCACTGATCAGTGTAGTGATTAGATTTGCTAGTTGCTATATCATTTGGCCTGGGTTCGAATCTTGGAAAAGGCTTTTATGTGGGATGTTTGTAAGTGTATAGTGTCTTTGGGGTATAGGACACTTAAATTACATAGCCATCTGCGGTGATTTGGTGTAGGGGAGAAGCAGTGTGAGACATTTGGACTCGTACACCTTCAAAGTTGGGATGGAGCTCGGCAAGATTGTACTATGACCTGTAAATGCCAGTGATATATGCAATCTTGCATTTTGTGTGGTAAAATTTGGGGACTTCATCTGATGTTCACTGCCAGGCAGTGAGATAAATCAAACCTAAATCCTGTATAATGAATATGTGTCTTAGAATGCTATATCTTATATTATAAATCACATATAAATATCGTCATACATAATTAACACATTAAATTCAGAATTAACCCTTTATTTCCCGATGGGACAAATCCCATCAATAAAATCGATTTGTGTCCCAACAGGACTTTTAAGCCCCATATTAAATTTAAAAAAAACAAAAAAAAAAAAAAAAAAAAAAAAAAAAAAAAAAAAAAAAAAAAAAAAAAAAAAAAAAAACAAAAAAAAAAAAAACTTATAACATTTTTGTAAGTTCAATGTGAGATGTTTTGCATGCATAAAGAAATATAATAAAAAAAAGTTACAAACTCGTTTTCAAAAGTAATGTAATTTGGAACATAAAGGGTAAAATTTAGTTTCCTTTTAGGCTACATGTAAATCAGAAAATGTGTTTTTATGTTGAGAAAAGATTAAAAAGATTATGGCAGAAGAGCCAGGCAAGTAAACATATTTCTTAATATTATATTATCACTTAGTCATCCTCAAAGGAAGCTCAAAAAACATTTTTGGTGATAGGAGGAAACGAGAAATATCCATGCATACAAGAAATCATTGAGTGTCATCTGATAAAGTTGAAAAAGATTGAAGGCCACAGCCAAGTAGCATCATTGCAGGAAAATTGAGGTGAATGAAAAGATATTTTTTTTTTTTCCATTGATAATGCCATCTGCTACTCTAAGATCATCCTGAAGAATGCAGAAAGCCTAGCCACATCAGATAACTTCCTGAAACAAAGATCTCCAATAAAATCAAAGACAAATAAGTATGCAATATCAAAAATAGATATTGTCTTCCATTTCTAAGGAAAGACTAAGAATGTATCACTCTGAGCCTTACTAAAAAACTGTGAAGTTAAGCATGATATATATAAATATCTTTTACTAATAATAAACAAGTAAATTTCTACTGTTTTCATTACTGATAATGTTTTTAATATTCTTCGTAACTTTTCTTTGTGTTTTGTGATTTTGCGCCAGGCTCAGGAATTATGTAAAGTTTTCCATAACAACTTATTGTCAGGGCTGATGCTAGGCTTTGCCAATCAGTGTAGTCTTTTCATGTCTTGAATTCTGCTGCTGAGTATCTTCTCAAATTCTGAGCATTTTGGTGCCCAGTTTGGCCGCACTGGTTACACCAGCTCTTATGTTATGCGAAGTTAAAGCCGGTATCTGTGGGAAATAGGATTTTGCAAGGTGAGTTCATTTTGAAGCAGATTGTGTTTGATGCGCAAGGTACTGCTATATTTTTCATTATAATGAAATTTAGTTTATTAACAGTGGTGGTGTAGAATCATTAAAGTTATTTTGAAACAGGAGGTATGACAAATGAGCCAAACCCTCGGCTGGACTTCTTGAATGCCCTCTGAGTGTGCTACCATTACATCAAGATGGCATGCTGGAAGGAGGGAGAAAATACCATACAGTAGAACTTATTTTTCAGTTATGTTATTCATCACTTCCTTCTGGATTAGTTTCAGAATCTGATTTTTCTGATCCATTAATAACTGCATCTTAATCCCAAATTTCTGTTTCACATTTAGATTCTGATTCTTCTGTAATATTTTTAAATGAAGAAAATGTACAAAAAAAGCAGATTGCCTGGATGCACTGCAAAATTCAGAAAAATCTGCTCTTTTAAGATTCCATCAGTTCTGAGAATCATTCCCCCTCTCTTTTAAAAAAATGCAGGAAAGTGTATCTTAGAACTGAAGAAATATAATAATTTTTTTAAAAAAAATTCATTGAGTTAATGAATGAAAGCATAGCAAAAGTTACATTTAATTAATTGTCAATTTTTTTTTTTTTTTTTTTTTTTTTTTTTTAAGCAACATGATCTGTTTGGGTTCAAGTATTGCATTAAATTAAGTTTAAAGAGTTATAGTTAGTTCTAGAGCTAATTTTTAGTTTGAACTGCATCGTGCATGGTTCTAATTATACACTTTCCTCCCCCCCCCTTAATTTCAATAACTGTATTCGAAAATGTTTTATAGATTTACTACAATTTGTAAAAGAATGAATGACACAGTCTAAAAATTATAGGAAAATTAGACATGTTATGAATGCATCAAATGTATACCAATATACTAGCCTGTTTTATCATTTACTACTATAAAATATGTGAAGAATGAAATGTTAGAGAAGGATGAAATAGTGTGAAGAACGAAAATTTTCATTTTTCATATTTATGAATGGCAATAGGTATGTCTATGATCTGCAGTGTTTCATGTAGAACTATATTTACATAAATCAATAAAAGCTGTTAAATTTTGTAAACATGTCTTTTTATGATTTTTTAAGTTTTATTTCTGTGGCTTATTTTATAAGAAAATATGCATAATACTGTGTTTAATTATAAAACCCCCTAATATAGCATCCTGTATTTTTGGTTCTAAAATTTAGTAGAGATCTATTATCATACTCTATAGTATAATCAGGCTGTTTGAATATGAAATAAATCTCACGAGTAATTATTATATATATAAACCTATGCTAGATAGTGGAATAGTAATTAACAGCTGCAAGTTTATGTTGCTATGAAATATAAATATTTATACAAATTTATAGAATTGAGCAATAAATAGACTGAAATAATTACTTTTGTTATAAAAAAATGGGTTGTTCAGAAAGTAGTTTCATTTTTTCCCAACAGAGGGCTTAATTGTAATTTTCCATATCCAATTTCACACTTAAGCTATAAAATCATTATTTATTTTGGCAACTGATATAGCAAGGCTTATTTGTGAAAAAGTTCAATTCGTTCTACACATTAGTTTTTGATTGGTGTCCTTTCAAATATGGAAAGGGAAAAGCAGCATTTTTGGCATATTTTACTTTTTTATTATCAAAAAGGTTAAAATTCTGTTCAAGCAAGAAAAGATTATCCAACATGTATGGAGAAAATGTACTGACAGAATGTCAGCGCTAAAATTGGTTTGCAAAATTTCAATCTGACAATTTTGATCTTGAAGTTTACACCACGTTCTGCAAGGCCAGTTGAAACTGATGAAGACACAGTAAAGGCATTAATTGATGCAAAGGTAGGTAATGACTCATAAAATCGCTGGGAGATTAAATTTATCTAATTCGACCGCTCATGCTCATTTGAAATGCCTAGGTTTAGTCTCAAAGCTTGACATGTGGGTTTCTCATGGTCAAGCTCTTCTTTAGCTTCAACTGGCCTTCCAGAACGTGGTGCATCTTCAAGATCAAAACTGCCAGATTGAAATTTTGTAAACCAGTTTTAGCACTGGCCTTCTCTAAGTACATATTCTCCATGTGCATTGGATAATTTTTTCTTGCTTGAACAGCATTTTTAACTTTTTGATAGTAAAAAAAAAGTAAAATATGCCAAAAATGCTGCTTTTCACTTTCCATATGTGAAAGGGCCCCAACTGCTGCGTAGAATCAATTAAACGTTTTCAGAAACAAGCCTTGCTGTATCAGCTGTCAAAATATATCGTGATTATACGGCTTAACTAAGACGTTGGCTGAGGAAAAAATATAGTGAAACCCTCTGTTCGTCAAAAGTGAAATTACTCTTCGAACAACCCAATATAAATCACTTTTAAGAGTTTGTTTTGGGAGGGAGGCTTTATTTTTATTGTTACTAGGTAAGTTATGTCAAATGGTTATATGTATAAATATTTTATGTATTACTTAAAAAATATTACTGCATAAAAATTGTTTGTACTTCTTAATTTCTTTTATTAGGAAATTAACAAGGTAACTGGGCTGTCTTGGAATAAGAAATATAAAAGTACATATGGTCTTATTGCTAAGGTTTGTGTTATTTCATTTATAATTTATTTACTGCTTTTGTTTTAAATTTTGAAATTGCATAATTTTAAGGTTAATGGAATATTATTGCTCTCTTATTATACCTATTTTTTTTAATTATTATTTTCTTACTACTAACAGTTCCTTCAAAAGCATAGTGATGTATTTTACTTCAATAATGCCACAAATATAGTTTATTTAAAAAATGAAGTTGTTAATTCTGAGCCTGTTCCTGGATGCTCAACTTCAGCTGCTTGTGATAGTGAAAACATTTCCAGTAGTCCAAAAGAGAACAAAAAATACACCCTGAAATTAAATTTTTTTGATAAGAAAAGGTAAGTGCTAACAATTTATAAAAGAAAAAGTTAAATTTTATTTATTTTTCTTTTCTTTGCAACTTATTTATTCTTCTACTTACTTATTGCAGATACAGTATGTATTAAAATTAACTGAGCAATTTAAAATTATTGCAACTTTGCATAAAAGAATGATGTATGCCTGGATTTATTATTATAAGTGTGTTGCTAAGCAGAAATAATTTAGCTTTTTCTGATTAACACTTGAAAAAATTTTTTAAATATTGCAGCTATAATGTAAATTATACAGTAAATTACAGGATTTGCAAAGTTTTTTTTTTATTATTATTTATTTATTTATGAGGAAATGTGTATTAAAAGGTAAATATATTTAGCCACATACGTGTAAAATTGAATATACTTCATTTGATCCTAATTATGTGAAAATTGTAGTGAATGCTCAGTGCACAAACTATCCTCCTGTTTGCATTAATTAATACTGACTCATGTACACAGAAGCATTTTGCCGCATTTCTTGTGCACTGGTTGTTTTCCTATTGTTCCACGATAATATGAGGATTAGTTCTATCCATATCATATTTAATCCATGATAACCAGTAATAATCACATCAACGTCATTTGATTTGCAGTCTTCATCCAGATCACTAATCATCCAGATCTTCATCATCATCATTTGGTGATTCAAGTCATTATCAGTTTTCAAAAACCCTCAGAGATCATAGTACTCTAGATATCACTTTCTGTTTAAAAACTGCTTGCATCATTGCCATTTAAATACATGCCAGGCCATGCATGCAGTTGCATTATCTTGTTAAAAATTAATCTAATTGAACTTACTTTGAACTATGGAATTAGATAAAATAATCTGTTAACTTAAATGATATATAAAAATTTAACTTAAATGTCCCAGTAAAAAGATTATTTCTATGTGTAAAAGATAGTAAAAAATGTGTAGCAGCAATAATCGGTAAAAAACTGGAAAAAGTAATGTGTACACTTTTAGTAAGTGGCATCACATATGTCTTAATAAAAGTTTTAAGTGTATTTATATATGTTTTATATGAAATATGTCTTCCAAATGTCTTATATGAAAATTTTTCAGTTTTTTCATGCATAAATTTTTGATGTTATTGTTCTCAAAGTTTATCTTTAGAACTTGATTATGTTATTTGACATCTTAGTTATCCACATTAATAACTTATAATAAAACTGCTTTTGATTTTTGCATCATTATGTAGGAATTATTTTTTAAAATCTTAAGCATTATAATTTATTGTATGGTATTATTTAATTTTTTTTTTTTTAGGTCTCAGAATAGTTTTGCTGCTTTTAGTCAAAACTGGTTTGATTTCAATGATTCTAGAGTTAGTTCTATTCTAGTAAAAGATATTGAAAAACAATATTCTGGTAAAGAAAGTGCCTATATGCTATTTTATCGAAGAAAATCCTTGTTAAGGCCTTTAGAAGGTAGGTTGTGTTCATTAGATATTTGTATATTAATTAAATTGAATTTTAAACAGTGTACTATATGTCTTATATTTAGTCTTCAAAGATTTCATATTTATGCTACATGGGACCAGTTTTGGTTTACTTGTGTTTCCAGATGTCTGAATATCTATGCATTTAGCACAGATAATCAAAAATTCTATATATTTCTCTTTTTAATTTTTTAGGGGGGGGTTCTGCAGTTAGGTTTCTTGGTGTTTTAAATTTTTCAGTAAAATTTATCGTACTTTCAGGTTTTTAGGTTCAAACTTGGGAGATTAAAGAGTGAATATGAATAGATATGCTAATATTACCGCATTCTGTATTTCAAAGATATCATTTGCATAATATTATTCTTTTAATTACACTCATAATTATGTTATCCATCTATACTTTGCATATCACTACTGTAGCATGAGAAGTTTCTGAATCATATGCTGGTAAATTCGATTTCTCCTTCTTTCTTTCTTTATTTAAGAAATTATATTCTTGCTAAGATAAATTTTAAACTGATTTGATTTAAACTAAGTATCAGCTGGTAGTTTATTATTATATGTGCTTCTGTTTGCAAATATATATATAAAAAATGAGTAAAGTTAAATTTTCATTTCCATTAACAGCTAGAGGTAATCCAAAGTACATGATGCCAGAAAGACTCATGAAACTAGCTGAAGAAGAGAATGCTGAATTAGAGAGACAGAGGTTTGTAATATTGCACATTCCATTTGTCTTTGTCAAGAATATCACATGGCTTGTGTGTATTAAGTGTGTTCATGCATAAATTTCATTTCACGTTAAAGCTAAATATTTATACATTAATTTGTGTCTCACTTTATAAAGTATTTTATGTTAATTAACCAATTTTTATGATTTGGGTCTGCACTATTACTTCACCAGGATATGAATGAGTTAAAAGTATTTAAGGCAGTAATTTTTTAATATTTTAGGTTGGCATCTGGCAGCTTAACTTTCTTTCACCCAGCTTTGCCAGTTAATATTCTGGCTTTAGCTATTTTCTATCCAAAATTGAAACATGTCATTAAAGTTTGTGCCAGCTTAATTAGGCCAAATTTGTGTAGTGTCTCAGGCTACAGTCTTTTTTTTTTTTTTTTTTTTTTTGTAAAATTTAATTTCATACTGTTTTAATATCGTAAGTGCTGGAGTTTTGATTGTATTCGCAAGTTGTACTTCTTTATTCTTTATGATTTATGCAAGCTGTACTTCTTTATGATTCTTCTACTTTAATCGTAAGTGCTGGAGTTTTGATTGTATTCGCAAGTTGTGCTTCAGTTCAATTCAATAAAAAAGTTTATTTAAAACCTTCATAGGCCTTGCCATACATTTTCAGACAGAGTGATAACTTGCTTGACAATCTGATAGGGGATCTGAAGGACTTTAAGTTCATATTTCACAAGTTAGGACCCTATAACTTCTGTGTTCATAATTTTATGGACTTTTAAATTTGGGAACTTTTTTCCATAATCATTTCAGTTTTGTGTGGTTATAAACAAAATGTCATTGCTTTTTGGCATGCTAAATTCTTCAATTTTGAATTGAATTAAAGTTTCAGTCCATATTACTGTGGTATTAGTGGCGTGGAACTATTGAGATGCTACATGGCATTCAGCATGTCCCTCCTAGACCCATCAGTTCCATATTTTCTTGACAGCAATGGAATGCAGATCAACATGAGCATCAAGGATGTGAAACAAACTACAATTCTGCCCGGTTGAATTCTGACATATGTTTGTAGAATTTTCTCCGTCTTACATGAGGCGTAACACAACTTTCAAATGAAAAACCTGCTGTGCATTCTTCCATTCATGCACAGTGTAGATGATTTTGCTCATACATGCTTTATCCATGTGAACTGGAATGCTGATCATTTCCATATGCCAGCATGTACACCTTGCACAAAAAAAAAAAAAAAAAAAAAAAAAAAAACCTATTTCTTCCATTCTACTGGGCCAATTGTCGAAATTTAGCTTGCATTTTCCATGTCTCGAAAGTGCCACTTAGGATATATATTAAATTTATATATATCATTGTTCTAACATAGGTATTTTGGCATAAAATCAGACTTTTCCTGAACTAACATACCATTTCTTTCCCCCACATTTCGATTCTACAACTCAAATAATGCCCAGATGTTAAATTTTGTAATTTTTGTTGAGAAATTTATGGAGAAATTTAAAAATTTATCCTGGGACATTTTTTTCAGTTTGGACCAAGAGTAATTCACTTGGCGAACTTCTTATTTTATAGCAGCCTATTTTCCTTTCCTTTTTTTCACTGTACACAAGCGGAGAAAAAGGTCATCGTTTGTACTTTCAAATAATTTTAACAAAATGTGTAAACCACACTTGGCATTATTATCGCTTATAACAAATATACCAAATTTCAAATTGGGCCAATATGTAAATTCACATATATCTTAGGAAATTTTGAATAAAAACCTATATTTTTCGCAGGTATATTTAGAAATACGTCTACTTTAAGATGATGGAAAAATTGTTATAGGTTATAATTCAAAAAAAAAAATTTTTGAAAATTTTATAAAAAATTATTTAAAACATAAATTTTAAAAATAAATCGTAAAAAATGGGTGCATTTTATTTGGAATGAATGTAAATTTTGAAATGGCAAAGGAAGAATGAAATAAGCTTAATAAAAAAGAGATATTATGATGTATATCAAATTCAATTAACATGGAGGAGCTAATTTTTTAAAAACTACTTGTCAACTTTTACAAAACCTGGCACTCTATCATAATTTGAGTCTTAGAGTCAAAATATGGAAAAAAATTGGTATGTTAGTTCAGGAAAAGTTTGATTTTGTGTCAAAATACCTATGTTAGAACAATGCTATATATAAATCTAATATATATATTTTAAGTCATGCTTTCGAGACATGGGAAACACAAGTTAAATTTTGAAAATCAGTCCAGTAGAATGGGGGATATAGAACTGTCCCATTTTTCTTTGTGCAATATGTACCTTTCATGCAAATTTGATGTTTGTTGTATGTCATCTTCAGGGTGTAGCAGTAGCAATCGTAACATATCGTGATAACAGGGATATTCAGAAATCATTAGCTTTAATTGGTCTATTTTTTAATTTACGAGGGCTATCCAGAAAGTAGATTACGTTTTGGAATAAAAAAATAAACAAAGTATAGGAAACAAATTTTATTATATACAGATGAAAGCCACACTCAAATACTACTTTTCTACATAGTCACCATACAAATTAAGGCATTTATCGTAGCGATGTACGAGCTTGGAAATTCCTTCGTCGAAAAATTCGGCCGCCTGCGCCTTCAACCACTTCGTTACCTCTTCTTGCAGCTGTGCGTCGTCATCAAAACGCATTGATTGCAATTTCGTTTCACAGTTCACATGTTTCACCCATGTTTCGTCACCAGTAACGATGCGATCGAGTAAAGAGTCACCATCCTTATGGTAAGCGTCCAAAAAGTTCAACGCTGCAGCCATTCGCTGATTTTTGTGGTCCTTTGTCAAGATTTTTGGAATCCATCTTGCACAAAACTTGTGGTAACCAAGCTTTTCGCTGATGATTTCGTGCAACAAACTTCGCGAAATTTGTGGAAAACTCAAAGAAAGTTCCGTTATTGTGAAATTTCGATTTTCACGAACTTTAGCATCGACTTTTTCGAGAAGTTCGGCGGTCACTATGCTGGGTCTCCCACTTCGATCTTCGTCGTGAACATTGGTTCGGCCATTTTGAAATCTTATGACCCACTGACGCACTCCACCTTCAGTGATAATGTTGTCCCCATACACTTCACGAAGCTGCCGATAGATTTCTATCGGTTTACAGTTTTTTGCAGTCAGAAACCTTATTACTGAGCGCACCTCGCGGGATTTTCAATTAACGCAGACATTTCAAACCGTCACAGTATCTGAACGGAGCACAGCACGAACCTCTCACTAGCACGGCTAGATGCAGACTGAGCTGCGCAACGCTCTGACCCAAAGATGGCCGCGCTAGCCCCGCCCCTAGCGGACACAGACAGAAACGTAATCTACTTCCTGGATGGCCCTCGTATCTTGTTTATTTTATTAATTTAATTAATCTCATTTATTGTTTGTTTCTATCTTAATTTGTGTGATGATGAAAAGAGTAATTAAATGAACAAATAATATTATTAAAAAACTTAATGTTCATTTTCTAACTTGTAAAAAGAGGAGGCTTGCTGTTGCTGCACTCTGAGACTTTGATTATATTTGCCCCATTGTAGCAGTCTTATTGTATTAAAAGGTGTATTATGTGTAAGCAATAACTGGAAGAATGTATGTATAAGCAATAACTGGAAGAATGTATGTAATTAAATTTATGTGTCATATAATAGTGTTTTCTAAGCTAATGTTAAAAATCATTTCAATAAAATTTTTGATTCAGAGATTTTGTTTATGTTGCAGAGAAGAGTATGAAACTGCTCTGAATACCATAAATCTTCAAGTGCACTTAGGAAACAATTATAAATGTTCTAATGGTGTTCTAGAAGCAAAGCCCAATGAAGTTTGCAGTTTGGATTTAGCTATTGACAAAAGGAAGCTATTAATGGATTTGAGAGATAGTATAACCAAGGTTTATACATAGTTTTACTTTTTTACTTTATATATGCATACATATGTCATCTAAAATCTATTGTAGTTCTTTTATACCTACATAAAACAGAATGCTTAGTAGAATTCTTTACTGTAGATGTATCTCATTCATAGAAAAATGATTTATTTGATTTGTAATATTTTTCTTGCATAATCAATTATTTGGCAAGTCTTGCTAAAACTGTTTAGTACTTATGAAATATTTGAATAAATGAATGCTTTGTATTAATGATTTCTTTTATAGGTTAAATTAATCTTGAATTCTTTCAGTTGTGTGCTGGTTTGTACTCTACTCAAGAATTCGTTTTGCATACAGCTCGTGAAGTGCCAGCTGGTTTGCATCTGTATGAAGAACTATCAGAATGTATGCCATAGTCTTTTTGCATTTTTTACAATTTTTATTCATTTATTTCTTAATTCAGGTATTGATTACTTATGTTTCATCTATATTAAAAAAACTATTTCCCAGAATCATTGCTTATTTTAAAGTAGCTTTATAAGGCCATGAAAGAGTATAAAAAGTCATAATAAATATATTAGGCAATTGATGCCAACTTTTATTACATTGAGACAGAGGTAAACATATTAAGTTTCCATGCTTCATATCCCACATCTCATAAATGTGGTATGTGTCCACAGAGTTGGCACTAAACATTTTACTGCTACATTAAGCTATGTGACTTCCAAATTCTGGCACCAAATCCTTTCCTAAATTTTGTAAAATATTTTCTTCCCCCTTTCCGCATGCCTTCATGGAGAACCTGGAAGTATGCTCGACACGTATTGGAGAGATCTGGAATTAGAATCCTGGCGAGAACACTATGGATTTCTTCAGTTTCCTGACATTAAAAAAAAAAAAAAAAAAATGTGAAGGTGGTGGGCGATAATTCGGCACCATGGGATTTGGCAATTCAGTCTACCAATCTTCAGTTGCCATTTAATTGAGGGAATATAAAAGGCATTTTTTCTTTCCTTTCTACATGCCTTCGGGGTGTAACTGGGAGCACTCTCGATGTATATTCTGAAGGTCTGGTGTTTGAATCCTGGCAAGGGCACTGCTAATTTCTTCTGTTTCCTGTTGTCAAAGACGTGTAAAAACTCTGCAAGTTTTCAAACTTTTGCTGCGTGGTGGCGCCACGATGGCTCTGGTGCTGGGCGTGTGTGTCTCCTTTTTGCAGGTATGCTGGGAATTTATATAGGATTAGAAAGATTTATTTGGGTGTATTGGAATGTTGGCTGATGTCACAATTAATTCAAGATAAAATTGGAGCTGCATATATTGGTAAATAGAGATATGTCACTCTATCTTTGTAGCTGAATCTCATTTGTGAGATAGCTCAATTAAACTTTGCCATTTAGATGAATATTATATGCAGGAAAAGAAATGACATGTTAATGTGTAATGACTACTTCAGTCTTTACATTGAATCCTATTTGACCCTTTCTTAGAAGAGTTTGTCAATTGCCTTGCCTTCTCCTCTAATTCACAAGATCTTTGCAGCTTTGGTGTAACTGTATCATCAACATTGAAGCTTTTAGTATACTATCATGCATATAGAACAAAACAGATTATGACATAGATGTCTGTTGTATTAGCAATACTGAACATTTGTGAAATGTGTAAAAAAGAAGCTTAATGAATTTGCCTCGCTTCACTTCTAAATTTTGATATTATTTTTTAGAAATTTTTTAAATGTTTCATGGAATTCTGAATAGTTTTGTACTGTGTCCGTGTTGAAAATTCCATACATCATACAATGACCCAAAAATCTATAAAAGTGAGGGTATTTTTAATGTACAAGTGATTTTTGATTTAATATGAGTTGAATCCTTGAAGAACATGGGTTTGAGCTGCAGTGATCCATTCGCATACTTCTCCCTGCAATTAATAGAGAAATAGTTTTTAAAATTTAGAGTAATTTGAAAAATCTAGCAGGCATATTTATGTAACCTATAAATGTTTTAAAAAACAAATCAAACACTTGCAAACTTCACTAACTGCTATCTGCAGTCAGATAAATATAAGTTGTAAAGATGCAGAATTAAATTTTAGCTGCATAAAATTAACTATAAGTTCTGTGGCTGTAGATATTAGCAAGCAGGATGTGGGGGCCAACCTTTTATCTAACAGCTAAGTGTGTAAGAACCTCGTGAACAAGTAAGCGAATAATCGCTTTAGTTCAGAAACAGAAACGTAAAACTCGGGGTTAATTACCCTTTATTTCTCAAAGTAAGAACTTATAGTCGCTCCTTCTCGAAGCATACAGCAAAGCCTCCACTTGGGCTTGAACCCAAAACTTAACTAATGCTTAGCTAAAAAGATATAGCCAAAGCTATCAAGATTATAAGTAGTTGGCCCCTAACTATCGAATTAGTTAGCAAAGCTTTCAATGGCCCATAATGCGCCCGAGCATAGTAATAGCTTAGAGAGATGTAGCCAAAAGGCAAACGCGTGCTAGTCAGGAAATGTGGCTCCTTAACGAAGTCAGTGGAACTTTAACTTAAATACCATCCTTACTCATTTGCATTAAACACGATTCTAAAAACACATTCTGGTAGCAAATTGTAAGCTGAAATTAAGAGGGTTAGGAAAGTAGCTTTTACTAAAGATAATTGTTAAAAACTTAGGATAAACCTTATAAGGTTGGTTTTGGTTTATTAGATTACGGCAAAGCACTCGAGGGCTATCTGCCTTAAGGGAGGGATGCCTTCGTGGAGGACTTTTTAAGGGAAACTGGCTCGTATACACGTGGGGAAAACCACAAAAGCACCCATGCAGCCAGCCCGTTCGCGGGATGCGAACCTCGGACCGAACTACCAGTGTTCAGCGACGTTACCGCTCGGCCGATGGTGGGCTAAACCTTATAAGGAGATAGAACTTGTAATCAGAATTACCATAAGCTGTTATATTGATGAACTAGGCAGACTACAATAGATGTATTTTTTCTTATAACCCTCGTTTTTTATAGCTTACTTATTGTAAGATAAGTTTGGGCAGAGGCAAAAATTATTTACATGTTTGCCACTAGGCAAGATATTGGTGTCCCTAACAGCTGCATAGTGCAGAGGAATGTGATAGTATTTTTAAATGGAGGTAAAATAATTTCATTTTAAATATAAGGTAGTTCTAAAAGTTTTTTTTTTTTTTTAATATATATATATATATATATATAATCAAGTCATACTTTTATGAAAAAGCTGGATTTTGTATCTGTTGTTCCATACTTGCTTCACAGAAACTTAATTTTATTTATTTATTCTTTAGCTCAAAATTTGGAGACATTAAAAGATTTAGGGGTTTTGGAAGGAACAAAAGTATTTGTTTGGGATGGCTTACAAGTAAGTTATAATTACAGTTTAATTTCAAACAATAAAAATTAATTACCTCCATTTACCATTTTTCTGGTACAAAAAAATATGCAATAGCCATAATAATTATATTAAACGTATTTGTATTCACGGATGACTGCTGAGTTATATGAAAAGCAAAAATAACTGATAAAAATTGAGAATTATAATGTAAGAAATTATTAAAATTAGAAGCAAAGGATGCATTACGGAATGGCAGGCAGTAATTTTGTGCCATTTTTCTGGTACCCCCCCCAAAAAAAAATATGCAGTTAGCCATAATAATTATATTAAATGTATTTGTATTCATGGATGACTGCTGAGATATATAAAAAGCAAAAATAACTGATAAAAATTTAGAATTATAATGTAAGATATTATTAAAATTAGAAGCAAAGGATGCAGTATGGAATGGCAGGCATTATCTTGCGCATATTACAGTTTGGCAATGGATATGGTTCTGCATTACATCCAGCTTTTTGTTAACATTTGCAAACTGCAAATCTGAAATTATTTAATGGTCTTCTGCTGCAAAAGTAAACAATAAAATTATAGCAGTCTTAAAAAAAAAGTAATTTAGCTGAAAAGATGGGGAAGGGTGAGGATGTTAAGTTTGAACAGTAAGCCCTTGTGGAACATGATTTTGTGTATACTTGCTACCTTAATTGTCTTCATTTAATTTGGCCTATTCAATTATTTCAATTATAAGTGGTATGCTGCAGAGCGCCATTCGCATTGTGATAGTTCTCTTTGACGACTAGTTTGAAAATTCATTTATTAACAAAGTCAAACACTGCTTAGAACAGCAAAAATGGAGCTTTAAAGTTCTAATTCTCGATAATGCTCTTGGACACAGTGCCAAAGCCCTACAACAATGCATGCAGATGTAGAGGATTTGTTCTTTTCACCAAACACCACACACATTATGGGTTTAGCTTTGAAATTTCAAAGTCCCTCAAAATGTTGTGAATAAATGGTATTTTCTTGATTATAATTAAAAAATGACTCTCTTCCTTGATACCTCGATTCCTTTTCTTCCAGCATATGTCAAATCGGATACATTAAAAGCTGGCACAAATTTTCATGTGTGACACCCTTCTATACAGAATTTTGCGTCCACAATGCTGAGAGAGTTTCCAACCAATGGATCAAGGAATCATTAAGACATTCAGAGCCTGTTATGTCAGGCAGGTTTAGATCTACACAAATAAAGCACTAGATCATGGGTGTCTAAAGTGCAGCCCAAACGCAAATTATGAAAGCATTAAAATTTACACATTTTTATTAAGAAAATAAATGTTTGAATTTGATTCATATATAATCGATTTATTGGCATTTGTTTTAAAATAAAAATTTAAATGAAAACATCTTAGTATGTCATGATGTATTAACTGCAAAGTGACATTCAACTGAAAGAAAAATTTAATTTTCACAGTCATGCTTTATTAATGTCTTCAGCTTTTGGCAGTACATATATTTGTGAACAATTATTTTCAAGAATGAAGCATACAACAAAAAAAAAAAAAAAAAAGGAAAGGACAAAGATCACTGACAAATCTTGAAAATGGATTAAGAATTGCAACTTCGTCTTTTGAACCTGATATTGATTTGCTTCAACAAAAGCAAATTCATCCATCTCATTAATTTAAATTTTTTCCATCTTTATGAAATCCAAACTAAATGAAATGAAACTTTTGCAAATTAATAATAAATATGTACCTATACATATCTAATGCAAATTTTAAAAAATTAATAATAAAAAGAAGTTAATTTATTTTAATAAAACAACATAGAGCTAATTTTTATATTTAGTTTGTTAAAAAATATTGTATCTGTGGCCCTGCAAATTTTTTTTTCTTTGCAATGTGGTCCTCAAACGGTCATAGTTTAGACACCTATGCACTAGATGAAGGAAAGCACAACACATTAGCAGTATTTTGAAAACAGTTCATCATGAGACACAGCATAAAAATGATCAAGCTCACATAATAAGTGATTTTGTCCGCAGTGATTGCTTGCTGGCATTGTTCTGATGATCCGAGAAGTTGTCAACAATTCTCAAGGTTTTCTCTTGATTGAAAATCTAATTTACAAAAGCAATAAATGGCAAAGCTTTCAGATATGGAAGAAAGAAAAATCAGAGAATTAGTCAGGAATAATGATCGCTAAATGACAAATGAAAAATTCAACAATCTTATAACACAAAAACAATGATTGTAAAGGAAGATAAAAAGCTTTGAATATACAACAGTAAATTAAACAAATTCTTAAAAAAGGTGTAGGAATTGTCTGATATTGTAATGGAGATTGACCCAAATGAAGAAAGAGGATATTTTATGACAGGCATTGAAAAACTTTGCACTCATTACTGCATTAAGAGTTTAATATTACATTAATTATTACATTAAGAGTTTAATAAGTTGTATCAGACATTGTCTCAAGCAATAATCACCAGCAATTTAAAAAAATAATGATGTCATGTACCTACTTATTAGGCAGTAAGAGAATTCCTTTCGAGTTACATTTGTGTCATGTTCCCCTTTTAATTGCTATATAATTTAAGTTTGTCTAAATTATACATGCTTTTCTAGTTTGAAGTATACCTAAACTTCCTCCTCCCATAAAAGTTAACTTTGTGGAATGCAGCTTTGCCATATGTGCAACGTGTTACTGAAATATCCCCCATACACACACACAGAGAGAAGTTAACTCTGTTAAAAGTCTATCGAGAAATTTCCCGTATTTTTTCTCATGTTTCAGAAAAAGAAGGAAATTTAGTTTAGAAATTTCAGTCGTTGAAAATAGCTATGATTTATGAGCAAAATATCAGTTCTGTGAATCTTATAGATACTTCAAAATGTTAAACATTAATACAGTCAAAAGTCGTTAATCCGGACTCGTCGGGACTTCGGCAATTCTGGATTATAGATCATCAATTTAAATCTGGTAAGATGGCCTGCAGAAATTATATAATTAAAAATATGAAACCGTAATTTATGAAATAAAGAGCAATCATGATCTAAAGGGCATCAAAATTTACAAAAAAAAGCTTAATATTTATTTGCTTATTTTATTAAACATTTCTTTCAATGTAAAAATGTTTAAGTTGCTTCGTTTTTTATGTGATAATACTTTCTCTTTAATTCTATAAACAGACATAATTTCTTGTTCAGTTACAAAGTTCCTCTGTTCAAATCCTATAATTGCTGTGTCGAGAATACCAACTAATTTGTCAATCGAAATTTTTTCATTTTCAATAACCTCTGTGTCACTTTCTTCACTATTGGAAGCGAATTATAATGAGGAGGAATTTGATTTAAATCATATCAAAGACGGAGTGCATCGAGATGAAATACTACATTTAGTAAGGAATTATAAGCCAAATAAAATAAAAACATCTGCTCTGAAGATAAGGATAGTGCTGACAGATCAACTTCCAGTTCATTGCGTGCCGCGACGTTCCCCCCCCCCACCACACACACACACGCAGAGCAGCGTGAAATTGATAAACAGATTTCGGAATGGTTAGATAAACAAAGGATATGCCTTTATCCATTTTTTGCAGCAATTCCACTTTTGTTCGAAACATACTTTCGCTTTGTAGATCCTTTACATATTAGTATATCAGAAATTCTATTTGACATAATCGAGTTCAAGCTTACTTTTATAAAATTGCTCTAACAGTCTGCAAAAAATAATAAGCCGGATCCAATTCGAAGATTAAGGAACAATGCAATCTGCAACATTAACTGAATTAGATAATTTTAGCTTAGCTTATACCGTCCGTATATACACGCATATTCACAGCTGTAAAGGTCTTACGCGCATGCGTCAATGAGACGCATGCACAGAAAGTTTGTAGCTTTGAGGTCCAGATTATAAATCATTCCGGATTATGGGTGTTCGAATTAACGACTTTTGACTGTATTGTTTATTTTCATAGTACCTGTTATGGACTTCTTTAATTTTTTATAACCTTTTACAAGATGTTGGTCTAGTTGACAAAGACATAAATGCAGGGTATTGATCTTGTAATAAACCTGCATAAATATACTTTTTTTACTAATGAATGCAAAAGTATGTTGCCAGACCTGTAAGTAAATACTGTACAAAGTCCGAGATCTGAACTCGCTGGGACTTTGGCGATCCCGGATTTGGGATTTTTCCAGATATTAGATCATCAGTTTAAATCTAGTAAGATGTCATGCAGAAATATTTTAGTTTAGCAAATAAAGTAAATTTTTAAACTGTGGTAATTTCACTTATATAATGTTCTTTTTGTAAAAATAAAACCAAAATTTTAAACTTTTCTGGTCCATTAGTATATATTATTGACCATATACCTCTGATGCCAGAACAGCATTAGTATAGAACTGTTGGTTTCAAATTTTAAAATCTGAAATATGTAATCTAACAAAATCCGTGTTGTATGTAACCTCTTGAACTGACATTGCTACTCTACAATTTTGACCTTTTTTCCAAAATCCATGCTTGTATAAAAAATCAGGTCCTTCGTCAAAAGATCTTTAGCAGAATAAAAAGCAGTTTGCTAATTAGAACTTTCTTTGTAGAGAACTCATCTATTTTTTTATATCATATAGTATCATGTAAGTAGAATTATTATGATACGAAAGCCTACGTAATTAAATTAATTTTTTTGAATGGAAATTTGGCCCTATATCCAACTATACAAGAGATGTTTATTCATTTGATTTTACTGAAACACTGTATATTTTATGAAAAGTTTGTATTAAATGAATATGAATAAATTTTATGAAAAGTCTGTCTGGGTATATTGAAACTATTTTATATGAGTATATCCATGTGTATTTAACACTATGTAATAAGATTCAATATATTTATAGATGTATATTTAATATTTTTTATATATTCTCTATGTAATAAGATTCAGTATATTTTTAGTGATACATTGTCTAAAAATTCAAATATTTAGCTTCCTACAACAGTATATCTCAAAATTCTTCTGTTGTTATTTAAAATTATTTTTTAGGTTGGAGGTGAACATTTTGCAATTGGTGTTGCTCACGAACCTGTGTTATTGAACATCACAGTTACCCTTCCAAATGGAGAAACTACTGAAATGTCCAGAGGTTTTCCCAAAACAACTACGATTGGAGAACTGAAAGCTCTTATTAGCAGCTTAGCCCCTCTGCCTTTAGAAGATATTAGAGTTAGTAGACTGGACTTGCAAGGTTAAGAAATGATTATTGTCATAAATCAAACATTTTTTTTTTTTATTATTATTATCTCATGAATGATTATGTTATATTGTAACTTAGACCATGGAGAGGAAGATTATATAATCATGTATTATGCAGTCTACTGATTTTGGTTAGCTATATGTATTATAAATGGAGCTACTAAAACACTGTTAAGTTCAAACTTGTGATAAAGTCGCCTGAAAACCAACCAAAAGCAGTAGATTGCATACTATATGATTATCAACAATTATCCTCAAAAATCTGTGAAACTAAAAATGGGACAAATCCCAAATTTTTTTTAATTTTTCTAATCTTTTGAATGTTTCATACAAATTAATAAAATGAAGAAATTAAAAAAAAAAAAAAAGCTTTTACTTTATATGAAAGTTTTTATTTAAAGCAAAGTTTAATGTCTGCTCTTAACCCATTAGCCGTTGGTGTTGTGTTGACGCAACGGTGGTCAAAATAAATGCGTATATAAATACAACTACCCAAGATATTTTATACCAACAGATGATTTTGTGTAGGGAATGTTATGAAGATTATTTCTGTAAAAAAATATTTGTCTTCAACAATCATTTTGTTTATAAAAATTAATCTCATACTTTAAGCAAAATTTTCGACCGGGTATTTTTGCTGAAAATCTTTAACGAAAGAATCGCCGTCTTTATGAGTGATCTATTTTTAGTCAAGATCACCGTTTATCAGAACATTACATCAGTCAAACTAAGTCTTATTTGCTTTCAACAGTCATTTTGTTTATAATAATTAATCTCATACTTTAAGCAAAATTATCGACTGGGTATTTTTGCTGAAAATATTTAACGAAAGAATCGCCGTCTTTATGAGTGATCAGTTTTTAGTCAAGGTCACCGTTTATCAGAATATTACATCAGTCAGATGTTTATATTTGTGTTGGGAAGGAAGGGAAAACAGCAGGAAATGGGTAGTCAATCTCCTTTTTCACTCATTCCTTTTGATATTCTGGTTGTTTAAAAATGCCTAGAACGAGGTGTCTTACATTAGAAGAAGCCCTTCAAAGATTTTTTGATGAAGAAACAGACGATGATGATAATATTAATAATGACCAGAATGAAACTGATATCAGGGTTGCCACTCAAACAGGAGAATGAAATTCCCTGACTTTTCCAGGTTTTCCATGTGTGTTTCAAGAAAATTCCAGTCTATCCGCGTAATGTACATTGGCTGTACTAAGAGGTAAATTAATTATGGTATTACTTGTATTGTGTAGCAAATTCACTTAATTATTTAATAAATCCCAGAGGACATTTATTCTTAATTATTCTTGGTATACTTTGTTTGATAATTTTGTTTAGTTTTCCACTTAAGAAACTTAATAAAATTTAAGATATATATATTGGATAACAAATGTATGTTTTATTTAATTATTACTCATGATCATCACCAGTTCAACACAAGGCTAATCCGGTCCTTATAAATCACAATGCAATGCTAAATAGTTAGGTTAGATTTTAGGTAAATTTAATTTGCGTGAGGTATGTTCTTAAAAGGCACCTTAACACTTGAAAACACAAATATAATTATAATAGTTGTTTGTTTCTCCACTGAAGATTGAAATTAGAATCTTCCCAATCTGGAATAAAATAAGGCTTTTTTTTGCAGACATTCTGCAGCTAAACGAAAGAAAGAAATCTATTTTAATAAATTGAGGTATTTTATATTTATTTCGCAGCATACATAAGGAAAAAATGTGTGCATTAAATTTGTATTAAATTTGGTATGTCATCATACTGCTATAATTAATTTCAGGATTATGCCAGAGAAAATTTCCTGAAATTTGGAAATATTATTTACTAATAATAAATAAATTTAGAGGGAAGAAGCGACATTAAATTATATGAATAACATAAAAAAAAATAATTACTTAAAAATTGAATTAGAATAATCAACAAAATTTTAGCGAATATAGTTATGTTACATGGCTAGCCTAGATGACTGATTACTATTTTTTTATTTTACTGAAAAACGTCAACGTATTTATTAAAAAGAAAAAAAAAGGTTTAAAAAGATTTTGCGATAAAATTCTAGTATACGGTAAGGCTTTGGCACGATTTTGAAAATTGTCACCAAGACCAAAATGACCCGTTTACTGCGCATCAAGATGTCGCCAAATCCCATTATTATTCTAACCAAAGAACGTCTATGTAAAGAAGAAAAGGTTCCATACCAGTAAAATGCTATTACGCCGCTAGAATGCGGAGGGAAAATTTGCCAAGGGATTTGGCGACGGAACCTAGCGGCCAGAATTTCCCTCTCCGCGATGTGTACAGGAAATTGAGAAACACGTGTTAAGAAGAAACACTTTTTGACAAAAAGAAAACTACGAAAATCCGTTTTTAAATTATTGCGAAAAATCCAAGAAGAAACGTTAAAACGGATTTTCGTAGTTTTTTTTTTTTTTCCCCTGAAAGTAACTAATCCATGAATTAATTTACTTGCGCCAAAAAATATTTTCTTTTCCTTTAGAGTTTAACCACTTGCGCTAAGACTAAACTTCACGGTTGCGGTGTCGTGCGCTACAATATAACAAGCGGTAAAGCGTCTCATTTACGCCGCTCCGCATCTGCGAGTGCAATCCAGAGCTGTAACTCGAGAAATAAACAATCTCGTTGTTAGGCGACGTGTGCACCACGTTATTTTCATTTTTGCGATAAATGCTTATCGACGTATTCACGTCGCTCGCGGTTTGAGACAAAAGCATCTTGACGTGCGTTGCACGTCTTTTTAGCGCAAGTGGTTAAAGAAATTTTAAACGATATTCATTTTATGAACTCTTGATAACGTGACCTTCGAACTTCGACACCGGTTTCGAGCTTTGGCAACAGATATATCAGACATGCACAGCTGTTTTCCCTCTATGATGGAACGGAGCCACAGCCATGTCTGTTGCAGAGAGGTTTTCCTTCTTTACAATACATATTCTTTGATTCTAACCTCCATGGTACCGTATACTAGGATTAAACCCATTTTGTTTTATACGAGAACAGGTACTTTCTTTAGTTCATGCACTGCACATGCGATTCTCGAGAATATTGGAAACCAAAAGTTGCTTTGCCTTTCTAAAAGACAATCAAATTGGAGCTGCGAAAATTGGCTTTATGCCAGCTACCCGAATGACACTCACGTGATACATAATTCGCCAAAAAAGTTACCTCTTCCGACGTCGGCGCAAAAATTGCTTTTTTTGGCTGGATCGTTGTATGAACTTCCCTGACTTTTCCAGATTTTGACAAAAATACTTAAATTCCCTGACTTTTCCCTGAATATTTTGGTCAATTTTCAAATTCCCTGACTTTTCCCGGTTCTCCAGGTTTTCCAGGTAGCGGGGCAACCTTGTGATATTGTTGTTGTTCCCCCAGAAATTGCAGAGGCTAGTGATGAAGAAGAAAGGAATAGCAATGTTTTAAATAATGATAATAATATTTTACCAAATGATACTGCTGGGGAAGTTGAAATTACGTAAGAAGTAAGTTTCAACCTTCTAAAATAGTCATACTAAAAAGTTAAAGTTTAAAAAGCAGAAGACTGAAATCTTGAAGTGGATGAAAAAGGAACTGTTAGTTATGTCTCAGGAAGAACATGAAGAAAGAGATAGAAGAGAAATTATAAAAGACAAAAGTTATAACTAGTGCACAGATTTTCGATTTTCTTTTTGGTTTAGACATTTACTGTCTTCTTGTTGAACAGACAAATATATACGCTCAGTCAAAAAAAAAAACCAGAATTTATTGCATCTGAAGCCTATATGAGAAGATTTATTGGAATATTATTGCTTACAGGATATCATTCTTTACCTCAAGAAAAAATGTATTGGTCTTTTGATAAGGACATTTCTGTTCCTGTTGTATGAGAATTGATATCACATTTGCAGTACAGGAATATGAAGCAGAATTTGCATTTGACAATAGTCAAATTGAAAATAGTGATAAACTATACGAGATGAGACCGTATCTAAACTTACTAAATATTACCACTTATTATTACTGGAAATATACTCTTTTAGATTTCAGACGCGAGAATGCATTATTCCTTTTGCAAACTCTTATTGAGAGTGTAGAATTAGCCAGAAATAGATCAGCAACAGAAAGACCTAGTAAATTCAGCATTCAAAAACCATTGCATGGAGATGGTAGACATTTTATCGTAAAGTCCGTTGATAACAAAAGACTTTGTTGTAAAGAGTACCATAGCCAGACTGTCTATAGATGCAAAGTATGTAATGTAGCTTTACATCATGATCGTAATCAAGCTTTTCATGCTTGAATCTTTCAAATGAAATAATCTGTATTTGTAAAAAGAAATACAATGTATATTTTAATATTAAATTAATAACAAGTAAAGTGATTTGTAGATTTATAAAACGTTATACAGCTAAAAAGTAATCCTGTGCTCCACTCAAAAAAGAAACATCACACAAGTACAATCCTACTCACTAACATCCGTAGTCTTATTCCGCTGACGTTGCGCAAACGCAACACTCGCTTTCCCACAGGCAAGAGCATTTTTTTATTTTCAATGTAAATTTATGTTATAAATGCTTAATTTAATATTTGTTATTATTTTCATGAGAAAAGAAACATTCCTTGTAGTTTTGGCGGTTAATGGGTTAATGAAAAGCTAATTTACCTCTATAGTTTTTAAGATGTATGTTTATTGAAATGTACATTTAGTGGGAAGAAATCTGAAATTTAGCAAATGATGTGGGTAATAATAACTCTTGAATCACTAGGTTCATTTTTTGTAGCAAAAGTTTATTTATTCAAAGTTTTTCGGGCAAAAGAGGGGGGAGGGGAGTTGTTTGAGGTGATGCATATGGCAGAACACTAAACATGGAGTGCTAAATTCTCTTCAGAAAATTTTAAAAGTATGGCAACCAGGGCTGCCAAGGCAACACACCCTGTTTCCAAAAGTATTTATGTGGCAACCTACAATGTTGCCAAAAAGCATGCATGTGGAAACTTGATATATTTGATGTATTTAGAGACATGAAACATACTTCCGAACAAATATTTTAGCAATATCCTTTGCAATATTTTATCAAAAATTATGATTCTGAAATATGCTGCAAACTTTTTTTTAAAATCTTCAAAATATGTCATAAAGTTGCAAATTCCTGGAGTACATGGGGATTTGCACTTTTGAAACTCTATGATTAATCATTTTTCTAATTAGTGTTTCTTTTTGTATTTGTTTTTATCTAAAGAAATGGTAATGGAATTGTGGAGTTAGCTGTATTGAAGTTCTGTTGTTCTTGGGCAGTGTGATCATGGTGCACATTGCCAAATTAATTTGTGCAATTCTTTTTTAAATAGTGAAAATAGTTAGATGTGTACATGGGAGAATAACAATGCAAAAATAGGTATAAAGATATCCAAACAAATATTTGTTTCCAAAGTTGCCAAGGAGTTTGCCAGTCTCTCCAAAGTCATCAATGTATTGACAGCCTTTTTGAAAGGGGTGCAGATAATCATAAAATACCATTAAAAGTTTAGAGTGTATGTTTAATCCATAACATCAAATTATGCATACCTGTTAATTAAATGCCTAATTTATTATGTTGTAATCAAAATTATTGTTTTCACTTGTTTATATAGATTTTGTTTTTTGTTATGTTCAATTCAGAACTTTGCATAGCCAATAATGACACAGAAAACAGCAGTGTAAAGAGGGCAGCACCAAAGAAAAAATATAAATATTTGTTGTTTACTTAATTAAATTAGGTGAGCTATAGTCTTGGTTAAAATATGTATATTTTAATGCTCAAAAAGTTTGATTAAGCAGTTTTGTACTTAAATTGAGCATTCATTTATGTCTCCTTGTTGTCTGCAGCAGCATGCTTGCTCCAAAGTTAACCAAAATTGAATAATACTGTGATTGAAAAAAAAAGTCTTGTGGCAAGAAGTGAGCAAAGCTTTATTGTTGTGTTGAAATATCCATCTAAATCAAGCAGTTGTTTTTGAAGCATCAGTAAAATGGAAAGAACACTTTAAAAAAGAATTTTTTGTTTTTTGTTCAAAATCACTGCTGTTTGCTTGCTGTCATTAATGCATATTAGATTAGAATCATTTGTGCATAAGTTAATTAAAAAATAACTTATCTCATTTATCTCTGTGTTGTTCAAGACTAAATATCCAGTCAGAGCGAAATATAATGACCTCAGTCAGAAAAAAAGTAACTTTACTGAAAGCACCTGGAAGGGGTGTGTAAAGGTTACACATTAGAACTGTCACACACTGTTCTCCTTTTAATGCACCTTGATTTTAAAATAGGTATTTTTTGACATGTGACCTACAGCAGTGGCAATAGTGTGTCTTCAGCTATATGGTCAATCATAAATTTAAATAATTAATGGAATATGTGAATTCCCTTTTTTTCTGTGTGTGTTATCAAAGCAAATTGCAAATTTTTTTTTATATATTTTTAGGTGAAGATGCGAGGCTGTCTCCTTTAAATGAAAGTCATGATACTTGCACACTTGCAGAATTGTCTTTTATTGATGGTGATAATATAGTCGCTGATAATATTAAAGATGAAGAAATGCAAACCAAAGAAATTGGGCAAAACCAAGTGACTATAGTAGTTCAGAATTTCTATAAGGTAAGAATTAAAAGCTGTTGTGATGCAAAAAGTGTGTTTAGGAAGATTTTTGTCTGAAACATTCAGATTTGCCGCTTACCTTGAAAATTCTAAAATGCCAGGGAAAATATCAGATTTCCTCACCTCAAAAATTCAAGAAAATAAAAAATACTGATCAGTCCTCTCTAACAGTTAAAATTCATGATTTAAATAATAACCAGTAAATAAAAATCCAATCTCTTAAAAAAAAAAAAAAAAAAAAAAAAAAAGAAAGAAAGAAAGAAATCAAAGTATTGTTATGTTATTACCGTGCAAAAGTATTTTTTCAATATTTTATATTTAACTTTGAATTATATTTCAGTAAATCTTCAAAAATTAGTTAAAAATAGTTTTTTTATTTGAAAACTTTTTTAATTAATAAATGTTTGAAAATTTTTTGAAATTAATAAATGAGGGTCTAGTATTAAGATGATAAAATATTTATTTGAAAAATGTGTTAAAAAATTTATCATTTCGAAATCGCATGGTAAAAAGAAAAGAAAAATGCAGATTAAGAACTGTGTATCTTCATCATGTATTTCCATGTTGATGTAAAGGTGGTAATACATATGCAGACTAAAACATAATTGCATTTTTAATATTTTAGGTATATTTTCTTCATTGCCTGATCTGTCTTTGCACTTTAGGGTTATATTATTTATAAATGATTTTTGAAGGTCCTTAAAAAAAAAAAAAAAAAAAAAAAAAAAAAAAAAAAGACCTCAGAAGAGCTTATTAGTCTTGAAGCATGATTTTGCATTGATGCACTTTAAATGTTGTCCATTACAAATGAATGGTTTCATTTTTGGGGTCTGTTTCCACTCAGCAAAACGTTATCTGTCTATTATTTGTTAAGAAGTTAAACTATTTAAAAGCAATACATACTGTTTTTCAGAATACTTTTATTTTTTTCCCTTTTGAATCTGCTGGATGTATGTAAAATGCATAATTTATGTGTGTGTGTGATTATGGCAAAGCCTCGAGGGCTATCTGCGTAAGGGGAGGGATGCCTTCGTGGAGGACTTTCTAAGGGAAACTGGCTCGTATACACGTTACACTTGGGGAAAACCACGAAAACGCCCATGCAGCCAGCCCGTTCGCGGGATTCGAACCTCGGACCGAACTACCAGTGTTCAGCGACTTTACCGCTCAGCCGCTGGTGGGCCACACATAATTTATGATATATCTAATTAAAAACATTCAATATTTTTATTTTTATAGAATTGCATTATATATATATTTTTTAATTTTTCAAATATATAGAAGATATATAACATTTCCATGTTATTATAAATGCATATTAATCTAATATCCTGTAAAATGTATTGCTATTCCGTCCGGGGCATCTGTATTGATAATCACTACTGATAAATCATATTAAACTTTAAAAGAGCTTTTGGGACACTTAAAATCTGGACCCTTTTAGAATTTTTTTAATATAATGTTATTTTTTATCGTTCTGCTTATAGTAAGTAGATTTAGTCGTATAGTTAGATTTTCTGTGCACTTATTAAATGGTCATTCAGATCCTGTCGCACAGTATTGTTTTGGTAACATCTGAGTGTATCTCTAACTTTCAGTGTTTATTTTTATAATCTTAGAACTCAAATTATCAATTCTCAATAACTTTTAAATCAAGATAAGTTATCAAGTGTTCTGAGTAAGGAATAATTATTTTTCTATCACATTTTTCAGATTTATAGTACTGATTTCACAATCATTAGAACTGTGTTTCTTTGAGCTAATAATACAGTAGAATCCTTCTTAATAGGATCTCCGCTTTAACCAACCGTAATTAATTTAAGTACAAAAATCAAAAAAATCAATTTACTGAAAGCGATTACTATAAAAGAAACTATTTATATGATAGCTGAGTCATGGTCAGAGGTTGCCGAATCTACAGTGATAAAATCTTGGCAGAAACTTTGGTTACCGTATCAAAGAACCGCTGAAGGAGAAGCAATCACTGCAATTGAAGAGGCAGACTTTTCAATAAACAACTTTGTGTCGTCATTCAAAAGTTGTAATAGATGCCAAGAAGTTGATGTTGAAGATGTGGAGCAAGGTTTGACTGCTGACAGAGATCTTCAGCAAAAAACTTGGTCAAAAGATCAAATGACGACATCATCGGAGCTGTCAGTGATGTGGTTTACGATGATGATTCCAATACTGATGACAATGCAACCTCCGTCATATCACATACAGATGGAGCAAAAGCATTGGAAATGGCTTTATGCTATATGGAACAACAAGCATTGTCTTCCTCTCGATGTGATGCTATTAAAAAAATGGTGAAATTATGCAGTGAGTCGCCAAACTTCCAGCTGTCAGCCGGAAAAAAATGACTGAATTTTTTAAACATTACTACTTATGTAAAACTTTTGTAATAAATTGACACATTTAATAAATGAAAGGGCATTTCCATCAACTATATATATATATATATATATTTTCATTCTCTGCTTTAACCGGAATTTCGCTTAACCGTCTTAACCCCAGTCGAATTTAGGCTGGTTAGCTGGGAGTGTACTGTATTACCAGTGCATTTTGGTAACATATAAATAATCTGAATTTTTTTTGTCTTACTTAAAAAATCCTTCATTTTTGTTATAGTGTATAATAACATCTTCAAGTAAGTTTTCATGTTTGACTAAGCTTTTTAACTCTAATTAATTAATTATTGCAAAATTTTAATAAAACTGTTACCTTTCGTCATTTTTAAGTTTATATATTATTTTGCTATTAATTATTACTTTAAGATGCTTGGTGTGGTTACAACAATTTAAGATGAGATCTATCACTTTAAAATAGGTGCTTCAAGGCCATCACCAGCCTCCCATTGTATCGTAGCTTGTATCATCATCATCACCACACAGCATTTGTTTTCTTCATGCCATTTGAAGTTGTAGTTCAAGTCAGCTTTTATTTGTATGCTTTTCACAAAACGAAACTCACTAAACAGAAATGGAAGGGTGGAGATTAAGCGAGTTGACCTTTTTACTTCAGCTGTTGTTTCCATAACTATGCAAGTCAAATCAGGCAACAGAAAATAACCTTGAAGTTCCTATTTTAAAGTAACATACTATAGTATTGTTTGAACGGCTATCTTTTAAAATAAATAAAAATCCACAGTGGGTGTTTTTCCCCCCTTCTTTTTAAGTTATGTGTAATGCGTTGTATTGGATAATACAAATTAAACTGAAATTCGTAAGTTGCAAGAGATATTGAATTACAGCAAGTCGGTAACTAAATTCCAAATTGCCTTGGGGCCCACCAGCGGCCGAGCGGTAAAGTCGCTGAACACCGGTAGTTCGGTCCGACGTTCGAATCCCGCGAACGGGCTAGCTGCATGGGCGTTTTCGTGGTTTTCCCCATGTGTAACGTGTATACGAGCCAGTTTCCCTTAGAAAGTCCTCCACGAAAGGGGGGCGGTGTGCTTTGCCATAATTAAATACACCAAATACACACACCACCAAATTGCCTTGAGTATAAGGTGCCCACCCCTTAGCCTTCTAAAACCTGGCTTAAATTCTCAGAACCTTTAGGATGGCGCTATCCAAAACTTTTCCCCCCTCCTTTACTGTCCCCTAATGAAAAAAGCCGTAGGAAGTACTTTCTTACCTCCATGGTTAGGCTGGATGCCTATGCAGTAAAATTTACATGTTTGTCAGACACTGGACAACAATCTGGAATAGATTACTATATTTGCGATTTTTTCGAGGTTTATGATTTAATTTAGGCTAAACTGTATTTATTTATAAAGAACAAAATGTATAGGATGTTTATATAAATTTACTATTTCTGATCAATCTGGGTAATCATTTGTGAATTTTATGTCTTTGTTTCTTCTAGAAATTAGCAAACGAGAACAGAACTTGACAAATATGAACTAGCTTTATACTGCTTCCTGATATGCCTGCGAGTCCGAATGCAGTATTTGATAATCTATTTTCATTAATAAAATAATACTAATGAATAAGTTAATAATAATAATAATGAATTCATAATAATACTCATTACTATTACATGATTAGAATTTGATTCATTACTATTTGATTTTTGAGGTGATAATAAAGCTTTAAATCTTTTTTTTTTTTTTTTTTCGATAGCTTTGTTATTGTTAACATAAAAAAGAAAATCAGAGATCTATTAGTTGTGTTTGATTATTTAACTTTTAACAAATATTACTTTGGACTGTCGGGCAAAGGAGGTATATCTGTTGAGAGAATTTTTTTATAAAATTGGATTTTATTTACGTTAGCAGGGAAAATTTTCCGAATACCCATATAATCAATCCATTTTATACCTGCAGTGTGAAGTGAAGTCTGATGAGATAATTTCTTAAATCTTTGCATTTTCGTAGTGTCCGTAGAGAGAGAAAACTTTTAGGCTTCTTTTTAATATTTGCTGAAGAGAATTTTGATGTATGATTTAAAATTTCAGAAAATATAAATTTATCAAAAATATTTTTCAGAAGAGTTTTAAATGTTTATAAAGAATCCACGTCAGTTTTCTTTCATAGGCGGATTTCATTCAAACCATCGTTTATATCCAAAGTTTGATTTTTTTGGTTTTGAAATGAATATACATAATATTCTACATAATAAATTTTCTAATTTATTTTAAATAAATTAATCTTTCATACTTTCAAAAGAATAAGGGCATACAAGGTGTTGACATTTACAGTGTAGGAAATATGTATTTTATATTTCTTTCCGTGATCAAAAAGAGTAGCCAGGAATATTTTCAAAGCAAAATTTAAAAAAAAATTATGACAAATTTTTCATAAAGTATCCTCTTTATTGATGATGTCCATTAAATCATCCAATAATCTCGAATGCTGTCTTTTTCAATACGCCCTGTGAGTAAGACTAATCCAAAAAATTTCTGAAGCTTATCTGATGTAACTGGCGTTCAGTCGCTTTCATGCTTCCTTTTTCCGCTTATATTTGGTGGCAACTCTAAGATTTGAGAAGCATATCGATTCGTTTCTCTGGTTAAAATTTTAAACAATTCATCTGAAAAGTATAATTTAAAAAAATCAGTAGCAAGATGAGTTTCCGAAAATTCAGTCTTTATACCAGGATTACCACTAAATGTCAATATGTTAGCTTTGTCATGCTCATTTCGCTGTCTCCATTCAAATAAATTATTAGCCTTGCTTTTGAAGTCATCGGTAACTTTATCTTTATTAAAAGCTTGATTAAAATATATTTCTTCTGTATCTGAAAAGTCCGAATCTGTATCAGCAAAAGTTTTCTCTTCTAAATCTCTTAGAAACTTATTAATTTCGTCCTGACTGGGACCTTTGAAACGAGGTGCCATTATAAGAAAATAAGACAGCGAGAAAAAAAGCTACACTGAAATCATGAGGGAAAGCTGTAATGTCTGAAAGAGAGATAGCATATGTTTTATTTTCAAGTACATTGGTGCAAGACGAAACCTATGGTCTTCACCAAAACGTAGCCAACCAGATAAGAAATGGAACACAGTGCGTAGCCAGGGGCTGCGCTGACACAGGAAACTGGAGTGGAAGAGTTGCACCCATTTTTCTTCATAAGGTTCAACAAACCAGGCGAAAGGGCTGCGCCCGTATTTAAAAAAAAAAAAAAAAAAAAAAAAAAACAGGAAACTGGACCACCTAGAGATTCTAAAGATAAACAGTTACTCTAAAAGGGGAAAAGAAAGGCTGGCACAACAGTTGTACCATAGCCAGCTTAAAAGCAAGTAAATTTTCCGGTACAACAGTTGTACAGCCGGCTTTAGAAAGTTAAAATACCGTAAGAACCATTCTTATCTTACGTAGTCTAAATTTAAAAATTGTATTTAAGATGATAATTTATCATTTGTCCATTAACTTTTACATTAATAGAAAACATATGTATAGATTTTTATCTCTAAGTATGATATTTAAGCCATGTAATTATCTTCTTGCAGCATACTTTCATATCAGCGAGCCCTTTTCCTCTTTTTATCTGAAATATTTTTTTAAATGCAGAGTGATTTTTATATATTACTCATCTTATATTCAGACTAATGAAATACTTTCATAACTGTTTTGACTAAAACACAAAATAATGTTATTACAACATGAAATTGGTTAAATCTTTATAAATATTAGATGTATATGTTTTAAAAATGCCAGTTATTTTTAAATTAATATTTTGCCTAAAACATGAACTTTGTGTGATTTTTTTTTTTTTTTTTTTTTTTTTTTTTTTAGGAAATGGCTTTGTCTGAAAATTCTCATTCTCCTGCTCAATTGGTAGAAATTACTCTAGATTCTGATAGTGTAAGTGTAGGAAAGTTTTTAAATAGTCTTATGTGTTTTGTCTTATTACCTGAAACATAATTTTATAAATTATTTTGAAATTCCATATTGCATTGACAGGGTCATTGCAATTTCAGAGATAATGGAATTATTTGAAACTCAATGCAGTAAAAATTAAAAGTCTGACTACAGAATGGATAGTCTGTTTTATTTTTAAATAAGATTTTTAGAATAATGAGAAAATTTATTATCTGCGAGCAATAATGGTGCAGCATGTCTAACAATGTTCTATGATGAATCTAAATGCCGCTTCTAAATTTCTGTGTCTGTGGTTCAGTGGTATTTCTATCTAAATGAACATTTAATCTTGTTTAAAGGGGGATTTATTAGAATACCAAAACAAATTACTAATCTAAAATCTATTTAACATCTCATCAGCAGCATTCAAGTTGCATCAAACAAACCAAAAGCAAGTTGTAAAGTTCACACTGTTGCCACTTAGCATTCTCTAAATCAGTGCGCTTTTACTGATTTCCACATAGCCTTTCAAAGCCAGAGAAAAATGCTATTCAAACTGGAACATCCCATCCCCCACTGGGCGGTTTTCCAACATCATTTGGGACATGGAGTGAACCAATGTTGGAGAGGGCTTGGCAAAAGATTCCAGCTGATGTTCTGACATTCATGACTAAGTCTATCTGGACCTTGAAAGATCTTCTCAATGCAAGCTAGTGTGTACTTCATGGGAGTCTTGTTTTATCCTTCAACAAAACTATTTGTCCTACTTTGAGGTTGGTTTTGGGTTGATTCCATTTTGAAAGGGTCTGCAAATGGTTGAGGTATTTCACACTCCAATGGTTTCAGACTATTTGTCCTAAGTTTCTGAATTAAGATTCAACCTAGAAGGTGAGTTTCTGAATTAAGATTCAACTTAGAAGGTGAGGACAAAGAATTTATATTGTTATTTGGTTCAAGTATCAACAAAATAGAGGTTGTACGTAGGTTGGAGCAAAAGTCATGGCAATTTTTTTTTTTTTTTTCCCTTGAAGATACCAGTCCGGTTGGAAAATGTGGCATATACAGATGAAAGGACAAGGTCTTAACTACATGTGTGGATAATGAATAGCACTGAAATATCGTAACACATGAATTTATTACGGTAGTATACAGGGTAATAGGGCCTTCACCGTGCAAAAGAATAATAACACAATACACATAAAGTTGACATGAGTCCCTGTAGTACCGTGCGGTCACTGTTCTGCCATGAGGACAAAGTGGCAAACGATGACACCCCTGACGTCATACGCGACGATCACCGTCAATTTGACTGGGAAAGGATTCTGACGGACCTTCTGCTGCCTTGGTGATCCAGGATGTCGTCACTCCGCTGACTGACATTTCAGTTCTGGTTTGTATGACCTGGCCCAAAATTCATCAATGGCGATTATTCGTGAAAAGAATTGATCGCCGTCCTGTTGCCAGCATGCAAAGTGGTCGGAGCATATTTTGAAATGAATAGTGTGTACATCTCTTCAAATTTTAAAATTGTTGTTTTCGGGGCCTTTATCAAAATTCTTTTCAGTGATTTTTATGTTAGCGTCCCGCAATCGGCCAAAATGTGGTGAAGAAGGAGGACAAAAATTCCACATTGTGCCTTCTTCAGAACTAAAGGGTTGAATAGATCTGTTCTGCAAATTCTAAGGAGGTTATGTAGAACATTTTTTGCTCCCTTGAAGTTTGTAGCATTATCACTCCAAACAGTGAAGGGTTTGGACTGTCTTGCAATAAATCTTCTAAGGCATGCTAGAAATGCTTCAATAGACAAATCCAATACTGTTTCTAAATAAATAGCCTCTGTACTAATAAAAACTTTAATTAAATAAAATTTCAAGTAATACTTTCAGTCTTCATAATTTTGGGCTCTCAAAAAAAATCAGTGAATTATAGATTTTTTCTTGTAGAGTATTTAGTAGCTCAGAACACAGAAATATCTGGCTGGCTGTTATTTTTGAAAGGAGATATATTTTACTTTTGTTTCATGTATTATATTTTAACTACTTATCTTTATAGATGTTTTCAAATGAGATTTGCTAATAACTAATCCTGCAAAGTCTAGTCCTATTTTTCTGAATGGTCTAGTTGCTACCACTCTATCTTTAAGTAAATCTCCCATCATTTGGTTTGTAGTTTGGTTTCTTGTTCGGAAGCAAGCCATGCATTTATTTATAACATGTCTTGTTCAGAAAGTATCCTAGTATAATCTCACAAGAGAAAGTGTTATTTGAATGCCCAAATGAAGAGATATTTTATGATAATAATCTATGAGCAATTCAGTGGAATGGTGCCTTTTTGATAAAAGAAGTTAATGTTTCAGGACTTCTGAAAGATTGGAGATACTTGCTGCATTCTACAATTCAGAAGCACTCAAACAACTTTCTTTTTGTAATTGTGGATTCATTCTACTATTATTCACAAACATTAAGCACCACACAGTAATTCTAACCAATTTACCTAAATGATGAATATTTTTAATGAATTCTTTCTCAACAAAACTTTTACCTCTGATTGTTGACACCACAGCTTCCTTTCAAACTTCAAGCTTTTCTTTATATTCAAACTCTGCTACAGATTTGGTGAGTTAAGGCTATGAATCAATACCCTATAATAACCACATAGGTCCGTGCCATCATTTATCACTGTTTCATACAGCTAATGTTATTTCTTTCATAGATTTTGTTTTCATTCCTCTGGCCGTTCATGTTAGCCTGGTTTCCTTCTCCAGGACAGTAATTGTAAGATTCTGGTAATGTTTTCTCTTGTATTTCCATTATTTGATGTTGAATGAATGACTTTCATTTATTCAAATTGCCCTTTATCCAATATAATATCACAGAAAGATCTGTTCAAACATGTACATTCATCTGGACCTTCTCTATCTATTCTATGACATTTGACACTAATAAGTGCTCCCATCAGCTCTAATCTTGGAAGAGACAGTTTCTTCAGTGGAGCTGCTCTCGTTTTGGAAATTACATAACTACTTCCTATTTCACTATCCTTTGTGACGTATCACAGTTCCATATGACTTCTGACTTGAATCGGTGAAACAGTGCATTTGAACATCTCTCAATTCAGACTTACTATTGTTTCAGAAGTAATGTTGCAGAATGTTTATATTCTGAATCACATTAGACCATTTTCAAAGTCTGATTGCAACGGTTCATCCTAATCTATACAGAGTTGCCAAATTTCCTGCATTAGTATTGTTCCCCTAATAGTAAATGGACTTGTATATCTAATAGGATCATAGTTTTTCAATGATTTTAAGAACTTCTGTCTTCATGATTTTGTTTTCACTAGAGCTTGATTAGTTAGACTTTATGATTGGATCTTCAAAAGATCTTCCTTATAATTCCATTATATCCGAATAACTTCTGTTCCAGAATTTTCTGGGTTATACCATTTTCACATTCGTTAAAAACTTCCTGCAGATTCGGGCCGTTTATCTTCCATTCACGCATGTTGAAACAGACAGCTTTTAATATATTTTTAATGTCTTCATATAAGAATTTAGCTTTGTTTTCATCTTCATCACAACTTATTAAATCCTCTATGCATAAACATTCGTTCAATAGTTTAATTTCTTTCTGATTCATTTCTTCAGGGTAAGTATATGGTAACAGTAAACAAAAATAGGCTGGATGTAGCTTCAAAGAAAATATGAGTCATAGTAAGCACTTTCATATCGGATTCTCTCATCTTCATCTGAGAGGTTATTTGTTCACAAAAGTCTGACAGCATCTGTATCTTCATGTGGCAGAGAGGTTTGTAAAAAGACTTAGTAAATGTTGTTTTATGTGTATGAAATTGAATTAATATCTCTAACATTGTGAATTTAAATTAGGACTGGAGTTAGGATTATCATTTAAAGATTATTCATTTTCTGAATGGCGGGATACATCAAACCCAGCTCTTAAGGATTTGTCAGGGCAAATAAGTGCCTGGGGAAACATGTAATAAATTCTTCCAGTTTCTTCAGAACTTTAATTTTTTCAGCTATACCCATTTTTAAATTCTGTTCTATAACTTACTGATATTGCTTATAAAGAACTGGATCATTTTTTCACCTTTTAACCCATTTATTAAAGTGAGCTTCAGCATTTATGTAATTTGTTTTTAAATCAGATGAATTTTTATTCTAAGGTAATTTAACCTTGTATTACCTTTCTCTAAATTTGACAGTTCTATTAAATTCTTCAAATATCATTATCTATTTTGATGTTTTCCTTTCATTGTTCAATTCCTAGTACTTCTAATTCCCTAAACTGTTTTAATTATGTTGAGATCAATTTATCATCAACAATAATGTCCATATTTAATAATTCACCATTGGAACCAGTCTGGCCTTGAGGCAGCATCCATATATTGTTTCAGAAGCTATAAGTTTATTTTTAAAACATTTAATTCTACTTGTTATTACTTCAGGATAGTAATTCTTCACTGATTAGAATAGCAATATTACTGTATTCACAAGAATCAGCCCTGCTGTAATCCTCTTAATTCTTTGTTTATTTTGGGAACTGAGCTATTAGGAAAAGATAAAATAGTTGCACATATTGATCAATTTCTAAAGCCTCAGTTTCTATGTTTAGAAGTGGTTCGATTCTGTTTTCAATTTTGACTTTCACAACATTATAAGTTCCTTCTGTTGCCTGGTTAACCCCAAAGGCAATACTGACTTAGTCCCTTTTCTAATAACAAGAAATTTATACATTTCTGATATGTCCTGAATTATAAAACTTTTCATTAAACCATTATCTAATAAAATACCAGCTGGTTCTAAATTATCTGTATCAGGGAATGGACGTATCACTACAGTGCAGGTTTGTAACAATGTACTCCAGAAAGTTTTGGTTTTTATCTAAACATCTTCTTTACAGGGCAAAATTTTTGATACGACTGTATTTTTATCTGATTTTGTTTCAAGTTAGAAACAAATAGATCTATTGTAGTTTTATTACATATGTTACATATTTTAATTTCTTTACCTTCTTTTGTTGTATGCTGAAGTTTAAGCCATATAAAGCAGCGAGCTTGACTTTTTTAAATATTTCTTTGCTCATCCTTGATTTTAACTTTACAACGTTCAGAATCATGTAGTTAGTTGCAGTATATATTGGGTCATATAAAAAATCTCTGCACTTTTAGCCATTGAATAGTGTTGATGCTTATCCAGCAACACTCACCTGATTGTCTCAAATGAACATGTGCTTAAAAGGTGACATTCAGCTTCCATTATTTATGAAGATAGATTTCTAATTCGTTGCTCATGTGAAAAGTTATATTGATTTGAAAATGAGTGAAATATCTGAAGAAATATGCTATGTGATGCTTTTTTTACTATAAAAAAAAAGGTAAAAACATTGCAAAAGCATGCCAAAGAATTTGTGAAGTGTATGATGAGAATGCTGTGATTGAACGAAAACCTAGGAGTGGTATGTTCAGTTATGTTCCGGAAATTTCGATTTCAAAGATGTACCTCTGGTACGCCAGTCACCGAAACAGTTGATGAAATTTTGCAACTGATGGAGCAAGGCACGCAAGTTGTCAGCAAATAGTGGAGCCGCTAAACATAAATCACATGGCAGTTTGGAAACATTTGAAAAGAGCAGGCTACAAAAGAAGCTCGATGTTCGGGTGCTACATGAATTGATGCAAAAAAAATTTGATTGACCGAATTACCATCAGTGAAGTGCTGCTGAAACGAAACAAAATCAAACCATTTTTAAAGCGAATAATTACTGCTGATGAAAAATGGGTGGAATATGAGAATGTCAAATGCAAGCGATTGTTATCGAAGGCTGGTGACCCTCCACAAACGACTTCAAAGTCTGGACAAGGTTATGTTCACAAGGTTATGTTTGGTGGAACTGGAAAGGAATTGTCAATTACGAGCTGCTGCAACCTGTCAAAACCATTAATTTGGTCCTGTACTGTGCACAACTCGATCATCTGAAATAAGCAATCCAGAACGAACGATCAGAATTGGACAACAGAAAGGGATTTGTGTTCCATTGTGACAATGTGTTGCCACACGCATCTTTGATGACTCGAAACAAATTGACAAAACTTGGTTTGAAAGTTTTGATGCATCTACCGTATAGCCCGGACTTTGCTCCATCTGTCTACCATTTGTTTTGGTCTCTGCAAAACTCTCTTGATGACAAAAAATTGGCCTACCGAAACACCGCTGAAAATCACTTGGCCAAATTTTTCAACAGTAAACCACAGAAGTTCTACACTGATGGAATTATGAAGTTACCCGAAAAATGGCAAAGGGTCATAGATAATAATGGTCAATATGTTAAAACTGGTTTTCAATAAAGAACATTTTTGCTCAAAAATGTATAAAAAAATCACAGAGATTTTTTATATGCCCAATATAATTATTTCGAATAACTGGAGCAATATATTCGTAAGTTTTAGGCAAACGTTTATCAAACTAGTATATATTGTGCTTGTGCACCATCCATTATATGTGAGGAGGGAGATGATCATTTGATTTTTGCCTCCAGTTATGAATCATTTCTATTTAGTGTTTTGTTTTTGTTTCTGCACTGTCATTCAACTGCATCTTTCAGTTCCTCTACTAATAAAGTCCATTAATTCCTTAATATTCCACTGGTCATTATTTCTGCTGTGACTATATTCTGATGTAATCTTTGATGAAATTAATTTTAACAATGCTGAACAGAGTAAGCTACTTTAAGTTTCTGATATCACATTCATTGAATTTAAACATCTGAGTTTCACACTGCTCATATAGTTTCCAAAGATTCTCTGTATCACTTACATTTATAATAAGAAAGATTGAACAGTTTATTCAATATTAGAATTTATTACTAAATCTTTTTTCCCAAAATTTGTTAGTTAACACTTTCGTAGCTGAATCATAATTCTCATTTGTAAGCAAACATCTAGAAATGTCATTATAGGTTACCCCTCCTAATAGCGACTTTAAGTAATTAAGTTTATTTGTTTTTGATAATGTGTCATTGTTATAGATAGTTGCTTCATACTGACTCCAGAATTCCTGCCAATTACTTGAATCACCAAAAAGTATGAAATCAAGATGTGAGTTATGCATATTTGTCCGAGGTAACCATACACCATATTTAAAAGAACTTTTTCCCACAAGAGATGATTTAATTTTTCCATCATTTTTCAATTTCCGTAAATTTGGTTTTAATTACAATATTGTGCAAATAATCAGCTGCCAGTCATTGTAATTTATGTTAACTAATGCTTTTGTACAAATTTCTATTAATAATTTTTCATTAAGTGTCAGTCGCATTTTATTTCTACCATTATCCTATAATTTTTTATTACCAGTGTACATCTAAACACACACACATACACTCTTTTGGAAAAAAATTAAAGCACCAAGAAGGACTTTTGCGATTGTGACGAAATTTGGTATGCAAAAACATCTTGATTGAACGTGCAAATGAACAGGAATTGCGATCTCAGCACGAAATTCTAGTGCACAACAATGGTTGCTACAAGGAAACTGCCAACGAAATGAAGGCTCTGGAAGGCCAAGGATCACAAATGCGAGGCAAGATATGATGATTGTTCGCCAAGCCCGAACTGCCCCAACGAATGAATTGTCAACTATTCTACGCTCGCAGAGGCCTTTAAGACGTTTGCCTTTGATCCCACAACATCAGTGGAGTCATCTGGAGGGTGTTGCAGCTGATCATCTTGGCTGCCATCAGACTGGCATCGTATAGTGTTCAGCGATGAATCCCGCTTCACTCTTGAAGCAGATGACTGCCATGTTCATATCTGGAGAGGACGGGGCCAGTGGTCACAATCAGCCTTTGTTTTACAAAGGCATACAGCCATAACTCCGGGTGTGATGGTGCAGGGCGCTATTTTTTTATGACAGCAGGTCATTTTTAGTCATCCTCCATACATCTTTAACAGCTCAACTGTATGTTTATACCATCCTGCAGCTGGTTGCATTACCCTTCATGGCACGTCAGCCTGGGGCCATTTTCTAACAAGATAATGCCAGGCCACATACCGCTCGCATATCTCTGGACTGTCTGCATGTGGTTGATACTCTTCCTTGACCAGCAAGGTCACCAGACCTTTCACCAATTGAGCATGTCTGGAACATGGTAGGCTGCCAGATTTGGACGCCACAAAATATCGCAGATCTGGAGCGACAGCTGATGAATGCCTGGCAGAATGTGTCGCAGGATGACATTAGAACCTCTACCACTCCTTACTTTGATGAATTCAAGCATGCATTGCCGCCAGGGGCGGTTCGACCAACTACTAAGGTACTATGACCTTGATTTTTTAATCATTTTTTATCTGTGTATAAGCTATACACATATTCAATTTCATCAAAAACAACCACTTTCTTCATCGTGCTTTCATTTTTTTGCAAAAGAGTATATAGATATAAGATGGTTTTAATTTACTAAAATTGCAATGGAGGTATTTTTATTTCCACATAGTACAAATAATAAAATATATAATTAAAGTTATGCTATTTGAACATTCTGGTGAAAAGGAAGAAAAGTAAAAATGAAATTCATGTGACTTGATCCATGTGCAATATGAATATGAAACAGTTTTCTTTAGAAAATACTTTACGAAGGCATTGATTCTCTTTTTACTTTATCAGTAATAATCTTTATGTATCTTGATGTATAAAATTTTGTAGGACTGAGTATTTATACTCTTTGCAATAATTATATCAAAATTTCAAACTCCTAAGTTTATTTTTTATAGTCAATAAAAATTCCGTGTTTCATATTGATCGAAAATGTTAACAGTTTTTCACATGCCTAAAGTGTAAGTGAAATTAGTATATTATATTCTATAATTCCTTTACATATGTGATTTATCATAACTATTTTGATCTTTTTTGTTTATGTTTTTATTTTTCATAAAAATTCTATTCTCAATTTCATACATTTATGGTTTTAAATTTATGGCAATTTCATATGCTTATAGTATTTTTTTCTGTAAAACTTCTCTATTCTGATATTAAAAATTCTGTAATATTAAGCTGTAATGTTTGCAATAATTGCAAATGGAAAAGAATAAAATGAAAGTAAAGTAATGATAGTGGATGTTCATGTTGTATTTCTTTATGCTTATATTTTTTTAAATAAATGAATAATATTAGCTTAGCAAAAATAGTTCACTCAAATTGACATTTTAAATTATTGATTCTATTTTTCATTCTTTTAGAATTTTTAATGATGTTTTGAATGTTTTTTCCATTGTTTTAAGATAATTTTGACATAAAAATATCTATTGAAATGTTTATTTTATTTTTCAGATTGTTGAGAATTTAAGAGCACAGGCAGTATTCCAGTTAGGTTTAGACAGCAGTCGAAGTTATATTCTACGAAAGTTGATTAATGGCCAAAATAGAAGACCACCTTGTAAGCTATGTTTTTATAAAAGTGAATCATTAATTAATTAGCTTTTGAAATTTTGAGGAAAAAGATATTATATTCCCCAAAATTTTAACTTATAACCAAAAGGTTTTAAAAACTGGTGTTTTGTTCTCATAAAATTTTAAATGTTGGAATCATTTCAGAAATCAAAGTCACAATTTTTTGTGTAATTGGAAATATTTTTATGTATATGTGATGTGTAAATTATAATATAAATATTTATATGTACATATGATGTGTAAATTACATAATAATTGTAAACATTATGAATGCTTTTTTGAATTCTACAAGGCAGATGTTGCTGAAATGAAAAAACAAAGAAATGCTTTTTCAGAAGAAAGCAAAACAAGGGCCTTTTTTAAGCCAAAAGTCACATTAATTATTGTTATATAATATATTAAACATTTCTGTATTTTTTTAAATTGTAAAAGTGGGCACTAGAAGCATATAGGCAACAGTGGTATGTGTTTTCATTGCTGATTGAGAGGAAAAGCAGATACTACTTGCTTTGAGACTAATACTACTGTATCAAAAAAAATTATTATTATTATTATCTGTAGCATTATTTTGTTTCAAAATAACAACTAACAAAGTACCTTAAACATATTAGGCAAGTACACTTAACAATGACATTGTACATGTCACGATTCATATTCTCCAACATGTCTCCCCCCCCCCTTTTTTTTTCATAAAAGTGGGTTAGGTATAGTTCAGGCTAAGAACATAATATATAATTTATACAAACATAAATATGGTAACTAAAAGGGAAAAAAGAAACAAATGTTAATTGAAGGGATTTTTTTTAGTGCATAATAATGTGGATGTTTTCTTGGGATGATGTCTGACGCAACTCACTAAACGCTTTGTGGTAAGGAGTGCAAAGTTTTTCAATACCTATTGTAAAATATCATCTTCTTTCTTTATTAGGGTCAACCCCCCATTACAATATCAAACAGTTGCTGTACCTTTTCTAAAAATTCACATAACGTTTTGTACATTAAAGGCCTTTTTATCTCTTTCACTATCACCGCTTTCACTGTCTGCTAGTATTATAACATCATCTAGTTTCTTATTTGTCATTTCACAATCGTCATTCCGTTTTTTATTTCTCCTTTGTCCATATCTAAAAACCTATTGCTTTTGTAAGTTGTATGCTTTCCTTGGCTTCATTTTCAATTTATGGAAATCCTGTAATATTATTGACAATTTCTGGCCAGAATGATACCAGCAAACATTCATTGTGGATGAAATCACTTGTTTCCATGCGAGTTTAATCATTTCTGTGGTATGTCTTATGATGAAATTATGTAAAATGCCATAAGTGTGTCATCCTTTCCTTTTCCTTGTGCTTTATTTGCAGAGATCCAAACATTGCATGGCATAATAGGCTTTGAATGTCTTTATGCTTCCTTGATCCATTGGTTGGATTAAGAAAGTCGGTTTGGTGGAATGGAAAGAATCTCTACCTCTAGTTGCACTGTTGTGAAGGCTTTAGTATCGTTTTCTGGAGCATTATTGAGAATTAGGAGAACTCTGATTCTGCTGTTCTGAGCAAAGTTTGATTTCTTTAATAAATGAATTTTCAAGCCAGTCATTAAAGAGGACTATTGCAATAGGGCCAATGCTCTGCAACATATCGCATATAATTGAAATTATCATGTTGGGTAAATTAAATGGATACAGTTAAGGTAGCAAGCATCACAAAATCACACTCTGCAAGGGTTTACTGTAAATAAATGTTGCATGTATATATACAGTTAAACCTCATGAAGAGGTCACTCTTGTGATCAGGAAGAAAAAAATGGCTTATTTTCTGGCCTTTATTTGGAATTCTAAGAATACCTTTTTGATACAATTTAAATAAATAAATATTATGAGTAGTAATTATAACTAAGTTTTAAAAATATGTATTTTAAATTCTTGAAAGCATTCTTTTTGTCATAGCTAGTGCTTTTTGAGCACTATCCAAATCCCTGTGATTATCACCGAGTTTTCTGCCTCCAGTCGCATTATGCTACTGCTTTTTGGAAAACTGGCTGAGAGTCTGGTAAAATCTAAAAACATTTTCTTCCCTTACCTGAAGAACAAGAGATGAGGTTATGGTTGGAGCTAGAATTGAAATTAGCAAACTCATATGCCTCTTTCCTTGGAGTATGAATGACTCGTATTTGTTTGCCTTTTTAACTGAAAAATCTTAATTGCTTTAATAAATTTATGTATCTATTAAGTTATAATCTGGGAAAAATTTGAATTCGGAAAAAGTTCTTTGTGATTTCCTGATCCCACTGTAAAATATCCATGAAGCAACATACTATGTCACCAAAAAAGCCGACAACCCATGACACCAGCAAAATGTATTTATGTGGCTACCCATTACATGTGCAACAGACCAGTGAATATTTCCATATTCAAATTTGATGGAAATTTTACTGATTAATATTTGTTTTTGCATTGAGGTTCTCCCCCCCCCCCGCCACTTTGTAAAAGAAGTGTAATGCCACTGTGGAGTTTGCTAGCGAATGGAAAAAAAGCATTGCATTGCTTCAAAAATATGGCATTTCTTTAAGAGTCTGGTAAAATCTAGAATGCAAAAATTCACATCCTATGAAGTTGTACTTCTTAAATGATCTAAATGCATGCAGTAGAATTTATGCAGTTCTCAGATATTTTTTAAAGAAAACTCAGATCATTATGTACATGAAAAAGCAACAATGTGCGTAATGTCAACTGTATGCAATTATCTGATATTTTTGAAGCTAAAACAGATCTTTGTGTACGTGCGAAGAACAATGATGGAAAAAAAAAATACGTAAGGATTTTTTGAAGTAGTTTTTATTATGAATGTTTCTTACTTTTTTGATTTTATTGTTTCATTGCTCCTTTATTGATTTATTAATATGCCAACAGTTTCAAAATGTTTTCCCTGCACATATTAGCTTGGTGAAAAATTATTTGCCAATGAATTGGAGACAGTTTGGGTGGGGGAGCTGTGGAGAATCAGAAAATACCTAAAAGAGAAAAATGTGTTTTTCTTCTGCCTAACAGATAATTTTATTCACATAATGAATTGAATATTCCCTGACCTGGAGTCACTTTTTTGAGGATGGGACGAGATAGGATATTAATGCTGCATAACCTAATAAGGTTATGATGTGCCAAACATATGGTGTATATATTCCATGCTGTATTTTGAGAAAAAACATTATATTAAAACAAAAAATCAAATGTTTTCTTGATAGTATAAAATGAGATACATGAAATGCGTATACAAGTGTAAAAGCAGGTAAAATCAAATGCATAGCATATCTAAAATAACATTAAATGATTCAAATAAGAATATAAAAACCAATCTCTCTTAGATAAAGAAATAAATTATCACTGGTCTTTTTCCAGTCACTTAGTCACATTTATTAAAATATTTCAAACAAAGTTTACTAAAATATGGACTGTATTAAAAGTGACTTAATGTCAAAACATCAGTACACACTGAGCAAACAGGTGCACTCTCAACTTTTACTTATGCGTAATTCGAGAGTGACCAATTTGGAAGCAGTCTAAAAGAACCTTCTCATTCCACAATAGATTTTATACATTTTAGCTTTTTAATGACCTGACCATCTCACAGTCATATCCATTTACTCAAGAATTTCTTCTTTATGAGCCCATAGGTATCACTAAAAGGGCGAATCAACCATTTTAGTGAAGTCAACTGTAGAATGATTGAGCCAATTAATCAAGAATCTGTTCTATTAGATTTTATTTTTAAATGTGTATAATCATTTATAGACATAAGAGACTTATATTCCATAGTTGAGGTATACAATAGCATTGGAAACTTCTTTTACTGATTGCATTAGTTGTACACAGGTTTCTAAAATTATTAATATTCACCAAAAGTTTAGTATGTGATCTTCAGTGCTTCACTTGAGAAGTAAATAATTTGAAAAGAATTTTAAATAATATAGAATTTATTTTATTGAAATTGCCTAAAATGTTTTCTTTCATTGCTAGTCTCAATGAAAATATTATGAATTCAATAAACATATCAAATAACTGAAGAGCATTTTTCATATGTGTATTTGAAAAGGTTTTGATGGTGCGTCCTACCGAGTAGACTTAGTGGTTTTATATTTCTTTGCTGTAAATTCTTTAACATGATGTAGTTTTTTTTTTTTTTTTCTTCATGTACTTTTGGGAAGAAGGTTATTTCTAAAAAGTTATTATTTTTGTCAGGAAAATTTAGAGAATTTGTGCAGAATTTGGCTTCATGTCAAAAGAATGTATTTTCAAATTATGATTATTTTTAAAAGTTAAACATGAAATGTTTTATTACAAATTTAAATAATTCTTGCTATATAAAATAAAGAATTTATGTCTATTTCATTTGTCGTGTACATGTATTTTTTCTGTGTCATCACTATATTTGGTTTCAATTTATAGTGTATGAACACCAAACAATCCGAGAAGCTGGTTTATTGGATGTGTCAATAGTAACCATTGAAGAAGGCTCACCACCCCTATTTAAACAAGTTAGTTATATTATCTGTGTTTATGTAAATATTTACTTCTGATATGGCTTTAAATAATTTTTTCTCCCCCCCTCTTTCCCCAAAAAATAATTTTCAGCAATTCTCCCCCCCTGAAAAGTGCTCAATTTCTATTCAAAATTCCACTTATAAGCAAAAGAATTACCATATTTGTCAGCAATTAAGATGCTTCCCTTACCCCTGAAAAGTGCTAAATTTCAATTTCATCCATGAAAATCAAAATCTCAATAACATGTGTCTGTCTTATAAGCTATTTGAATACTGGAACATGTCTGATTGGCATCTTTTTAAGTTAGCTAATATGTTATTTTTTGCCCCCCAACCAGTATAGTGGTTAACGTCACTGACTGCCATGCCGAAGGGGCCAGGTTCGAATCCCGGAAAAGGCATAATTGTTTGTAAATGTATAGTGTTGGTTCAGCATGGCAGCATTCTAAATATGCGGCGAGCCAAAAGTCCTCTCGTGTGTTTTGGTCTCCCAGGGTGCTCTCCGTCAAAATTGTGAGCAGAACTGAGCCAAATAGCTCTGTCACCTGTTAGGTGCTCAAGGCAGTTTGCCAACGACATGCATAATCTAGTGCTCCTTGCCATGAGGAATTTCATGGGCTTGGGCTGACTACATCAGACAAGTGAGCATAAGCAACAAAACAAGTTTTTTTAGCAAGTGAAAGTGTATGTAGTGTATACAGTTTATTCCCTGCATATTACAGTAATCCTCGGCTTCTTCTTTAAAGCTGCATCTTGTATATGCTTTGGATATCTGGACATTACAGCTTTGCCCTCCTTCTCTGCCACAGTACAGTAGCTTTTAAGAACTCAATTGTATTTAAAATTGTAAAATAATATGAAGTTTTCTTTTAAGGAAGAGGATAAAGTAGATAAGGAATGAACTCCCCCCCCCCAAAATGCCTTTAGAAAATAGGAGCTTTTATGCAGGTTTGTCTTATGCACCAATAAATAAGATATTATAATTTTTAACTTTCTGTAAGTACATTCTTTGAGATTTCTGACACATTAAGCATCATTTGTATCCAAACACATGCAATATATATTTAGCGCAGCAGGCCACTTGTATTATTCTTTATACCGTAACAAATTCAGATTTCCATGTGTTACAAAGGAAACAAAGTCCATGTATAGCATCTAAACGTCCAAACAAACTCCATAGCTTCTGTTTTCATGCATATAATTCTTCTGAGAAAAAAGAGGTAAAGAAAAAAGATTCCTGAAAAAATAATGAATATATAATTATTATTAATTACTTGGTAATTATGCAGCTATAAAAGAGTACATCTAAACTTTTTTGCAGTCCACTTAAAATTGTTTTGCAGTTCACTGGTGAATCTCAACCTACACATTCGAAACCACTGCTCTATTATATATGAAGATAAAACTATCTTAAGTATATGCTAGTAATCTCAGACCACAATGGAAATAATAAGTCTCAAGGTCAAATTTAATTTTATAATATCCAGTTCTGTGTTTTGACTCAAGCTTTTTGGTATAAAATATATTTCAACCTACATTCTTTATTCTTGATATTTTGTAATAAAAATGTAATTATCATTTAGAAACTTAATTCCATCTGTTCTTCCAAAATATGTATCATCAGATATACACTCTTAGCTAAAGAAAATGAAATTTCAGTGCCTCATAAAAATGTACGTTCTAGTTTGATACTATTTTATGATTTTGTTATATTGTAGAAGTTATCGGTTTTTGTGCATGTACAATGTATCTGATGATTTGCCATTTTAAATTACTGTATTTCTTACCTTCTTTGTTTTACATATTTCCATTTATTTGTAGTTTCTTCTGCATTTTTATTATTCAGCAATATAAACTTTAATATTGTTCATAATCTTGATCTGTGTAACAGTCAGATTGAAAATAATGAGCAAAAATATTATTTCTATGATAAATGAACTAACAAGAATCCTTCATGATTTATTTGAATTTTTATGTAATAAATAGTTTAATGTATATTAGTTTCTATTGTTAATTAAGCAAACTAATTAAGAAGTCAACAAATGTTATATGGTAATGAATAATTTTGTTGGAATTGAAAATATAAAACTTATTGACAATTACCGTATTTGACGGCATATAAGACGCACCCTTATTTAGAAGGCCACATACATGTAGATGTAGAAAAAGCTATGTGTGTCTAGACCTTTATCCAGGCTAAAAATAGCATTCAGTATTGAAAGTTAAACTGTGTCCTTCACGTATTAGATGCAGGTAACTTTTTTTGAGACCAAATTTAGGGAAAAAAGTGTGTCTTATATGCCGTCAAATACGGTATATATTTTAAAAGCTAACACTATTAAAGTTGAGTATAATCATTTGTAGTTGCTGAAGAAAATATTTACTTGAAATTTGGATTCTAACGACTCTTTTTTTTTTTTAAATTAGTAACTGGTTTAAGATGCCAAAAACAAGAATTTATCCTTGTTGAAAATAGAAGTAAAATATCAAATAGCTTTTTTTATTTCTACTTGCTGTATTTTTTAATCTCACCCACCGTGATTGTTGTCCACTGCCACTCACCAAACTTCACATTTAATGCTGCTAGAATGCCGTTTTTATCATCTGCTATAACTTGCAGGTCATTGTCATTATTATTTTCGCCATTCAGTCTGTCTTACCATGCTTATTATGATAATACACACTTATTATGATGTAATATGTGCTTATTATGAAACAGGATACATTATCTGTTTCATAATATGCGTGTATTATGAAACAGGATCAATGTATTATGAACTATGTAAGCATGTATTATTATGAACTATGTCTATGTAAGCATGTATTATGTAAGCATAATACATGCTTACGTAGACATAGTTAGGAACTATGTAAGCATGTATTATGAAGTAGGATCAATGTATGCCCTTATGGGGTCCAAGAGGTGTTGCCGAGTCTGGACTAGACCCGAATAGCATGAGTGTTCAGACTCTACTGTCAACTATCTTTCCAATCCGATCCGAATAGGTTATGGCTGGGTTAGTGCACGGAACACGCTGATACCAGCTCTTGAGTTTTGCCCAAAGGGCACATGATGTTGAATGTAGAGGACGTAGACATAGTATTTCCAAAGGAAAGAATCTTGGAGATGAAGAGAAGAGCCCAGACATCCCAGGCATACTGAAAAAGTTCATCATAACAGCTGCAGTAGATGCGAAGCCTGAGACAAGTCCATAAGGTGGCGCCATCCATCGGATCCCCACAGAATTAAAAGAGAATTTTAGTTAGTCATCATACAGGAAAGTGAACAAAATTATAAGTCCACTTTGATCATCTCTTCAATGATTCCCAGAGCGAGCAAAACTTTTTCCTGGGGGTGACTACATAGACCTGTTATATACTAGATGGAGTATCGCCATTCAAAACCGGGTGAAAAAGCGGCACAGGAATGAGCTGCAGGAGTTTGGGCATGAAATGGAACTCAACCCAGACTTTCGCGTACTATCGCCATGGCTGGCGATTTTTTTCCCTTGTTTTCTCTCAGTTCGAAATGCGAACTTAGAAAGATGTCATATCGCAGAAGCTGCCGTTGAATTTGCAGAAGAGGTTAGATTGATAAACACCAGCCAAAATATTAATTTCCTTAAAATTGCGACTTTATTTTAAATTTTAATTTTTAAAATTTAAATAATTTCATGCTGTAGAAAATATTTTGTAATATGTTCTTCGGCGTCTACAAAATTTAAAATAAAATAAAAAAAACTGGAGAGAACAAACTAAATAATAAAACTAATAACTAAATATAAACTAAATAATAAATATAAACTAATAACAACTAAAAATAAGTAAAATAAATAAATAAAAAAGAAGGTTTTTATATAAAGAAGGTCATTATATATGCCTCATGTATATATATGTATAAAAAGAAGGTCATTATATATGCCTCAAAAAGACAATTGCTCTTCACTATTATTGCTTCATCAATCAGAGCCCATGCATCCAAAATCTACAAGTAAATCGTTAACTGAGACGGAAACAGTCACTACTTAGATGAATCCATTTTAATATTTCAGGATGCTTGCTTTATGAAGACCTTGAGGAAAGGGAAAATTCCATGAATACTTTAAAAAAATTTGGAACTGTATGCTAAAAGGAGGGGGGTGTTATGTGAGTAAATATGGTAGTTTATTTCCCTGCAGTGTCAGATAAAACCAAATTGTGAAACCATTTGTATTATGTAATAAATTAAAGAAACTATGGGTTATAACATGCTTTAGTGTGTGTGGTATTTTAAATGCTGGAAATTGGGAAATTATTTTTTGGAGCAGAATATTTCCCATGTAAATAGTCTTACTCAGTTCATTATACAAGAAAATGAATTTGTATCTTTTATGAAAATTTACATAAATCTTTCTTAAAATTTTTAGATTACTGTCATATTTAATGTTGGAGTAGGATTAGGAGAAAGTCCAGATTTTGAAATCACTGTGAATAAAAACATTAGTGTTCCTGAATGCCTTAGGCAGATGCTGTCTGTAGCTGGACTTAGTGGTATGTTTCTTTTGCCATATCAATTTATATCTTACAGTAAGAATTTTATAATGTCATTTCTTTTATCTGTGTCAGTATTTTCTCTGTAATTCTGTGTTCTCAGGCTATTCAATTATTAATCCCCCAAAAGTGTAAAATTGTAAAGTCAAAATATTTTATATGTGTGCAATAAAAGTGAATTTAAAGCTCACTACTTATATAGCACACTGTATAGTAAATTGTATCTCAGGAATTTCCATTAAACAGGATTATGTTTTATGAATATCAATTTTTGTTTGTAAACAGGAGATACCTGGCATTTAAGAAAAACGAATTGGTGTGGCGAGCCTATGGAACAACTTTCGATGGATGCAACGTTAGAAGACGAAGGGATTCAACATGGTGAAAACATGTTGGTCATGGAAGGGCGTGTACCACCAAAAGGCTTTTTGAATTTTACTATTTGGTTCTTCCCGACTCTCGAAAGTATCCCAAATCCTCAAAATGTAAATATGAATGGACTTCATAGTGGAATTGAAAGTAAGTGTTTCAGAATTTCTTTATCTTTGAATTTAGGTGTAATTAGGGTATGTTAAGAAATTATTGTGGCTGATAGATAATTTGGTAGGTGCTAAAGTAGTTTTGCTCGCGATGTGTGTATTGGAAATTTTGTTTGCTAATTTGGCTACAAGACAGAGCCAAGACTAGGTCGAGGCAGTTGATTCTAGTAAATATCTGCAAGAGGAGTGCTCAATTAGCTAAGAAAAGTCAGACATTCTTAAACAATTACAGTCAAAAGTCGTTAATCCGGACTCGTCGGGACTTCGGCGATTCCGGATTATAGATCATCAGTTAAATCTCATAAGATGGCATGCAGAAATTCTAAAATTAAAAATATGAAACCGTAATTTATGAAATAAAGAACAATTATGATCTAAAGGTTATCAAAATTTACAAAAAAAAAGCTTAATATTTATTTGTTTACTTTATTAAACATTTCTTTCAATGTAAGTTGTTTAAGTTGCTTCGTTTTATGTGATAATACTTTCTCTTTAATTCTATAAACAGACATAATTTCTTGTTCAGTTACAAAGTTCCGCTGTTCAAGTCCCGTTAATTGCTGTGCCGAGAATAACGACTAACTTGTCAATCGAAATTTTTTCGTTTTCACTAACCTCTCTGTCACATTCTTCATGTCTTTATCCACTTTTTGCAGCAATTCCACTTTTTTGTTTGATGGAGATCGAAACATACTTTCGTTTTGTACGATCCTTTGGGAGCTCCAGTATCGGAAATTCTATTTGACATAATCGAAAGTTCAAGTTTACTTTTATAATATTGCTCTTACAGTCTGCAAAAAATAATAAACTGGATACAATTCGAAGATTAAGGAACAACGCAATCATCAACATTAACTGAAATAGATAATTTTAGCTTATACCGTCCGTTATACATAAAACGCGCACTCAAAAACGTATTCTGCGCTTGCGCACAAGCATATGCGCAGTCGTAAAAGGTCTTATGAGCACGCGTAAACGCCTATGCGCATGTGTCAACGCGGCGCACGCGCAGAAAGTTTTTAGCATTGAGGTCCAGATTATAGGTGTCCGAATTAATGACTTTTGACTGTATACATATTGTTACATATAATATATACATATTTATTAAGAAATTTCTCTTAAAAAAATCTGTAATTGTTAACTTTGAAACATATCAGGCTGTACTAAAAATATATTTTAAATAACATAATTTTAACTGGACCTGTTTATAATAATTCAAAAGCATTACGTTTATAATTGCTTTTTTTTTTTTTTTTTTTTTTTTTTTTTTTTTTTATGGTTGTCTGTTAGATTTTGGATATCTTCTTTTCTGTCTCTCTCCTTGATCAGAAAGGCACCTTTCAGTTTATGTTTAATGCAGTATAATAAGCAGCAAAATTATTTATAAATTATTAATTTTATTGCCTTACCTAAGCAGTTTCTTGTATATATATACATTTTTATTGCCTAGTTTCTATTAGTTTTAAACAACTCAGCTAAATTGACAGATGAATTGGTAACATTAATTTATTTTCAAAAGTGTTAAGGTTCCATAGTTACTATACATGCTGTTTTATTAAAATTTATTATCAAAACTCATGTTCTCTAGTTTGATTTATGCCTGCTGAGCTGCATAGACTAAATTGGAAAATACTAGGCTACTCACCTTAGCAATCATCTACAGTCTTCCCTTAATTTGCTTTAGCGAGCTTTCCCAAGTCCGTGAAATGAGCTGAGCTTAAAAATAAAAAATAGAAAACTTTAAAAAAAAAAAAAAATCTGAAATGTTTCAAATTTTAAATTATGTTCAAAGGGGTATTTTTTTAACATTTTGTGTATTACATTTATTTATTAAATATCACGTTCTTTGCACTTAAACCATAAAATTCAGTTCAACAGTAATATCGCAAAATAGTTTTAAAATGAGCATATCTTTAGAATTTCCGATACAGAGACTTGTGCGCTAGGGATAAAAATGTTTTTTTCTGTGCAATGTTGTCATTGCTCACTTTGAAATCTTTAAGTTTGTTAATCAAAAATTCGTTAAAATTTTACAAAATAGGAAATTGATAATAAAACAAATTCCAAATTTCAAATTTGGTCTTCCACATACCCATATTCGTAGGAGGATTACGTCATTCAAAATTTGGTGGCTCTATATACCTTTGTTTTATAGCAATGCGAGAAATATACGTAAGTTTATGCAGGTTTTTCATTATTTAATTTCTTTAAATATAACACAAGGCGATAATACTTTGTGGCAACAGTTTGAAAAGTGATTCGCCATTTGTACGCAATCAATTGCAAAATGAAAACTATAGTCCTTCAGGGACAAAGCCCCTTTGGACTAATAATAATAACAGGTGTTAATAATAAATTAATTGTGGCTGCAGCTTACAAATTCATTATATAAAATTTAATTATTACAAATTGTATACAATGAAAACTGTAAAACTCATTCTATTATATGGAATATTTTCCATTAAAGCTTTATATTTTTTAAATATCTTGATATATTTAGCAAAAACAAGAGTTGTTGTTATATATTGTGTATTAAGTCATTTTTAATTCTTTGATTTAAGAGAAGTACAAGTCATTTGATATTTCTTGTGGAAGGCGATTTAATAAAACTAATTTATTCTAATATCCGTGATCTATGTAATTTAATTATGCAAAGCACTTGAGAGCTATGTAAGAGGAGGGCTGCTTTTGTGGAGGTCTTTCTAAAGACAACTGGCTCTTATACACATTACACATGAGGGGGAAAACCACGAAAACGCCCATGTAGCCGGCTCATTCACCGGGATTTGAATCCTAGACCAAACTACCAATGTTCAGCGACTTTACCGTTTGGCTAATGGTGGCCCTAATTTACATGAGAAAGCGTACACATAAAAAGGCTTTTGCTATAGCCTGACATCTGTTGGATGCATTGTGGATCATGTTGCATCATTGGCTAAATAAGCTTTAGGTGTTAGCTGTATAAATAAGATAGCTACAGGTATGCATTTTGTATGAGGGGTCTATTTTTTGTGTATGTATTAAAGGGTTAAATTTCTTTCTTAGTAGCAAATTAAGAAATTGTTACTTGAAATTTTTTTGTAAATGTCTAATTTTAAATTTTTTTTAATGTCTCAGAAAATAATATGAATACAATTGTAACAAATGTATTTTCAAAATGCAAGCAATTAGCATTTTATATTTAAATTGTGTATTATAGGTTTTTATTATTATTATTATTATTATTTTATTTTATTTATTGTAAAGGATGTGATAAATTGATCAATTTCTGCTTATCTTCAGAAGCTTGTATCTATCTCACTGCAAAGCAATGAAATATTTTTCCTTTTTTATGTAGATCTACTTCAGGATCTGACTGATTCTGTGTCAAGAAGTGAAGCAAATATAAGTGTAAAGCTTGGTGAGGTTGAATTGTCATGTGAATCAACTGTTGGGGATCTGAAAAAACATGTTTTAACACTCCAGAGTTTGTCCGGTGTGTCATTACCAAATATTAGATATTTGAGGCTGCGGTTGTTAGATAATGGAAGGCCTGGTAAAGTCCTCAGAGGTCTATCAAATACATTAAGGTAAATATTTTTCTTGTGAACCTTGGAAAAAATAATAAATATTTAATTATTATTTGTTTTCTTAAAAATAAAATGGATTGTGTGGCATGTAGAAATAAGAAATCATTAAGAAATACAGTGATGAATGTTATAATGGGATATGGATTATAATATTTATTTCCCACAGGCTTGTTCATAATTTTTTAGCTGTAGTATAAAATTTGAATGACTGTCGTATGACAATGACTATGGATCTGATATCCAGTGGTGAGGTCTTGCATTGTCATGTATTTTGTAGATTTAATTTCTCTGATTTTTTCCTCAGTTATTGGTAAGGGGTAAACTGGATATTTTGTTATGTGTTGCTGTTGTTTCTCATCTCCGTGACAGCAGAGCTAGATTGGGTCCATGAACCCACTCACCCTGAAAGAGTCCAGTACAAAAAGGGGGTCTTGAACCAGATCCTGTCTGGTAAGCCCCAGACAAGATAAAATGTGATCAGGAGAGGCCTATGTGGTAGAACACTTAGTGCATATTTCAAAGTGTTTATTACCACTGACAAAAGTTATTGATAACTGATGGCCACTAAGGAATCTAGTAAGTGCAGCTTGATCTCATCTATTGTTGCTTTGAACCAAGGAGCCACCAGGGCACTTACTCTGATACCATGGGTGCACAGGTGGGAACCATCCATTATTCTTTGCCTTACATTTAGAAAATAGTTCCATATAAGTAAAAGGAGCATTGTGGTCTCGCTAGAACCAGCTTTAACCAAGCTGTCCGCAATTTCATTTTCAACAATGTCAACATGGGACGGGATCCACTGAAGGTGGATCCGACGAGAAAGGGAAAATTGTTTTAGTTTCCTGAGGATGTCTGCACATATATTATCCCTCACATTATGCCAATCACTCAAGTGCTGGAAGGAAAACTGCACATTCAAAGTTACTTTTTTTACATAATCACAATGTTTGCCCTGGGCTCTCCTTCATTGCTGCTACATCAAGTAATCCTATTTAAAATTTTCTGGAAATATTTTTCTGCCAAAAAATACTGTCTTTGTATCCAATAATGCATCTACTAATATACTGTTTAACGCAATTTGAATCATGGGGAGAGACAAATTGTTAATTATCACTGTATTCAGTTTAATATGAGAGGTATTTTCATGCTCTGATATTTGTATCCGCTCTATTGCAGCACCCCAACATAGTTTAAAGGTTTCTTATTTTCTCCTGTTTTCGTCTTTTACGATTCATTTTGGCAGTTGCCATTAACAGGCAAAAATTTTTTCAATTCTACTAGTACCAAAATTTGGCCTTCCTTATTTGCTACAAGTCTATGAAAATATCCACTCAAATCTTGCTGATATCTCACTACATGTGTGTTCATTGACATTCTCCTTCTTTCAAATTTTATTGCTCAAATAAGAGGACTGTTGAGCTATGAAACCCGTGTATTCTAGCATACACAGGTTTCACAGCTCAACAGGATCTTGGCTTTAAGGTAAATATAATTTGAATAAACTCAAGTTTTGTTCCGTATAATAAGTTTACTTACTTTTCACAAAATAAAGTCTGTTAATTCTTCTGCTTTTATTTGATATTTACCAAAAAGTTCAGTTTCTAATTTCGCTGTATCTTTTACCATGGAGAATGCTTTCAAAGGGGGAGATTTAAACATTCAAACTTATAACTCACTGCTTAGTTCTCACAATAAAAATTTACTAATGTCTTTGCACTAGCTCTGGGACTGACCTTGAAGTGCAGCGATTGCTATTCTGTGACAGGGTATAGTAAAAAGGCTTATATTTGGTTAATTTTTCCAAGGTAATTACTAAAATTCTACCATCAAAAGTCGTGACCAGTTTTATTGATGTGTGCATGGTGTCTAAGATGAACCTGAAGCCTTCTGCAGTATTCCCAGTTGCCAGAGGAGTGTGAAATCTTTAAGGAGGACCAGGCCAAACTTTACTTCATCTTGTGACATGGTTCTTACATGATTCAGACACCATTTAACCTTTAACATGAAATAAATTTAATTGTTAATCAGTAGTCTAATTTTACACATTTAAAATAACTAAGCTACAAGCTGGCTCAAATAATTTACATGCGTACAAGTTTAGGCTGCAGAGGCATTCAAAGCCGAGAAAATTACATTTAGCTAGAACTGGCAGAATTCTAACCATGCTGCACAAATGCCAGAAACTATCTCTCTCTAAAGATAGAAAACTCTCAGATTAAGTGCATCACAACCTAATTTGCATTCTGGTGAAGAGTATGAAAAGAAAAAGTTAAAGTAAAGATCAAAATTATAATAACTGGTAAAATAAGCAGTTATTATAATTTTGATCTGTTAAAATAAACACAAGAATCTTATGGGTTTTCAAACTCAGTTCAATTAAAAAAATGAAGCCACTGTTGCTTGGAAACATGTAAACAACACAGTGCTACAAAACTTTGGGAAAAAAATGTAGCAATTTTTGTTGATGTGGGGTTGATGAAATCCTAAATACCTTTATAAAGTTTACTTGATGAAAACTGCTGTATTTACATAAAATGGTTTATCTTGTTTAATGTTATTTTATTATGACTGTTAACTCAAATACATTTGAATATGCCTGTGTAATAGAAATGTCAGTAAATTTCAACTGAGTATTTAGAATGGGATATCTTTTTTAAGCTTTTTTAAAAGTTAGCATAACACTCTTGAAACATGTATTTGTGTAAAAGTAAAAAGACTTATTTATCTTAGACTTATTAGATTTATTTAGGTGATTATCATAATCAAATAACTAAATGATTATTTGCTTGAAATACTCTTGTGTTCTCTCTTCCCTTCCTGACAGGAGTTTTTTTAAACAGTTACTGTTTTAATTAGGTAATGCTATAAGAATTTTTTTTCTTTTTAAACTGTTAGTTATTTTCTTGTAAAACTTTAATTTATTGTCATTATACAATGATATTCTCAAATAATGATAAATACATTTATAGCATTTTTACAAATTATGTTATAATTCCTTGTTATATTAAACTTTGTTAATACTGAAATTTTGTATGAATTTTTATATCTTACAGGATGTTATAAATGTTGTTAAAAACTAAATCTATATTAATTTAATTTATTTAATCAACTGTATTTAATATTATTATTTCAACTTTTATCATGTTATAAATATTTTGAACTGTGGTATACTGTTAATATTTGGTTCACTATTGTACCACTCCCTTCGGAGACCAAACTTAATGCCCTAAAAATTTTTAACTTGCATTTTTTGTCTTTTATAGGAAACTGAAAATTCTTTCTCAACAGTCATTAGCTGCTCAAATATTATTTAAAGAAGAAGATTTGATGTAAGTATTTTATGCAGTGTGGAGACATTTGTTTTATTTTTGTTTTTTGATTTATGTGTTTTTGTATATTGTTTGTACTTTTCTTGTTTGTATAAAACATTATTTAATGCCTGATTTTTGGTAAAAATTAAGTTTCCATCAATTATGCTTATGGTAGTAAATTAATTAATTTCAAATTTTCATAATTGACTGAATAAAAGGTGAAATAAATCTATTACATATTTGGTTTTATATTTCCCAAATGCTCTAACAAATGGTAACAAATGGTTTTGAATTCGAAACAGTAAAATGAGATGTGTCTTGGTTATTTTTAAAGGTAGTGCAAATTTCAGGAATGGGATAAAAATAAAAAATCCAGTAATATTAAAGCAATGCAAAGTAGTACCTCTGAGATTAAGTTTGAAAATAATCTCAGATTCAGAACTTATTGCTGCCTATATTCCGTTCATTGCTTAAGTCTTGGTAAAAGCTCACATCTGTTTACTGTACAGGTCTTTGACCCTTAAACTGAAAAATGCCTATCCTAAAAGATCATGGAAGTTGACAGAAACTTATGAATTTTTGCTATTATTCAGAAATCAAATTGTTGAGAAGGCAAATTTTTATCATCAAGCTTTTATGCATGGTATTCCATTATATGAGCAAACTTCTAATTAGTTATAAATTACAGTATATGAAGACATTGTTTTGATTCATCTTTAAAGTATAATTACATTCTTATAAAACTGGTTGTAAATATTAATGATGTTTGTATAATCTGGAATGTTATTAACTAAATTAACCAAAGCATAATTTAAAATGCTAATAATAAAGTTTACAAGAGTCCTAAAAGTCATACAATTTCCATAAAAGTGTAAAATTTTCAAAATGTACATAATTTGAATAAAATCTCTTTGATTTTTTTTAATTATTATTTATTATTATTATTAGTCCAAAGGGGCTTTGACCCTAAAGGACTATTGTTTTCGCTTTGTGATTTTGCATTGAATCACTATAAACAGCGAATCACTTTTCAAACTGTTGCCACCAAATGTTAAGAGTTCTGCATTATATTTGAAGAAATTAAATAATGAAAAATCTGCATAAATGTATGTATATTTCATGCATTGTGATAAAACAACGGTACCAGGAGCCATCCAATTTTGATAGACGTAATCCTCCTACCAATATGGGCATGTGGAAGAACAAATTTGGAATTTGTTTTATTATTGATTTCATATTTGTAAAACTTTAACGAATTTTTCAGTAACAAACTCAACGATTTAAAAGCGAGCAATGGCAACACTTCTATGGGGGGAAAAACTTTTTATCTCCAGCGCACGGAACTGTGTATCGGAAATTCTAAATATATGCTCATTTTAAAATTATTTTGCGACATTGCTATTGAACTGAATTTTATGGTAGAAGTGCAAAAAACATGATATTTAATAAATAAAGGTGACACACAAAGCATTAAACAAATGCTCCTTTGGGCATAATCTAAATTTTTTTAGCCTGGGAAAATTTTAGATACATTGTTTTCTAGGTGAAATCATTATAAAAGAAATGAACATTTTCATATATTACATAGTAAAAAAATTTTTAATTTTTCTGTTTTAATGTAAATTAAACTTCCATTAAATGTTTGTAATAATATCTACCCTGTGCCAGGATCCTTTTTTTTTTTTTTAAATCATAGCTTAGTTTTATAAAAATATTAAAAATATCTTGTTTTCTCTTAAAGGCAGACCGAGCTTTTGTTAAATGTGTGCCAACGTATCTCTGACTCCAGATCATATGCTCCGCCCTTAGAAATGATTTGGGATGCCAGCAAATCTGCTCCTCCAAAATCATTAAAGCAAGCTATAGCAGATGCCTTGGCTTGTCCAGTTCAAAGAATTGTGATAGCAAAGCACTTTCCTGAAAAATGTCAATGGCTGATCATTGATGATGGCAGCAGTTCTGTAAGTTGTAATTTGCTTTTTGGGGTATAGTTTATCCCTCCCTATTGCGTGAAATAAAAGTTAAAACTATGTGATATAATGTTGTCATGCTTTTAATATTTTTCACCTAACATAAATTGGTGTTTTTAGTAGATTACAGTACAAAGTCCGGAATCCAGACTTGTAGGAACTTCGGTAATTCCGGATTTGGGATTTTTACTAATATTAGATCATCAGTTTAATTCTAGTAAGATGACATGTAGAAATTATAAAATTAAAAATATGAAATAGGGATTTGGGAAGTACTGAAGCATTTGTGACCTTAAGGAAATCAAAATTTACCAAAAAAAAAAAAAAAAAAAAAAAAAAAAAAAACCCTCAATATTTATTTGTGTGCTTTATTAAGCATTCACTTTCTTCATTATTAGTAGCCATATTTTCCATATTTTCTGGATTTAGAATAGCTACAGATATCTTGGTCCATTTGTTGACTGTTGATTAGTATATTGTCATTGCAATCAAAAACTTCTGTACTTCTGTTATATCATCTTCATTTATTATTACTTCTTCACAAATTGCATTAATTAGAAAATTTTGCTTTTTGTATGCCATATCCGAAAACCTTCAAATTTGTGGTTATCATCACAACGCTTAACCATCTAAAACCAGGCTTAAATTCTCATAACACAACCTTTAAAGATGGCGCGATTCAAAACACTTTTCTCTCTTCTTTACTGTTCCCTAATGAGAAAAGTCGTTAGGCTGGTCATTTGTCCCCTCCATCGATGAACTAAAATTTACATGTTTGTTGGAATAGTCTAGAATAGGTTACTTTTTCAAGGTTTATTTTGATTTAATTTAAATTCTATAACATTTACTATTTCTGATCAATCTTTGTAATAATTTGTGAATTTTGTGTCTTTGTTTCTACTAGAAATTAGAAAACAAGAATAGAACTTGGCAAAATATAACAAATATGAAGTAGCTTTATGTGCCTGTAGGTCGGAATGCAATATTTGATAATCTGTTTTCATTAATAAAATAGTAGTAATGAATAATTTAATGAAATAATGATAAAGAATTCATAATAATATTCATTACTATTAGATGATTAGAATATGATTCATTACTGTTAGATTTTGAAATAAACATAAAACAATAATAAAGCTTTAAATCTGCTTCTTAATTTTTTTATTGTAATATAAAAAAGAAAATCAGAGATATATTCTCTAAGACATAAAGAATTCTATGTAAATTTTGTTTCATAGGCTGATTTCGTTCAAAATCATCGTTATAAGTTAGACTTTCCTTGATTTTAAATGAAATGAATATACATATATTCTACATAATAATTTTTCTAATTTATTTTTAAAAGATTAATCTTTCGTACTTTCAAAATAATAAGGGCATACAGGGTGTTGACGTTTACAGTGTAGGAAACATGTTTTTTATATTTTTTTTAGTGATCAAAACAATTAGCCAGGAATATTTTCAAAACAATTTTTTTTCTTTTTCCGCTTGTATTTGGCTGCAACTGTAAGATTGACGAGCATATCAATTAGTTTCTCTAGTTAAAGTTTTAAACAATTCATTTGAAAATTTTAAAAAATGAACAGCAAGATGAGTTTCTGAAAATTCAGTCTTTATACCAGGATTACTGACAAAGTCAATATGTTAGCTTTGTCATGCTCATTTGGTTGTCTCTATTCGAATAAATTATTAGTGTTGCTTTTGAAGTCATCGGCAACTTTATCTTCATTGAAAGATTGATTAAAATGTATTTCTTCTATATCTGAACAGTGCGAAGCTGTGTCAATAAAAGTTTCCCCTTCTAAATCTCTTAGCAACTTATTAATTTCGTCCTGACTGAGACCTTTGAAACGAGGTGCCATAATAAGAACTGAATAAGAGTGTGAGGGAAAAAGTTACACTTGAAATCACGAGAAAAAGCTCTAATGTGTAAAAGAGAGATAGCCTCTGTTTTATTTTCAAGTACATTGGTGCGAGACGTCTTCGCCAAAACGTAGCCAACCAGTAAAAGAAACGGAACAAAATGCATAGCCAGGGGCTGCTCTGACACAGGAAACTGGACCACCTAGAGATTCTAAAGATAAACGGTTGCTCTAAAAGGGGGAAAGAAAGGCTGGTACAACAGTTGTACCATAGCCAGCTTAAAAGCAAGTAAATTCCGTGGTACAATAGTTGTACCGCCTGCTTTAGAAAGTTAACTAGCGTCTGCTATTCATAATTAGTCATGCGTCATGACATTTGTGACTAAAGAAATCATCTTTTCTGCTAAATTTTGTCTTGGTTCTGTCACATGCTGATGAAATGAAGCCTGAATTATATTAATTTACTTATTTATTATACTTACCGCTACTCCCGCACATGCTTAAGGCTTATCCGAGTCCCAAATAAATAACTTCTCACATATAAGCCTTATCCAGGGCCGGCACTAGAGTCCTTTGTATCCTCTGCGGTTCCTAAATTCTGCTGCCAAGCAATACTCAAAATTTTGAAAACTTTCCATTCTTTTGTGTTTCCTAATTTCTAAGTTTTTGCCATTCCTTAATTTTGTTGATTGGTGCTTCTCTAAATTCTGCCATGTTTTGCAGCTACACCAGTTCTGGCACTGATCTTGAGCTTAATAACAAATCATTTATTCTCAACCCAAACAGCAATAAATGTAATCCTTTGCACTTTGAGTATCATTTACAAAATCAATTTTTGATTATGAAAAGAAATTTCTGTTAAATTTTTCTTCACTATGAACACTTTGCCTTGTAATTAGCTGAAATCTGTGATAGTCATGCAGTGATGGAAACAATATATAATTATTTGCAAGGGCATCAGTGCCGAAGTGAAATTAAGAATCAGAATGCTTCTTGTGTTTTATTATGAAAAAAATATTAAATGCAGAAGTGTAATTCATAAAAAAAAATTCTGAAGAAAAGGAGGTTGCTGGTGATCAAGAAGTCCGAATTTTAGATCATTCTAGGTATTAGGGTGTCCAGATTTTGGATTTTGTACTATATAAGGTTCTTTGTGTATCTAAATATTGTGTTTAATTTTTTATGTTCTACATTATTACTGAATCATGTTATATATTCAAAGAGCAAAAACAGTTTTTTAACTTGTATTAAAAATGATAAACTGTCTTTTTGTAAATTCTGTGCAGATTATACTATTCAGTTAATCTGTAATTTTTTTTCTGATTATGTAATTAATTAATTCAGTTAATTTCCTCTAAAATATTTTTCTCAAGTTTAGAAAATGGGAATACAGATAAAGAGATAGATGTAGCAATAATTCTTAAATGTAAATTAAATGATTCAGCACCTAATTAATATAAAGATTAAGGGTTTAAGAAAGCATTTATTGTTTTTAAATCCCTCAATTTGTTAAGCAATAACAGAGTGATTAAATTAAAAATCTTATGTTTTGCCGAGTGGTAACATTCTTATAAGTGGTTATGGAACAAGGCATGCTCAAGATATTTCTTGTGTAATGTAATGTAATAATATGAAAATTTCATATAGACGGTACTAAAAATATTTTTTAATTTAATAAATAAAATCCTTCTTCATCATTGAATTTAGATTATTAGAAGCTCTAATTTTGTTTGTTCGTTCATTACTCAATCAAAAATAAACTTATAATACATTTTTTTAAGTTTATATCTGAAAATGTTTAGAATTTAGCATATCTGACTTTTTTTATAGAAACTGAAAAAATTTCATTGTGGTTACTTTTTTGTGTTAAAAAGAATTTAAATGTATCTATCATTTAAAGATATGGTATATCTTCAAATTTAAATAGCTATTATGTACATATTTTTGTCTTTGAAGAGTACATAATTGAATTATTTAAAAAAAAAATTATTTACTTTTTAACTTTTGGGAAGATACTTTATCTAAACATCAGTAGTTAATTCTTATAGTTTTTGCTATATATTCTGAAAAGTGTATTTCTGTGATAAACAAATTTTAAATAATTATATGTTATCTGATATATTAAACATTTTTTTCTGTGCTTGTGTGTTAGAAAATCATAGACTCCAACTACTATGGATTCTCCGTAGTTTCTACGGAAATTCATGAAAAACTACGAGCTACGAAAAGTATGGAAAAAACTACGGATTTTACAGAAACAAGAGCAGGAGAACCAGTACGCAAAACGGAACCAACTAATTCATCCGATGATTGGCTGAATACTCGTGTTATCATATATCACATGTTGAGTGCGTTCCTAGTTTTGAAGAATTAGCCAATCGTAGATCAGTAACTCCAACCGTTAACGACTTATCAATAGTTCCACCCAATTGTCTGTCTCCCAGGTTCCTTGCTGATGCGTGTTTAGGCTGCATTCGGCTGCATTGTGTAGTTTACGGCGAGAGCTTAGTGTGTGTCTTGTGAACTGTGAATCAGGTGAAAGATTTTTAATCATAATGCTGCCTCGAACGAAGAAGCCAAAATTATCAAAGCAGAAGTTTAAAGATTCATATTCTTCAGAATTTCCATGCATTAAAGCGTCCGAAATTTCTGTGAATCACGCACACTGCAGTGTATGCAACAAAGACTTCTCAGTTGCTCATGGCGGAAAAGATGACTGTAAACGGCATGTGTTTTCTCAAAAGCATATAGAACTTGGCACCGTAAAATCTAAAGAAATAACAAATTTCTTAATAAAAAGATGATGAAACAGATCTTATAAAAGCCGAATGCTATTTTGTTCGTTTTTTTTAATTGAACATAATCATCTACCGCTTTCTGTTTTTCGGATCATTCCAAAGAGCTTTTCAAAGCAATGTTTCCGGATTCTGCCATAGCAAAAAAATTTAGCTGCGGTCATACCAAAACTGCTGCTATTGTGAAAACGTTTGCAGAAAATACTGTTGCTGATATTATAAAATCAGTGTGCAGTACATCATTTTCTCTAAGTACTGATGGAAGTAATGATAACAATGATAACAAACTGTGCCCATTGGTTATAACATACTACAGTAAAGAAAAGGGAGTGAT